CTCTCTCCCCACCGCTCTCTCCTCCCCACCGCTCTCTCTCCCCACCGCTCTCTCTCCCCACCGCTCTCTCTCCCCACCGCTCTCTCTCCCCACCGCTCTCTCTCCCCACCGCTCTCTCTCCCCACCGCTCTCTCTCCCCACCGCTCTCTCTCCCCACCGCTCTCTCTCCCCACCGCTCTCTCTCCCCACCGCTCTCTCTCCCCACCGCTCTCTCTCCCCACCGCTCTCTCTCCCCACCGCTCTCTCTCCCCACCGCTCTCTCTCCCACCGCTCTCTCTCCCCACCGCTCTCTCTCCCCACCGCTCTCTCTCCCCACCGCTCTCTCTCCCCACCGCTCTCTCTCCCCATCGCTCTATCTCCATCGCTCTATCTCCATCGCCCTCTCCCCATCGCCCTCTCCCCATCGCCCTCTCCTCCCCATCGCCCTCTCCTCCCCACCGCTCTCTCCCTCCACCGCTCTCTCTCCCCACCGCTCTCTCTCCACCGCTCTCTCTCGCGCGCGCGCAATAACATCCTCGTCGTACAACAAGGGATTAGGGAGCGCGCACATGCCGTTCACGGCACGCCGCGCGGATGCTTTCATTATGACAGCAGTAAATCCTCCACACCAAAGCATTGACAAATCAAACTTGAAACAACATCAAAGGATTCTGGCCAGATAAGGCAGCTCTTCCGTGGCAGCGGCCAACAAAGGAATGCATTGATAACGTAGTGAGAAAAATGGATGGAACAGATTAAAGACCGCTCGGTGCACGTTACCAAAAACATGGTATTTGCGGGAAACTGTGGGGAAAATGACAAACGCTGACGGTGCGTGGCGCATGAATCTGGCTCACGTCGAAGGATCAACATCGCATAGCTGATCCGACAACCCAAGGAAGACACCGCCGAATGGTAACAATGAGAATCGCTGTGGTGATTACCATCGGTCGATAATGATCGATTTTATGATTGATTATAATCATAATATACATTGATCATCAATCAAATAAATGTCAGAACGGAAGATTTGTTTGATTTCGCATTCAAGGGTGCTATGGATAATGACTCGTTCGCTCTGATCTGTAGTGTGTATTGTCTGTATTCTATTGTTTTTAAACGATAAAATGCATTGTGTTCGGTTTATCCGAAGTAATTATCTCGAGTGCGGTAACCTTTTTGTTCTGCCGCTTCAGGATGTGCTGCACGGGTGGTGCGGCGCACGTTAAATGACGATGGTGATATGGTTATCGCAAACAACACTCGAGAGTTTCGCTCAAACGATAATGATGACTAATGGGCATTCGCTCCTCCTGCACATGTTTTTGTTAAGTATCGTGCACGATTTAGTGTCGTGTGATTCATTTCGATAATCTATCATCTTTCGTCTTGCTTTGTACCATCTCGTTTGGAACCGTTTTGTTTAATTTCCATTTGCTCCGTTGGCATAAAGGTTAACGTTCGCAAATTATCTGCAGGAAAGTTGAATGAATTGCAAGAAATACATTTTCGCCTTGTACGCATTGATCTCAACGATCGATTTCTAACCGACGAATCGAAGCAATTGAATACTTGCCTCGTGGCTAGCGAGACACACAAAAAAGCAATCAGGTTCCACGCACCAAATCAAGCGCCTGGCGATGGTAAAATCAACGCAAGCGCAACACAGGCGTGTGCGTGCGTGCGTGCCACCATGATTCATACTTAATTTACACTACTTTTAAACAACAAGCGGGTGTTGATGGCATCTGGTGCCTGCAAGAATGGGGGTGGAGAAAGGAGTGGAGAGTGAGCGGACACGGGGAGGAGGGGGAGGAGGAGGAGGAGGGGGAGGGAGGTTCTGTAGTTCTCGCTGGGCGTTAGCACACGCAGCGGAAACACCTTGTACAAGACGAGACACCTCCACCCGTCAGTCAGGATTGCTGGAATTAACGTCCAAATGACATAATTAAAACCATTTTGACAAGAGACGGCTTCGGAACGCCCATTATGCCCCGTTCGGTCTCTGCTCAAATGAAGGGCGAATGTGTGCGTCACGTACATCTTGCTGCCAGCCAGACGGCCGGACTGCTTCCTCAAGAGGGCTTTTTTTTCAAACTGCCGGGTGATTAATACCCATTCCCTTCTGGTTTCAACACATAGCTTTAAGTGGCGATGTGTTTAATTAAAGTGCCAGCACTTTTTTTTCCCTTCTTCTGAACAGCATTTTGTTCTTAATTCCCTTCCTGAAATACGGATGCTTTGAAAAGTGGGGAGCGCGATTCGTAGAGATCTGAAGGTTCGTCGTGCCCTGTGGACACCGTTTTTCATATTCATTGAACTCCGTTTTTTTAAATGGCAAACATAACATAACATAAATTATCCCTGGAAATTAATAACGCTCTATATTGGCCCGCAATTTAAATCCTTAATTTTATCTTTTTTAAACTTTTTCCTCCCAATTTTTTTCCTTCCAATTGTGCTATTGTTGTCGGGTCGCGAGACAAAGTATCCGCGCGGAACTCTCACACTGAGCCGTCTAAGAGAGTGGCCCACGGAAGAATATATTACAGACTTACTTCTGAAATTCCATCAAGTGGCATTTTTTGTTGTATCCACAAGCTAGGGAGCACATGTCCCCACATGCACTGCTGCAGATATGTGTTTGTCATGTGACAGACAAAGCAATATTTTATTAATTCTCAGAGATGTAATTTTGCTCGTGTGAAAAATCTAATTTAATTTGATGGCGATATTTTTTTGAATGTGTGTGTGCAGTCACTTGGTAGCTGGGCTGAGATCATGCATTCACTGCATTGGTGGCTAAAACCTGGATTCCAACCCAGGGCTTTCGTGGTGCCAACTCAATGCCTCTGACCTTTGAAGCACCCAGCCACATTAATGCAAAATAATAATTTTAACATATGTTTACATAATCATTTCCCGAAGAGATTGCAAAATGTCCTGTTTTAATGTTAAATGTTCATGACAATGTTTGACTTTCATGTTTAATTCAGATCTTCTCGCAATATAAAACCGACATAACACACGCACAGAAATAACAGCGCACAATATTATTAGGGAATTCGGTGACTGCCACGGGTTTATTCTAAGACCCGTGGCAGGTTCCACTTGCCACTGATTTTAACCACGGCTGGCAAACTCGGGTGGCTGGGTTTACAACGCAGTGGATAATGTACTTATGCTTAACTTATTTCGCGCGAAGCCAATCGTGCTAAACCACTGTGCGACCGCTCGCCCATGCCAAGGTTAGGGACGAGAGGAATCGATGTAAAAGTCGTCGGTGCTGATTTACCAGGTACAGAAGAGACCCCCCCCCCCTACTCGTCCCCCTTCCCCAACTCCCCTCCCAAGAAAGAGTGAGTGGGAGAGTCGGCACAGGATTAAGACTGGACAAATCGCTCGCACCTGGGGTTCGTTTGTCAGCGAACCCACGAAGGCTTGTAAATGCCTCGTGGTGTTAATCACACGGACAACTCGGCCACAGGGGGCAAACGCTTGCTTCTTAAGCAAGAGAGGCGATTATTTTTGTATATTTGAAAAGACGAGATCAGCAGGTTTTCTCCACGTGTCTTTTTTGTGCGCGTTTATTAAAATGCATCCTTCAAAAGGCTGACAGTTTAATGTCCATAAACGTCCCCGGGCTGACTTGAATGTAAAGGTATCTACTCAGAGCGGTGACAGCCTGTGCCTGCAATCCTCTTCAGTCTTAGACGGCCCTGAAAACAGCAAATTAGACATCTACACACACACACAGCGTGTTTGTTTGGAAACAAAATAAAATTGTGTCCTTTTCATCGATGTTAATTAGTTTTCGTTCGGCAAAAACAACTGTTTGCATGCAGTCATGTAACGTGGCATTGTGATGTCGCCGTGGCCGCTTGTTTTGTGATAATATTCTGCTCGCCAACTGCAGTCATAAATCACGACCACGTTTACTGGCACGAACAAAATGCTACATATTTCGGCAGGGCTTTACAGAAAGAGCAAATAGGCCATTGTCATCCCATCCATTACTGCTTATCCGAATCGCTACTAAGTCAAAGGGGAACAGGGTCACGTTTGTCATCTCCGACCCTATTTTTAGCAAAACATCCTGAGAATGCTATAACGATGACACAGCAATGACACTCATCATACAAAGTACAAATTGGGCAACTCCACCACCACGTGCAAGGAGCGGCCATTAGCGTGGTTGGCACAGGCCCTGGTGCAAGGTATGAAATGGGCAGCCCCCCCTTCCCCCCAAATAAAATACTTTCCCCCTCTATCCATAGTCCCGTGCCTGGACCCCTCCAACCTGTGGACCTCCAGCGCAGTTGCACCGCCTGCACACTCGATGGCTGAGCCACCCGAACGTTAAATAGCTTGACCCGCGCGTACGCGTTTACGGTTACAACTCGGATAAGTTCACGAGGCTGAAGCGAAACGGGAGCACGTGGAGTTTGAGCGGGGTGGGTGGGTGGGTCGGGCTAACGAACTGTGTTCACCAAAAAAACTTTTGGGAGATAATTACAAAAGCGACTGTATACGTGAGCGCATGATTGTGCTCGTGCGTGCGTGTGCGTGCACTCGAGCAAGCTTGCGTGCGCGTGGCTGCAAGGACACACAAACACACAAAGATAAAGACAAAGATCCCCCGTATAGCCTTAACAGACTGTAGGGGCAAGTGCTGTTAGCGAGCACCTATGAAGGCCGGAACGGTACACGAGGGGGTGGGTGGCCAGCATCACGCCCTACCGCCTTTGTCTCCCCAGTGGCGATGTTTACACACCGCACCAGGTACTCATTTAAGGCTGAGTCGACCTAGGGGAGGCCCAGGACCGGTTCAGATAATCGTCACTGGTGTTGGCCGTGAGCGGGAATCGAACCCGAGTCGCCAGGTTCATAGCGCAGCGCGCTAACCGCTACACTACCGCTCCGCACAAACACACACACGCGCTCGCACACACACGGGCGAACAAAACGTCTTCAAATATCTTGAAATCTTTATTAATTAATCAAAATTATGTATTTTCCTCTGCACGGCAAATGTAAACATCCACCTCCCCAGATCCATCACTTGATAAAATGTGTGTTTACAGACAATCTTCCTGGCACGTTACAAGGCGAAAACACGATCGTTGTTTTTATTTGCATCTCCGTAATTTAGTTTTTTGTCTTGAACGTGTGTGTTCGGTGCAGCCATTCGTTCGGTAATCCTCCTACGTCTGGATAGCTTCCCTTTGCCTGATTAGGATTAGGGTGGGGAACCAAGGGAGGGGGTGAGGGGGGTAGGGACAGTGAATAAGAGAGAGATGCAAAAAACACAAAGACATCAATGCAGACATTTTTTATCAAAAATATAAAAGAAAATTGTGCAAATAAGCTTTCTCGCGTAAATAACGAAATATATATTTTTTTGTTTTATTAAATTTAAGCATTGGCAATCACACAATCATAATCAAACCCACTTCGTACGTGCAACGCCTTTTTTTAAATCACTTGCATCAAAAGTTCACACAGACGGCATGGTAAGACGCAGGGTTGGAATTAAACCGATACAAAAAAGAGGAACACGTGGATTAAGAGAATGGACGCAGGAGGGTTAGAGACATCATTTTCACTGTCAAAAAAAAAATACGTGGGCTTTGGCAAGGCGTGACAGGTGGTCGCGAGAGGGGACATGAGCCGGTGATCGAGACTAACGACGGAGTGTCAGCCAAGGGAGGAACAACGAGCCCCAAAGAGGACATCCATCGTGGAGATTGAGCGATGAAACCGGCGAGTGGGCAGGTGCTAAGCGGATTGCGGTGCTGGCTAAACCACCTCTTCGTGTGCCGTACCACCCTTAATAGGTGCTCGCTAACCGTCTGGTGGAGGGGGGGGGGGCATATTTGCCTTTGTTATATCGCTGAACGGTGACAAATGGCAATTGCTTTCAACCAGCAGTGGGTAGATCACGGCTTACGATAACGATGATCATCATGACGCATAAAAAAAAGAATCGAGCTTTTAACCAAGCAACAGGTGTGACCCGGCCTCACTGGGTTTTATTGCTTTGTTAGGCTGGAGATGGGCACTTAGCGAGATTCGCCCTCAGGGCCTCAATAAATCAGGCTAATGGCCCCGTTAATGGCTTGCCCGCACCCAGCACACAGGCGCATACTTGCACGGGAGAAGAAGGGGGGAAAAAAACTTAGAAGAAATGGGGGAGAGAGAAAAAAAAAGCCGCAGAGAAGTGTAATTTTCTTCCTAAAACGTCACCGTACACGATGAGATAATTGGCAGGCCTCATTAAGGTCAGATTATTGCAAGGTAATAATGGTCGAGGTTATGGCTTTGAAGCGCACAATGCAGCCCTCTCCATGTTTCCAACGGGTTTCGATGAATCTGGTCCGTTCCGTTTTGTTTTTTGCAGATGTGGAATGCGAAAGTCTATCTGTAACAGTAGTGCCCCCCCCTCGCCCCCCGGAGCCTGGAGGCTTGAGTTACACAAATGCCATCTGGGAAGTCGGTTATCAAAATTGGTGCGGTAATTACGGTATTTATAATGTCAACGTGATGGCCTGGCTGAGACCTCCCTGGTTAACTTCCAGCAATGCTGACGACTACAAACAGCAACAGGTAAAGCTTATTTATTGTACACGTAACATGCGCAGTCATATTTTGGCAATCCACTGCTGGATGATGCCCCCCTCCCCCAACTTGCTGATAGTAGGGGGGGGGTTTGTTTGACCATACTTCCCCCGCGCTGGTCATTTGCGGGTTTGTGGAGACAGGGAGTGAAGAGACGTGAGAGCATAGAAGTACAGCTGAACGATGGATTTTTTTCTGACACGGCCCAGCACATAGCCCTGCAAGCCCTACGATAACCTTTTCGGGTGCGTCGTGGTCGCACATCAAAGCACTATCCAGGCTCAATATCTGCTTAGCTTCCGAGATCGAATGTGATCGATCGGGTGCATACCAGGTGATTTGGTCATAGGCAGGGCCGGATCAACCCATAGGCTTACGAGCCTTAGGCGCTCGTATTTTATAGACCCTGCTATCGTGACTCCATTCCACAATGAGCGATGGTCGCGTGGCCATCGGAACATTCTTTGTCTTTGAATTACGGTGACAGCATTCATGACGTGTGCCACAGCTAAAGCTAAGAAAAAAATTAAGTAACTGCATTTGTTTTTTTTTCTTCTTGGTTCTTTCTGTAAACTCACGTAGAAGGGAAATAATAAAATATTAAAAATAAAACATAATAAAATAATTCTCACGACGTGTCAAGGCGCTCTTCCCCCCCTCCAACCCAGCTTAAATATACGCTCCAAGCCTGGTGGTGTTCATTCAGACGCTGTCTTTCCGACAGACCTGTTCTTCACCCGAGGACGGCTGCTTGCGTTGTGGCCGAAACGTCGTGAGAATTGTATTTTATTATGTTGTTTTTTTATTATTTTATTATTTCCCTTCTACGTGACTTTACCGAAAGAACCAAGAAGATGAATCCCTGCAGTCACGAAAGCTTTAAATCGAAAAAATGCATTTGTTTTAAGAAAAGAGTGCGGTGAGTGATTTACGTTCCATGAATGTACCTTGAGTCGAATGCATTTGTCAATTTTCCATAGGAAAGTAAATGCATATCTTTGATGACTTCATCATTTTTGATTGCAATATTTACTACAAACATATGCCTTTGCTTCCTATTAGCCTTTGGGCACTCGTAACCTTATGTTCTCTCAGTGGTCACGTGGATTTTTCTCCGGGTCCTCCAGTTTTTCCTTCCACATTTAGAAACGTGCGTTTACCGTATTTGGCTGCTATAAATTTGCACACGATAAGCCACTTCATTGAGCTATCATTTGTGGCCAGGTCACTTCTTAAAAAGAGCTACGTAGCTCAATGGGCTTTACCTGGAAAAAAAAATTCTAGTTTAGTTACATTTTTAATCCGGCCCTGGTCATACGTAAGACTTAATCATTTGATTCAAATTCCTCTCTAATGGAGCTACTTTAATGGATAGCAACAGACGTTACGTGAGCATACTGAACTCTTTGTCACCACGCCTTGCCCTCTTAGCTGCTGCCGAGGCATTTCCCCAAAAAGTTTGGAGGCTCACAAAAGGTGGCTCTGTTGACCGCGGCGCTGGCAACGACGAGGAGCCACTCTCGTGCACATCGGAGCCCCGATTACGAGAGGCTTGAGCAGTATCGCGTTACACGATTGGCCGACGGAGCAGACACAATTGTTTATTAACTCCTCGAGCATTCGCCATTGGTTTTTTTTGTAATCCCCCCCCCAATTATTCGCCATTTATTAAGTGACCAACCTGTCAAATGTTACGCGCTGGCGAAGTGGTGGACTTACGGACGGAATGAAATGCAATTTACCACTTATCCCAACACATTGCATGTAAACCTTGGTGTAAATCCCCAAAGGCAAGCCTGTGATGGCTTTTACGGTTACAAACTGCAACAACAACAGCAACTATATTTACATTGCCAAGGAAGGACGCATCGCAAGATGCAATGATGGCCGATTGGACAAGACTGGTGGCAGACTGGCAAGCCAAAGTATGGAGGTGGACACCACCGTGGAGATGGAGCGGTGAGATCAGTGCAGACGCGAGACGGATGGTCGGGCCGGAATGTGAGTTCCCGGCCACAGCTAATATCGGTGGAAAGTGATATCTGAAGCAGTCCGGCCGGGCCCACCTCCTCCCCCTTGACAAACTCGCATGAACCAGCATAGTAAAGTCTGGCTAAACCCTGATGAAACGGCATCAGGAGCAATGCCGGATTATCCGAGTAGCAAAAGTAGCTACATATGTGGCTACGGGCCCCGCACTTTCAAGGGCCCCGCACTAAATGCTTTCACGCTATCAATTCCGGTTCATTGATTCTGCACTTGCTCAATTACTATAGTACTATACCGCCTTCAACTTTTATGAACGACTGGGTGTTTAAGGTTATCGATTTGTCGTATTATCTGGCTGTATATGAAATGAAAAAAATACAATTACTTTACTATGCAAGTTACAAATTTGTGTTTTAATGTTTTATTTTATTTAGGGCCCCTTTATAACATATGCTACAGGCCCCGCACTAGCTTCATCCGGCACTGATTATGAGGCCTCCATCCAGCAGTGGACTGACAAAAGGGTTGTATTTATTGCATTAATCAGCAGCATAGCAAGGCTGGCGCGGGGTCCCTTGCCCAATTCTATTTTCCCTCCATCTGGCCCCTCCTCTGGCCCATGCCCCCTGCACATGCCCCCCTCCCCCCAGTGCAGTTGCACCGCCTGTACACTTTACGGCTGCGCCACCGACGCGGACAACACAGCTGTGACAGCACCCAGCCAAATGCAACTCGTGAGGTGTCATACGATGCGCTGACCTGGCCAGGTGAAGCCCGATACGCCGAAGGCGAGAATAGGTCATAGGACGACCCCTGTCTTGTTCCAAGGAAAACAGGGTCGCCTTTTCACCTTCCACCGTCCTCTCCGCCTCCACCCCGACACCAGGGTGTTGCTGCTTAAACCTCCCTCTCAGCGTCGGGATTTCTTGCAACAGGGAGAGATACGTCATGATTTCTGGCGAACGCTTGTCAAGGGAACGCCCTTGCCGAGGCCACGGAGCGAGACAGCAAAATAAAGTTCGCGACGGCGGCGCTGTCGAAGGTTCTCGGCGACAAGAATCGTCGGTGAACGAGAGGCCCATTCGCATCGAATCCGTGTCCTCGTAAAATAACAGGCCACCACGGTGGCGAGATGGTAACTACCTCTCCTGGTATACAAGAGGTTGTGGGTTCGATCCCGACTCTGACGCCTGCTGCTGTTTATTTGGAGTTTGCATGTCTCCCTGTGGTAGCAAGGATTTTTCTCCGGGTCTTCCGGTTTTTCCCTCCACATTTAGAATCAACATCACGCGTCCAGAGCAGTGGTTCTTAACCAGGGGTGCACGCGCCCCCTGGGGATGCGAAATGCCCTTTCTGAGAAGAGGTGCGTGCCGGTTGCAGTAAAGGTTAAGAAACATGCGTTTAAGAGTATTTGGCTGCTATACATTTCCACATGATAAGCCACTTCGTTGGCCAGGTCGCTTCTGAAAAAGAGCCATACAGCTCAGTGGGCCTTTCCTGGTAAAATAAAAATAGTTTAGTTTCGGTCGCACATTGTACTTGCAATGTCGACGGTTTAATGTCCCGGCGGAACAGTAGTGAGGTGAAGTGTGGGCATTCCCACCTCTTCCAAGACATCTGGCCAGTCGTGGAAGAGTAGGCCAAATACCCTTTCGAGGGGCTCTCTAAATCTCTCTCTGTAGCGGAGGCCATTCTGCTAGCCAAGTACTTTCAGGGCTGCACCCTTGTCATTTTGAGCCACTTACTGCGCACGCATGTAAATTGCTCAGGAAGATCATTCGGAACAAAATAATGGGCATATTTGGGTTAACCACCCACACGATTACGCTGGGTTTAGGAAAGGTTCATCTACCTTTGGACACACATCAATACTATAAACCGTATTCTGGAAAGGATAGTGAATTAAAATGCGATTACGGCGAGTCTTTGTAGACATTGAAGAGGCGTTTGATGTGGTGGAAAGTCTTCCCTGACCTCACAAAGCAAATTAATAGCCTGAATACAAAATTAAAAAATAATTATTTAAGTAACGACGCAGCACATTGGAAGGGGAGTCGGACCTGCAGATGCTCCGTTGCCAAGTGTTTTTCACAGCGACATCATAACATGATATTATAATATATGATTGGAGAGGGAAAAAAAGTATACAAACATAAAGAAATAAAATGTTAACCATCTCAGGTTTGAGGATGATATAGTCATTATGAAAACAAGCAGGCCACAATCATATATATATAGCTCAGTGGTCCTTACCTGGTAAAATAAAAAAAACAAGTTTAGTTTAGTAAATGCTAAATACTACCTCACTAGCACCAGTATGACGCTGAAAATATACGTGCCCACTAATTTTCTTACCTTTCATTATCATCAAAATAAGAAAACCAGAAAGCTGCTTGCCTCACTAGGCTGACGAGTTCTATTCTCAAAACTTTTCGACAGCTCCTCCCGATGTATACTGATTGTTCTACCGTTTACAAGAAAAAAGTTGACGCTTGGATGTTTTCATCGTCGTATCAATTGTTGTCTAAAATTAGTCTGGACGCGCTGTCTTATTCGCTTCACTGCGTGCTGCAGAACTTGAGTGAAAATACGCGCGCCGTTTAATTTGCCACGATAATGATGCGGTGCGTTTTCATGCCGGAGCCCCCCCTCTCTCTTTTGCTGTTTACTTCTGCCGGGATCGACGCAGCTCTTCACACCTTCTCCGGCAGACGGAGGGTTTTGTCACCACATTCGCACCTCCTCTCAGGCAGCGGCCTAACGATTACATCCGTGCGGATTCTACGGCCCGCTTTTGCAACTGGCGTGCAAAATATGTAAAAGCAATAACAAAAAAAACAATACACCGGCCGAGGCAATAAACCACAAAACAAAGTAGTCACAACAATTCTAGATTTGAAGCTTTCGTGACTGCAAGGATTCATACTCTTAAGTTTTTTCGGTAAAGTCACGTAGGTAAAAATGAAATTAAAGTTAATAAAAATAAAATAATAATTTATTATTTTATTTGTATTAATTTTTATTTCATGTTTTATAAAAATAAAACAATAATTTATTATTTTATTTGTATTAATTTTCATTTTATTTTTTACCTACATGACTTTACCGAAAAAACTAAGAGTATATAGCCACAACAAGCCGCGTTTGCTGTCTAACTTGCGCCGATCGGCGGTCAAAAAACATTCCGGGAAGGAAATTAAAGGTGTATGAAAGCTCGCACTTGTTATTTTTTTTTTCTTCAATACACTCACCGGTTAACATCAACGCGCGCGCGTTCGATTATATCATTACCACTATATTTGGGGCTTCAAAATAAAACAAACGTTACATTGGTGCCGGCCTGTTTATAGACCTCGCGCTAAAACCGTGTTCATTGCTCTGCCGTCAAACTCAACAGCGCCGCTCACGCAGTCCGACCATTCGCGAACTCTGCTGCGGAAAAACCTTTCAGAAACAAAAAGGCAGTTAAGTGTTGGTGGCATATTTATGAATTGTTTAGCAATTGGAATAAAGCTGGTAGAGAAACGTACACCAGCTTGTTTTGCTTTTGAGAAGCTGAATCTGATCACGAATTGTGGCGTAGCAATGTGCTCGAGGGAGAAAGGTTTCAATCAGTGCATATAGCCAACCTATTAAATATGGATCAGAGCACATGGTACAACTCGACATGAGAGAGGGAACAAAGCGTATGAATGTTGAACATCTTTTGCACCGTACATAGCCAACCGTGCTAATAAAAAAAGGCTCGTAGAGATACATACCGTGGGCGCCATGGTGGTGAGATGTTAACTACCTCACCCGGTATACATGAGGTTGCAGGTTTGATCCCAACCCTGACGCCTGTATATTTGGACTTTCCATGTTCTCCCCGTCATTGCGTGGCTTTTTTTCTGGGTCCTCCGGTTTTTCCCTCCACATTTAGAAACATGCGTTTAGAGAATTTGACTGCGATACATTTCCACGTGATAAGCCACTTTGTTGAGCTATCATTTGAAAGAAAACTATATAACTCAGTGGGCCTTACCTGGTAGCATATATATTTTTTATAGTTTAAATACACCGAGAGGCATGAAGAGGAACATGTGGGCTAGTTTGTTGTCCTTCCCCCGCACCTCCGATTAGCACCGTTGGCGTTGTACGGTGTGAAAGAAGTTGAACATACATCCATATATATATCGGAGATGGTAAGTGGGCTTGAGCAAGACACACGACGCGGACACAGGTGTCTCCCGAGCGCCAATGTCTGCACACCCTGACCCAGGCACTTTTCATTTTATCACCCCAGTGGGGATGAAGATGACGGTGACGATGGCGGTGATTACAATGATGGTTTTTATTCATTCCAATGACGGTGGCAATGGTGAAAATGACAGGGAAATAACGACGGTGTTTGTTGTAAAAACGATTCTCATAATGGTGACGATTCGGGTTATTGTAATGATGATGACAGTGACGATGACAACGATAAGAATATCAAGGTTACCGTTCGCGCACGTGTGTGTGTACGCGTGATTATAATCTGCGGCCAGGATACGAGCCACGTTCTGCAGGGGGATGTTCCCGCTGTGCAGCCGGGCAGCCGTCTGCTGCATCAGGTGGCGCCACAGCTCTTCCCCGCCAGCCAATGGGGAGCCCTCCAGGGCACCTGCCAGCTCCGCCACCGTCATGTGACCCACCCCCTTCCCAGCATGCACCGCAAGCCTGGACTCCCACTGGGAGGCGCTCACACACAGACGGGCGACAGGTCGCACAGATTAAATCAACTTACATCGACCCAATTAAAGCAATCATCCGTCCCTTACAGCAGCTCATTAGTGATGACGGCTCCAAACAAATGTCTGCCTTTGTCCTCTTTCTTTAGCCGTATTACGGCTTCATTCAGTCTCAATCCTCTCTTTTCTAGGCGTTCTACCGCTGCATTTATCCACTTAGTTTGGTTTTGTCTCCCCCCTTATACTCTTCTTTCCCTTCCACTCATGTGTGCATCGCCAGGTCAGGGGGTCCTGTCTGGGCTCGTGACGCAGGATGCTGTTTGCACGCGGAAGCATCTGAAGCAACGCACGAGCACAATAAGACGTTTTGGAGGGAAGTGTTCATCTTAAAGCCCAAGAGCGAGCAGGCGTACTGCTCTGCAATGAAGTCAGATTTTAAACAATCATTGTCAAATTAACACAGGCTTTCGAGATCAACATCATCCACAATATAGGTGTTTTGGGTTAGGTCGCGTAAATGTGTCGTTAAACCCGCCACCACCCGACACAGCCAATTAGTAAGGTTTGTCAAGTAAACAACGTGACAATTCGTTACTAGTACAGCACACCGGTAGTGTGTTCGGGAGCAAAACCACAACATTTACAATCTGAGTACGACGTTTCGCCAGGAATAACCACAAGGATCATCATGAGGCGGACAGCCAGATTTGTGGAGAAATCCTATTTCGTTTCTTAAATAGAGGGATATTTGTGATGACGTCACTTGCGAGCCCTTCACATGCGAATGGGGGGGGGGATTAGTGAATGCATATGAATGACAATGGATATACATTGCTGGTTGGGTTATTCATATGGTAATCAGCGTGCATTATGCAATCATATTGTGCTCGCCAATTGCTCAAGTCTGAAGCCACTTTCTGCAATGAGTGAACACAGAATTGTCAAGGGGTTCCTGGATCGTCGATGCTGCAAGTATTTGGGTGCAAAGTCATCATGCACTTGGCAAGGAAGAGGGGAGCAGTGGTTAGCCTTGCTGAGTATCATAAAACGTCAGGAGGGAGAAAATAGAATGATATGTTTATTATATAATATATTCCTACACCTCCGATTCGCACGGTTGGCTACGTACGGTGCGAAAGAAGTTCAACATACGTTAATAATATATTGTTCTAAATATATCATCATGATTTGTATCGACAAATAATTGTATCTTCTGATGAAGCGAGCTACTCAACGCCGTGCTCAACTACAGGCTGTACGACCAGAAAATGCATCGCAGAGTCACGTAGGTAAAAAATGAAAAAAATAATAATACACTAATAGGGTTTTTCCCCTTTTTTCTGGCAACAAAAACTGACACCTTTTGCAAGGAATCATGCTTACATTAACCACAATATTTGCAGTCAAATGCAAACAAAAAACAATACTCTGATAATGTATGCATTGTCTTTGAAACACACCAGAGACAGCTTTCTTTAGAGCCTAGTCTCATATGGTGTTCGACCAGATGACGCCAAAAGGCGCCTTTTGGCGTCATCTGGTCGAACACCATATGAGAAAAAGCCAAAAGGCGCATTTTGGCGTCATCTGGTCGAACACCATATGAGACTAGGCTCTAAAGAAAGCTGTCCCTGGTGTGGACCAATCCGTTTCAAAGACAATGCATAAATTATCAGAGTATTGTTTTTTGTTTGCATTTGACTGCAAGTATTATGGTTAATGTAAGCATGATTCCTTGCAAAAGGTGTCAGTTTTTGTTGCCAGAAAAAAGGGGAAAAACCCTATTAGTATATTTTGATACTGGCAAAGGAGGTCCCATGATGAAATAAAAATAATAGTTACGGCACCGAACAGAAATGAGAAACACTGGCGGGTACAATCCAGCTGTGCGTAAAAGTGACCCGGCGACTCACAGGTGCTGGGATGTTTGTTGGTCGTGCGTACGGCGGGGTATTATATTCCTACACTCGAATTATAAGGTGTGGCGGAGAACGAATGGGAGGGGACGGTGGAATATTTATTTTGTCGCCGCACTTATTAAGCAGGTGAAAAACAAATTTTTAGGTCAAATAAACGTAAACGCGCGGTTTTGGATTTCATCGTTTTGTGGTGTTCATAAGAGAGAAGAGGATACGGAGAAAAGGGGGCGGCTTTGAAATGTAAGAGCCGCTGTACTGATTCTAACAAAACAAACACAAATTGGCCACGATAAATAACAAAGCAATCATACGGTGTTACACAACAATAGCGGCGGCGGAGGAGGGGGTGGCACCCTGCACATTTCAAACCGTATCGTCTTTAAGAGATCGCTTTCAAACCGCTGCCTGTTAACCGCAAAATACTCCGAGTGACGGCCACGCACACTCGACCGCCGTACGATTGCGGACAGCATCCTGACCAACGCCCCCTCGTCCGTGCGGCGTGGACGCGATATGCCATTTGGTGCGATGAATGGTGCAATCCCTGATTCGCTGGTTGAATCAACCCATTATTGCTTCCCGGTTGATACAATGACAACCACTATGTCGGGAAGTCAACAGTGGGCCGCCCTATGGATCCACTTGGCCCCGCCATAGCAATGCGGAATTTCACCACTGGCTCAGGGATGGTAAAAAAAAAAACTCAATGCTCATTTGAGTAATAAAATAATTATAATGCAATATAATTCACGTCAATCAGCTACTGGCTGAAGGCCACCCACACTGTGTCCGTGTCTGCTGTGGGATTCATTTCACCCATACTTCACCACGCTGGTCAGTTCAGGTTGGTGAAGCTGGATGGGGGGGGGGGGGGGGGCAGAGGGGGGTCCTCTACTGTTAGGTATCACTCGACGCTGATGTTATCCCTGGCCGGGAATTCGAATTCAGGTGGAAAGGTTGATTGCATCCATGCGCTAACCACCACGCCGCTGCTCGTGACGTGAGAAATGTCACGACTATTAATATGCAACAAGCGTGGTCATTCGCAGAAAGGAGCTCTGCGTGAAGCAGACAAACGTTTCAACCAAACATGCATCGTGAAGTTATAACAATTACTCTCCACGTTTGCAACTTTTGGATGACAATTCAATAAATGGGACCTCGGTTGCCAGTACCAAAATATGCTAATAAGTTTTTCCACTTTTTTCTGCCAACAAAACAGGTGTTAAGATGTTAAAACACCAAACTGAAACCTTTTACAAGAAAACTGAATGGTCCACACCAGAGACAGCTTTCTTTTAAGCCTCGTCTCGAACAGTGTTAGACCTTTTGGCTGTCTCTGGTGTGGACCAATCAGTTTCAAAGACAATGGATATATTATCAGAGTATGTTTCTAGATTTGAAGCTGATGACGGAGACTTGTGTTGCCTCCGAAACGTCGTAATTTTTATTTTATTTTATTAATTTAAATTTCATTTTTTACCTACGTGACTTTACCGAAAGAACTAAGAGTATATATCACAGTATGTGTTTTTGTTTGCATTCTGACCACAAGCATTGTGGTCAATGCAGACATTATTCCTTGTAAAAAGGTTTCAGTTTGGTGTTTCAACATCTTAACACCAGTTTTGTTGCCAGAAAAAGGGGAAAAACCTATTATCAACTTCAATAAATGTTTTGGAAATTCCCCACCACCACCACCACCGACCACGGTATACAAAACAACGTGCTCGTAATGAGATAAGACAAAGCATGACAATTAGAAATACGTTAGGCCGAAGATTACAACGTCTGCTTCTGTGGAGCTCGATATTTGTTCGTTCAGTCTATTAAATTGTTATCGTCTTGAGTTCTAAACAAACAAAAAAACTTATGCCATTATGTCAAATAATTTACGCGAGCATCCTGGACAAACGCAGCCGGCTCAACGACAGCGGAGTGTCGTTATACATTCTCAGACCAGGAACACATAGACCTTGGTCTTGTTACGTAAACATTTAAGAAAGGTAGCATTTCCAGCTGCTCCCCCTTGTTTTTTTTTCATCCGCCGACCTCCTGTGTGTTTAGTAAAGTGTCACGCGTGATTAATATTAAGCCTTCTGTCTTTACACCGTAACTAACACCCGCGTATTATTTTGTCCCTGGCGCGGTCGTTTATTGTTACGCTGTTTACACAATGTGTCCACAAGGCGCCAACTGATATCAAAAGCCAAGTGTCTTTTCGGCAGAGTCAATATCGAGAATAGTGTAATTACAAACAAAGGTTTGCCTGATTTTTAACACTTCATGACATACATACAAGGTTGTCTGTGGCCCCCGCCTGAACGATGCAAATTGTAAACAGTCATAAGCCATTTAGTTTCGCGCAGTAGACAAAGCTCGAAGCTCTCTCACTGCACGGTCCTTGATCCATTTGCCCAGAAGTGCCTTATGGGTACCCCATGGGGTGGCAAATACGAACTATTATTTTTCTATAACTTATCTTATTTTATCTTATCTAGTTTATCTTATTCTTGGGTCTTTCGGTAAAGTCACGAAGATACGCTTGCGAAACGCTTGTGTTGCGATCGAAACGTCGTAGTTTTCTGTTATTTTTTTTATTAATTTCTTTGAACCTATCTACGTGACTTTACCGAAAGACCCGAGAATATGAATTCCTGCAGTCACGAAAGCTTTAAGTCATGTTTTATCTTCATCACAATTGTCTATGATAGCAAGGCCCCCATAGTAGCTTTATAACAGAGAACGTTTATTAAATTGATCACGTGTTTGATAGAGAATGTTGTTTTTACTTGCTAAATAACGTGATATGAAATGTCCACGGATTATGAAAATAAACAGAAAGTTTAAAACTGACAGCATGAATTCTAGATTTGAAGCTTTCATGACTGCAAGTATTCATATTCTTATGTTTTTTCGGTAAAGTCACGTCGGTAAAAAAATAAAATTAATAAAAGTAAAATAAAAATAAAATAAAAATCACGACGTTTCGGAGGCAACACAAGCTTCCGTCTTCCACCTGAAGACGGAAGCTTGTGTTGCCTCCGAAACGTCCACCTGAAGACGGAAGCTTGTGTTGCCTCCGAAACGTCGTGATTTTTATTTTATTTTTATTTTACTCTTATTAATTTTAATTTTTTTACCTGCGTGACTTTACCGAAAAAAACCTAAGAATATGACAGCATGAAAACGTACTAAATGCCATCCCCAGAGTGGACAGTGCCAAGGGTGGACACTTACCACGGCGGATATTTGCCACCCCAGGTGTCACGAGCGCTGTGCGTAAAGAACCACATCTGCACCCGCGGTCTGCTCACCCATACGAGAGGGTTTCGCATTCATATCTCAATAGATAGAATTTCAAGTTTGGCCGGGAGTGATCTCTGGCTCGGAATTCAACTGAGACGATTGTGAGTGGGAAGCACTGCCGCCAGACCAGCCGTGCTACATTGCAGCGTTGACCTATTTCACCTCCAAATTCATGCTCACACGATGATCCGATGTGAACTTTCTCAACTGCTCGTGCTCGGCTTGACTGCTGAAGGACATTGCACTTTGGTCATCTGCCAATCAACGCAGCACCGTACAAGGTGCACAAACTGTAAGAAGCTGAACAAATTTGCATAATTTGTTTACTAGGTAAAGTACTCTAAATAACAATTACAACGTTCACAGCCCGTTGTCATTCCAATGCTGGATGAAGACCTTCCCAACGCAATATCAGTTATAGGGGTTCTTTGACCATACTTCACTATAGTGTGGTCCTGTAAAGGGGGGACCCTGGACCCATGCGTATGCCACTCGCCACTGATGTTAGCCGTGGCCATAAATCGAACTCGGGTCTCCGAGTTCGTAGTGCATTGCGGTAATCACTGCACCACCGCTGCACCTCCACAGTTGTAAATGACCCTTATGTCATCATCATCATCACCATCGTCATCAGCCATGATCTATCCACTGCTGGATTAAGGCCTTGGGACAGGGGACCCTAATGTATAATTCCCCTATTGAGATTGCCCTGGTGCCTGTTTGATTAGGCAGGAATGGATTCACACAACCAGATTTTTTATGGATTATCACGATTCTATTAAAAACAAATGGATACTTTTTAGTATTTTTTTTTTACATCTCACAGCGACAGTTGTATTCGGTGCATTAGTCGATACGTACACATCGCATATAACGTGCATACCAGTTCGAGGATCTCAGAAATAAACCATTCTCGTGCGGATGATTTCACGTGCGGCACATCTAAACAATTTATCCGCGGGAACCGACGTCCCGGTCGTAGTCGTATCGCCAAAGTCGATATCCGCGCATCGCATCGTGAAACACGATGTCGCAGCCAACCCCCGTGTCTGCAGAGGCGGTGTTGGTTTGGGTTTGCGAGCGCTACCTCCGCGAAGGCCGGATCCGCGTTCCCAATGACGCGCTGCAGCAGGAACTCCAGCACGAGCCGCTCGGTGAAGGAGTTTTCGCTGAACGCGGCAAATCCCATCGCCAGCTCGTCCAAATCCTCCTCCTGCGGGAGGCGGGAATAACGGCGGACGCACGCTCATGGAACGTTCATCCATCCAAACGCGCCCCACTCATTCTTTCATTCATCTCCGCATCGCGAACGTAGTACACTTGCGATGTACGGTCACGCGCGTACCGCTGCGTAACACGTACCCCCCCCCCTCCCCATAGCCAGAGATTCCACATCCTCCTCCAGCTGAGCGAGCATCGGCGCACGCGCTCGTAACGCCGTGTCCCCTCGCGTTCGTTAGAGCACGGCGAACGAAGGCGGCGCTCCACCGGTACTTGTTTGCGAGCGGTTTAAAGCGGCGTTGCAGTCGGCTTCACCGCTCGGGCAATTGTGGCCACGAGTGGCATGGCAACGAGCGTCCGTTGCGCGTGCGTAACTACCTGCTCGAATTGCGCAAAATAGCGCGCCGTCACTTAAACCATTTTGGCAATTTAACTACCAAACGGCCTTGGCCACGTGTTTGACCCGCACCTCTGCTGAGCACGGTTGGCTTAGTACGGCGGGAGAGAAGTTCAACGGTACATGCAAAAAATTTCGATTTAAAGCTTTCGTGACTGCAGGGATTCATCTTCTTGGTTCTTTCGGTAAAGTCCCCGACAAACCTGGTCTTCACCTGAGGACGGCTGCTTGCATTGTGGCCGAAACGTCGTGAGAATTATTTTTATTATTTTATTATTTCCCTTCTACGTGACTTTACCGAAAGAACCAAGAAGGTACATGCATACACATGTCGTTTTATTCTTTTGTGACAGATTTTTGGTTGTCGATTTTTGGATCTTAGGTTGTGGCTAAATATGAACGCTGCCGAGATGCTGGGCTTGCATGCGCGTTTCAGCCACCCATGCTTAACCCGGGTTCTCAGGCGCGGCGGATTGATGATGGTCGTACTAAATTAGTTTGTTCACTTAATCTGGTAAATCCTCAATTCTCAGAATGAACGCGTTTCAGTTTGGCTGCCACGTGGCAAACACCGGCATAGCATCGCACAACCCTTGGCGATTTGATGATTTCTTACAATTCAGGTGTTTTATGTTACATATATTTAAATGGTGGTGAATGTAGCAGCCTCTAGTAGTAGCAGGGGTCAAACGATCTGGTTACGTACAATGTACATAAGTAAAAAGTAATCCATTTGTCCTTTGCACGGTTCAATTCACGCGTCGTAAAGTGCAAAGATCGATTTAATTGATGTTTTTGCCTTCGTAAGTTGTGTGACTCAGTTCACTCTTGCAAATGAGACTTAGCCTGGTCTCTTCGAGTTCTCACCTGATTGAACAAATAAATTGAAGAATCGATGCAACGGCACACCCACATTCATCAGTGTGCGCTTACGCACGTAACAAAAAAAAACACTTAGTTCGCTCTGTTAATTCTCTCTACATTTGAATGACCGATTTACGGACCGACATTCGGGTCTCTAGATTTTAACTCCGCTGTTGAAAACAATGCTCGAGGCTGCGAACGCGCACCTCCTGCGTAAAGCCTCGCTACAGCGATAACGACGCAAATTAATATCGCGATAAAACAGCTGGCCGCAAGCATCATAGAGTGAATAGCAGCTGCATTGCTTCAAATACACCGCGTGAGAAACGCAAAATATAACTATGGCCGAGTGATATTGACAAAATGCGGAACGCCAATTTAGCATTGTATCCTTGTACACACAAAAGCACAGCTGACACGTAGCTGTGCTGGCACAACAAGCTCTACCAAGGAGAGCACACACAGCACAGGGCAGTGTACACACCAGGTGAGGGCGAGTGCGCGACAACGCCTCGGCGAATTTCGATTTAAAGCTTTCGTGACTGCAGGGATTCATCTTCTTGGTTCTTTCGGTAAAGTCACTTAGAAGGGAAATAATAAATTAATTAAAATAAAACATAATATAAATAATTCTCACGGCCACAACGCAAGCAGCCGTCCTCAGGTGAAGAACAGGTCTGTCTTTCCGACAGACCTGTTCTTCACCTGAGGACGGCTGCTTGCGTTGTCTGTCTTTCCGACAAACCTGTTCTTCACCTGTGGACGGCTGCTTGCGTTGTGGCCGAAACGTCGTGAGAATTATTTTATTATGTTTTCTTTTTATTATTTTATTATTTCCCTTCTACGTGACTTTACCGAAAGAACCAAGAAGACGAACGCCTCGGTGGACAAATAATTATCACCCCCGCGATGAAGGGACCCAACCTCTTCGCTCGTTCACTCGTTCATCCCAGCTGGTGAAAAAAATATCGACACGTGACTCGCGAGGGGTTGGTGGCCGTCGGAACGGACCGCCTATGTGCTGGATCGCTGCGATTCAGGGGTTGCCATCCGATGCAAGGCTCCGTTCTACCCTTTAAAAGCACAGTGGCGGATATTAGCGGCCTCCAGCGAGTGCGCGGGTCACGTGAACCCATTCCACACAGCATGTACGAATATTGCGAGCTCAAAGAATCGACATCAATCGATTATTAGACGCATCCTTACACCACCGGAATTACATTTCCTCCGAGTAGTTTGTCTGAGCAGTTAACCTCTCGTAATAAATGTGAATGAGGTGGTACGCTGGGGCAGGAACGTGGTGGCCTCCGTTAGATTCCCAGCCAGAGCAAAGTCAAATATTAGGCGATCACTGGGTTCGGCCCTTCACCAACCCACACCGATTGGTGTGGTGAAGTATTTGTTATCGGTAGAAAAATAACCTCTACCCAAATGACACGCGTGGAGGCTTTCCACCAGCGGTGAATTTACTTGGCACCCTGGTGTCTTTCTCTCGCAGACACGGCCACTCGCCATCGTACGCGGTGAGACTACGAACGGAGTCGGAGCCGACGCCAAGAAGTGTTAAGGGGGGGGGGGAGGAGGAAAAAAAAAGGGAGAAAAAAAACTGGTGCAAATTTTCTAAATCAAATTGGTCTGGCACCAATGAGCAGGTGATGTGAAGACTCCGTGTCAGCTCAGGCTCACCAGCAGTTGGCGTAAACAAGCGCCGCTCCCCGCTCGCGATAATTGAGGAACAGTTTCTGTTTGCCGTGCCTTGGTGTGGCCGCAGGGACCGCGGGCTTCGCAATTTTAACGATGAGATCTGCGTCCGCACAATTAACAGGATGCGGATTCCTATTTCAGGAGACGGAGTCCGCGGATCGCCTCGCGCTGCGCTTTGTTCCGCCGACAAGCGGCGGGCGGGCGACCGACCGAGCGAGCGATTGAGCGTTGTCACGTTCGCTTTGCGATGCTTGTATTGCTTTCTGGGTAATTGCAGGGCTGGTCACGTGACATACGTGACAATTGCACCGTGCTTACGACCGTGGGCACCGGAGTTCAATTCCCAACCATGGCTAACATCGGCGGCATGCAGTCATATCTACACTGAGCAGCGTGGTGAAGTATGGTTTAAAGAACAATACATGATCAACACAGAATGAGACCTTCATCCAGCAGTTGATTTCCAAGGCACTGAACACGTGAGCACACGTGCACATGTACGCAACGCAGTTTGAGATTCAGGGCAATGCGAGACAAGATAATTTTTACATTGTGACCGGAACATACATCAGTTCAGCGTGCAGATGAATTAACTTAAAAAATGTATATATGTCATACATCCAGAAGCCATGTGATGATGTCATACAAAATGATTCACATACAAAGCAATGCATTGCGCCGTAACAATGCTTCCAATAACCGACACACACGTGGCTGCATTGTAAACTTTGTTGGGTTCACGTGTGTGTACGTGTGTGTACGTGTGTGTACAGCCCTCTGTCATTCCTGCTGGAAGAGGGCCTCCTCCATGCCAAGAGGATCGTGGAGTTTATTCGACCAATTGGACGTGGGGACAAAAAAATTGAGGACGACAATTGATTTTGCTTCACTGCTCTCCGTGGCTCGTGACGCAGCGCCGTAGCCGCACGTGCGACGTCATCCTGGTCGCATCTTTAACAAATCATAAAACACCTGCCTTCCATCCCCATGATGCGGACGCTCCAGCTTGTAGAAGCGTGCGTTTTCGAGTATTTGCCTGCTGTACATTTCCACGTGATGAGCCACTTCGTTCAGCTATCATTTGTGGCCAGGAAAAAAAGAGTAAAGCGGTGGGCTTTACCTGGTATGATAAAAAAACAATGTTTATAGTTTAAATAGTAATGGTAACAAAAAAAAAATCCTGTGCAGTGCCTCGAGCTGCTGACTGATGCTCCTTTTTGGCGCTGCCACGCAAATTCCGAACCGTGCCGCACTGCAACCGACGCTCGCGCGGCGTGCGCGGTGTGCGACGCGCGGCCGTACCTGCAGGAAGGGGTAGAGCGCGGACGCGAGCTCGTAGAAATCCACGACGCCGCCCCACGTCACGCAGCCCGCCGCCTCGGCGAGGAGGCTCGCGTAGCGCACGGCGGCTCCGTCCAGAGCGCCGCTCAGCGCCAGCGCGAAAACCCTGCACAGCTGCGACGACGGCCACCGCGGTTTGCCAAGTTCCGACACAACGGCGACGATCGCTTAGGCGTTCCGCCACGGGCATCAGGAACGGCACAACGATGGCACGACTCTCTGCCTGGGACCAGGCTGCGTGGTGGTCGGACGATGGCGGTACAGCAATGGATCATGTTGAATCTATCGGCGCTCTGGAGATTGATCTCCTCGTACGTGCTGCGGGCTTTCTCCGGGGCTCTCCGGTTTCGGCCCACACGCCGAACGCTCGTTTACGCTGTTGGTCAATCACCCTGATGCATGGCCGTCCTCCCGTTAAGCATTGAGGCTCAGTGAGGCTTTCCTGGATAATGAATAAATGGCATTATTATTCTTAGTTCTGCTGTGCATCTCATTTTGTTGTTTAATACCCAGCCACTTGACAGTTACGAACAGGACACAGCAAAACAAACCGGGATTTGTTTCCCACTGCGGGCGATTGAGTGCGCATGCATGCGTGTGCGTGCATGCGTGTGCGTGCATGCATGTGCGTGCATGTGTGTGCGTGCGTTTGGAAGTATTTGCTTGCGTTTTTGCAGCCTGGGGAGGGGTTGTGTAATGGTTAGTGCGCTGCGCTACAAACCCGGTGACCCGAGTTCGATTCCCACTCACGGCCAATACCATTGACGATTATCTGAACCGGTGCTGAGCCTCTCCTAGGTCGACTCAGCTTCAAATGAGGAGACAAAGGCGGCCTGGCGCGGTGCTGGTCACCCACCGCCCTTGTGTGCCGTGCCGGCCTTCATAGGTGCTGCTCGCTAACAGCACTTGCCCCAACAGTCTGTTAAGGCCAATGGGGGCAATCCCTCCAGCAATAAAAAATGATAGAGGAGTTGTTAGTAAGTAAGGACTTGTACTTTGCTTTTCATTCGACGCGTGTGCGGTGATGGCGCAGCCATCGATCGAGGGTCAAATTCGAGCAGCGTTGTGTGATCGGCATCGCGCTCGCTGAAGCTGTTGATGCCTTCAGGGAAGTCGTGTGCTGTATACGCAACTGCGCACAATTCTGTGAGTCACTTACAACCGCTTTGCCGTTACTTATTGCCAATTATGGACTCAGACTATTGTCCTGTCATCTCATAGAGTCCCTGGCACGTAATAATATGCTACTCAGTGGCAGTGGGGGTCACAAAATGCCGATTTATTACTAATAAACCCCAATGATCCGATCGAAATTAGGGATTTCGATCGGATCATTGGGGGGGCACGTGCCACCCCCCCCCCCACTTGCCCCGCCAGTGGTTAAGGCTAGACGGGGGATCTTTGTCTTTGTTGTTGTTGTGGTACCTTGTTGGAGGCGCCGTGCTTCGTAACCGCGCTGAGGAAATGGTGGGCGGCCTCTCCCTCCAGCTCGTCCGTGTAGCGCTCAGCGATGAACTTCCACAGGCAGCCCTGGAGCACCCACACGAGGGGAGAGCACCCGGCGATGATCACGACACGACCACTGCACCCCGAGTGTGCTCGAGCTCGCAAGCTAAGCAGGGTTTTAGCCTGCTTCTTGCTGGGATGGGAGACTGCCTGGGAATGCCAGGTGTATGTGCGGCGCCCGTGAGATGGTAGCAGCAGCAGCGATGGATTAAATCCATCAGCAAAACAATTATTAAAATTGCAAGAGAAAATATTAAACACATTTAATGTCAATTTTACATGGCCGAGAGATGGAAATGCGGCAATAGATTCTGGAATCTTTCAGCAAAGAGCTCTCAGTGTTATCCCCGTTCACGTGTAGTTATTCTTTGGGTAGTCTGGTTTTTGACAAGACGAAGGCAAATAATGATGAATTAAATTGGTCATCCCAATGCAGGACCCTCCGGAAAAATAACTCGGTGAGGATTTTGCTGGTGCACACAAAGATTGTTATTAAAATCATTCTCACAGCATTTCTAGTTTTCTAATTTATTTTTTGAGTGGGAGGAAACCACAGTACTAAGGACAAAACCACATGTTGCCGGTCTCGAGCAATCCCAACATCCATGTGGATAGGTCAACGCTGGTCTCGAGCAATCCCAACATCCATGTGGATAGGTCAACGCTGGTCTCGAGCAATCCCAACATCCATGTGGATAGGTCAACGCTGGTCTCGAGCAATCCCAACATCCATGTGGACAGGTCAACGCTGGTCTCGAGCAATCCCAACATCCATGTGGATAGGTCAACGCTGGTCTCGAGCAATCCCAACATCCATGTGGATAGGTCAACGCTGGTCTCGAGCAATCCCAACATCCATGTGGATAGGTCAACGCCGGTCTCGAGCAATCCCAACATCCATGTGGACAGGTCAACGCCGGTCTCGAGCAATCCCAACATCCATGTGGATAGGTCAACGCTGGTCTCGAGCAATCCCAACATCCATGTGGACAGGTCAACGCTGGTCTCGAGCAATCCCAACATCCATGTGGACAGGTCAACGCTGGTCTCGAGCAATCCCAACATCCATGTGGATAGGTCAACGCTGGTCTCGAGCAATCCCAACATCCATGTGGACAGGTCAACGCTGGTCTCGAGCAATCCCAACCAACGCTGGTCTCGAGCAATCCCAACATCCATGTGGATAGGTCAACGCTGGTCTCGAGCAATCCCAACATCCATGTGGATAGGTCAACGCCGGTCTCGAGCAATCCCAACATCCATGTGGACAGGTCAACGCCGGTCTCGAGCAATCCCAACATCCATGTGGATAGGTCAACGCTGGTCTCGAGCAATCCCAACATCCATGTGGACAGGTCAACGCTGGTCTCGAGCAATCCCAACATCCATGTGGACAGGTCAACGCTGGTCTCGAGCAATCCCAACATCCATGTGGATAGGTCAACGCTGGTCTCGAGCAATCCCAACATCCATGTGGACAGGTCAACGCTGGTCTCGAGCAATCCCAACATCCATGTGGACAGGTCAACGCTGGTCTCGAGCAATCCCAACATCCATGTGGACAGGTCAACGCTGGTCTCGAGCAATCCCAACATCCATGTGGACAGGTCAACGCTGGTCTCGAGCAATCCCAACATCCATGTGGACAGGTCAACGCTGGTCTCGAGCAATCCCAACATCCATGTGGATAGGTCAACGCTGGTCTCGAGCAATCCCAACATCCATGTGGATAGGTCAACGCTGGTCTCGAGCAATCCCAACATCCATGTGGACAGGTCAACGCTGGTCTCGAGCAATCCCAACATCCATGTGGACAGGTCAACGCTGGTCTCGAGCAATCCCAACATCCATGTGGACAGGTCAACGCTGGTCTCGAGCAATCCCAACATCCATGTGGATAGGTCAACGCTGGTCTCGAGCAATCCCAACATCCATGTGGACAGGTCAACGCTGGTCTCGAGCAATCCCAACATCCATGTGGATAGGTCAACGCTGGTCTCGAGCAATCCCAACATCCATGTGGATAGGTCAACGCCGGTCTCGAGCAATCCCAACATCCATGTGGATAGGTCAACGCTGGTCTCGAGCAATCCCAACATCCATGTGGACAGGTCAACGCTGGTCTCGAGCAATCCCAACATCCATGTGGATAGGTCAACGCCGGTCTCGAGCAATCCCAACATCCATGTGGACAGGTCAACGCTGGTCTCGAGCAATCCCAACATCCAGGTGGATAGGTCAACGCTGGTCTCGAGCAATCCCAACATCCATGTGGATAGGTCAACGCTGGTCTCGAGCAATCCCAACATCCATGTGGATAGGTCAACGCTGGTCTCGAGCAATCCCAACATCCATGTGGATAGGTCAACGCTGGTCTCGAGCAATCCCAACATCCATGTGGACAGGTCAACGCCGGTCTCGAGCAATCCCAACATCCATGTGGATAGGTCAACGCTGGTCTCGAGCAATCCCAACATCCATGTGGATAGGTCAACGCCTTTCTGAGCCCATTGCTCAGGCCACGTCAAAGATATGGAAGTTTGTGTCTCGTGCAGATGAGCGGTCAAACAATGATGCCGCTAAAGGCTATAGGCGTGTGGCACTATGCAAGCAGTAGTCTGATTATAAATATGCCTGTGCCACTATGCCCGGATAGTATTAGTGTGAGTATTAAACATGCAAATAAGAATCATGCATCAAGTTTATACAGCAGCTTAGCTGAATGAGACTTCAATGTCAATTTCACAAACACAGTTTTGCTTCCAATTACCAGTTTGTTTGTCACAAATTGCTTGTGATTTTTTTTTGGTTGCCAATAAAGAAAGTGTTGCATTGATTTATCCAGTGTTCTCATTTGCCTTGCTTTCTGGGTAACACACGATCACATGACTTGGCAATAACATATGTGACTCCAACTTCGCACAAAGGCAATTTGAGCTTTAATTAAATTAGTATTCATTAAACAGTTGAATTCTATTAATTAAAATGTATTTAACATCCAGTGCGACATGAACAAACACTGCTTTAACCAGAAATAATGTCGCAAAAACAACAGTTCAATATACAAAACTGCGTCCAAAGTCGCGATGCGTTGCTGCGGGACATGATAGACACTATAACATTCTAAATTTCTACCTTATAAATGAAAATACGATTTATTTCACCAGCCAATTGGCTTCGCGGACGTAATATTATCCAGCAGAATTCGTTTTCGCGAACAAAGTCCGCTCCGACAAAACGGGTGGATATCGAGTCAATGTGTCGGGATGGATAGCTGTGTGTACGGATTATATATTCTTGGGTTTATTCGGTAAAGTCACGCTCAGTCCTTTGTTATGTAGACTAACCGTAGTTTCAGCCGCACCAACCTTACCATAATAATAAAAAAGGGGCCTGTCCTGGCTCCTCCCCCCTCAACCAGTATATATATACGGGGTTGGATCTCTTGGAATCTCTCATTTACTTGATACAGCTGTCGTGGCTGTGACGGTTCCACCTGAAGACGGAAGCTTGTGTTGCCTCCGAAACGTTGTGATTTTAATTTTATTTTAATTTTATGTTACTTTGATAAATTTAAATTAAAAAAAATTTACCTACGTGACTTTACCGAAAAAACCCAAGAATATGAATCCTTGCAGTCACGAAAGCTTCAAATCTAGAATATACACATTATATGTTGAGCGTCTTTCACATCGTACGTAGCCGACCATGCTAATCGGAGGCGCACTTTGCTCTGCAAGGGCCCGGTGACTCACCAGGACAGACGGACTGGGAGCGCCGGCACGGCTCGCGTCGTCATTCCACAGCAACGTGGCCACAAACTGCTCCACCAGAAACAAGCAGCGCTCCTGAGAAAAATAAAAAACAAACAACGATTTAAAGCTTTCGTGACTGCAGGGATTAATCTGCTTGGTTCTTTCGGTAAAGTCACGTAGAAGGAAAATAAGAAAATAAGAAAAATATATCATAATAAAATAATTCTCACGATGTTTCGGCCACAACGCAAGCAGCCGTCCTCTCCACCTGAGGACGGCTGCTTGCGTTGTTTTATTTTTATTATTTTATTATTTTCCTTCGACGTGACTTTACCGAAAGAACCAAGAAGAAAAAAAACGTTCAGAAAACAACGACCAAAGACTCAAGCCACAGGGGTCCGGCAACCCGTCGCTGCGGAGTTGCGTTGCGGCTCTTATAGGACTACCCATTGACATGCTAATTTTTCTCTAACCCAGAGCCGGCCCAGCCACTTAGCGACCCTTGCAATTGCAAAGGGCCCCGTGGCCAGCAGAGGGCCCCCTAGAGTCACTGCTAGCTCGTGGGTGAAAAAAATCATACATCAAAGGGGCCTCCAACCAAATTTTGCTTAGGGCCCCCAAAGGTCTAGGGCCGGTTCTGCTCTAACACCCTCCCTCTCTCCGCCCCCGCCCCCTCTCTCTATTTAAAGCCTCGTCACAGAGACGTTCTCTCTCTGTGTGCCCGATGTGTGTTCTCTCTCTATGTGTCTTTGTGACATCTGTCTGCTTATATGTCTGTCTATAGTTTTCTGGTTAGATTTTTGTTGCTATTTCTTTTATACCTGATGACGATTGCTTGTGTTGCAATCGAAACGTCGTAGTATGCTATTATTTAATTTATTATTTTATCTTCATACGTGACTTTACCGAAAGAACCAAAGAGTAATTCCTGCAGTCACGAAAGCTCCAAATTAAGATCTTTAAGGACTGGCCTCGTGACGTCGTTTATTAAGGACCCCCGCCGTCTCGTGTTCACGTGCATTGCGGCCCTCGAAATATTGTTTACCGAATTCGAAAAAAAATGTGTCTCTGCTTGTTATTTTTGGTTGCCGACCCCTGAAACGGGTCAACACATTATCCTTACGCCAGGATGCAAGCAAAATATATGAAAACGCTCGTATTTAAGCATTCAACAAAAAAAAAATCACAGCCATTTGTCAATCCACTGGTGGATGAAGAAATCCCCCATGCCATGTCAGTCATGGGGGTTTAATTGGCCATACTTCACCATGCTGGTGAGTATAGGTTTGTGAAGGAGGAAACGGCCCAGTACTGGTTCAGACATCACCCGTTCGCCACTGATGTTAGCCGTGGCTGGAATTCGAAAGCAAGTCACTGATTTTGTAGAGCAGTGCGCTCACCACTGTGCCACCACTCCCCGCACCCCACCTGCCACCTCCATTATGCCTTTTACAAAAATTAAAATGTAATCATCCTCCAAGTCATTTGGAACAAAACCAAAATGCACGTGGTGAAGATGATTATTAACAACATCCAAACATTCGTGAACATCAAGGTACTGTATAGTCTTAAAATGTTTTGCCCTAAGGGTATTATTACCTCCACGCATGTGTAAGTCTTAATTTGTGCAATTGCCCACATTATTCATGTGCCGTACTGGGTTATCTGTGGTGATGGAGGGGAGGGGTGGAGCGGATAATTAAAAAAACATTCATAAAGCAAGACATCTACTTGAGGATATAAACACGAATATTTATTCATTCCACGCACCAAGACATCAAGATACGGCCCCCCGCAGCCTTGCAGTGTCCGGCCCATCTACTCACCTACCTACTCACCCCCTCGCTCACCTACTCACACACCCACTTGGTCACATTAGCAGTGTCAGGGCCTTTCTCGCCTACCCACTCACTCACCCAATCAATCAAATCACGTTCGCAGTGTCCGGCCCATCTACTCACCTACCTACTCATCCCCTCGCTCACCTACTCACACACCCACTTGCTCACATTAGCAATGGTCGGGCCTTCTCGCCTACCTAGTCACCCACTCACTCACCCAATCAATCAAATCACGTTCGTAGTGTCCGGCCCATCTATTCACCTACCTGATCATCCCCTCGCTCACCTACTCACACACCCACTTGCTCACATTAGCAGTGGTCGGGCCTTCTCGCCTACCGAGTCACCCACTCACTCACCCAATCAATCAAATCACATTCGTAGTGTCCGGCCCATCTACTCACCTACCTACTCATGCACTCGCTCACCTACTCACACACCCACTTACTCACATTAGCAGTGTCCGGGCCTTCTCGCCTACCTAGTCACCCACTCAATCACCCAATCAATCAAATCACGTTCGTAGTGTCCGGCCCATCTCCTCATCTACCGACTCACTCACCCACGTGGTCACGTTAGTCGTTTCCCGGCCATCTCCTCCTCCCATGTTTTACTCACCCATTCAATCACCCACTGACTCACTCACCCACTCACGAATGTCAGTAGTGTCCGGGCCCTCTCCGTGAAACTCATTGCTGGTCACCGTTCGCGATTTGTCTGCAAGTCCCAACCAGTTCTGCAGTATAGTCAAGTCGAGACAGAACTCTTCAGTAAAGCCTATAATCAAAATGAGAATCTGTATTCATCCTGGAGAAATCCAATGAGCTTTGAAGGCCCCTTTCACAGCTTACGAGCCATAACCATGGCACCTTCGTGACGGAAGCCTTTGCGCTGTAAGAATGACGCTAATACCACACGTATTGATTCATCATGTACTTTTCTTTACCTAAGCATGACGGGGGAGGGAGGTGACGATGTAGAATGTGTAATCTTAAATTGGTTTACTTGCCAATTCGTTTGTGGTCACGTGGACAAATAAGTCACTGTCTGCAACCGGTGTTAATTGACAGCCCGGATAATCCACCCACAGTTGATCGACAGTGACCTGCACTCTATTCCCATGTTTGCCAGTTGTTTGTTGTTGTTGCTCAAATTGGACTAAAGTGCTGATTGTGCAGAAGGAATTTCGGTCGGATGGCAGTAAAGATTTACAGGCGTAGCCCTGCTTTCATAATCAACGTTTTTGGGTTTAAATCGCGTTATTTATAAATGTGTCGTAACCCTCCACCATCCGACACGGCCAATCAGTAAAAAAGTGTCACGTTGACAAAAGACAAATAGTTCACTGCAATTGCCCGATCATGCTGGATGCAATTACCAGCGAAACGTCGTACTCAAATTGTAAATGTTGTGGTTTCACGCTTCAACACACCGGTGGGCTAAAGGAGTGAACTATTTGTCTTTTGTCAACGTGGATTAACGTTGATTATGAATAATATTGGTCGCGAATGCCTACGTGTTAAGTAGCCCTGCTTATTCCTCGACTGTGGCGCCTTCAGTGAGCTTCTAACGACAGGCGGAACGGACACACCTGAGCACGGCATTGCGCTCTGCAACTTCTTACGTGTCACCGAAAACGCCGTGGCCGACATCGTGATCGCTTATTCACATTCCAGCGTGTGCGAAATCAGTCGTGTGACACTTTTAATAAACCGTCATCACGGACAGCTCTTTCTCAATGCCCTGCTGGATGAAGGTATCCAAGCATCGTGTCAGTCACGCGGAATGTTTGACCATACTTCACCATGCTGGTGAGTGCGGGTTGTTGGGGAGGGGGGGTGCCACTAACGTTAGCCACGGCGGAGAATCGAACTCCATTCCCCAGGTTCGTAGCACACGGGATGCTAAGGCACTGCCCCACTGACTTGTGAGCCACTGCTCTGCACGCACAAATGGTTGTAGTGATATTAAAACAAAGCCCGAAGGGGGCGTCACTCCGCGGAGACGGAGCGATGGAATTAACTCGTGTGCAGGAGCCAGATTAACACACGGTGACGGCCGGGCGTGGGAGGGGGGTGAGACGTTAATCCAATGGTGGATAGATCACAACGGAGTTTGGTCATGGTGAGACCTATGACACCGCAGCAAGGATCATGATGACGCTTTATTCCTCCCATCCCCTCCAAACGCAATTCGATGCTCGGGACACATGAAGGCAGCGGGTGACCTTCGCGTTGCACCTGTAATTGTATCAATTACGTGCACACCCTTCTCTGCAAACAACATTTGCCTCGTGTGTGCCCCCTTTTGTGCAGTAAACAGGCAACAACACACGGGCGATGGAGACTGTATGAGCTCTAAATAGAAGCATCCCCAATGGCAAATCAATGGTGCCCCTCATCCACCAGCGCCACCGCAGAATGTATCCTATCAAGTTAATCTTGCCCTCTGCTGCTACAGCTACACGACTGATCCCGAAATGCGAAAGTCGGGAATCAAATTCAGGTCTCGCAAATCATTGCTCCACCCACTCCCCCCGCTGCCGTCATTGGCATTAAATCAGTCCCATTTACACGCACCTTTACATCAGCCGCACCTTAAAAACTCTTGGAACCTCCGAGTTCAACGAGTCTACACAACAAAGGCTCATTCCTAACAGCTTGCTTCAACCGCACCGAACCTCACAATAATAATATCCAGGGCCTACCTTGGCTCCTCCCACCCTCAACCAGTATATATACAAGGACTGTTTTCTTGGAATTTCTCTCACTTGATGCAGCTATCGTGCTGTGACGGTTCCACCTGAAGACGGAAGCTTGTGTTGCCTCCGAAACGTCGTGATTTTTATTTAATTTTTTATTTTACTTTCATTAATTTAAATTTAAAAATTTTACCTACGTGACTTTACCGAAAAAAAACTAATAATATGAATATTAAATCATCGTTTGTTACGCACAACGGCGATTGGATGCGCTGCATCGCGAGCGGCAATAATCACGATAATCAATCGACGCGTCGCTCGCTCGCTCGCCGGCTCGCGCCGAGACTCCAGCTCACGATGATCACCTCTAGACTTTAATTCTATCAAATCAAGTAATGTGCAAATAATATTTTTAAGCGTTAATTGAGTCTCGGAGGCACGTCTATAATGGGTTTTCGGCAAACAAAACTATAAAGTTAATTTCCTCTAATGGAAAGGCCCCCCGCGGTTTCCCAAAGACTGTGGGAGATGAGCTGTCACGCCACAAAGTGACGGCGGTATTTATAAACACAACAGAGCGAAACGTCACCGGCAGACTCGCACATGCAGGAAGCGGGTTAATCAAGAGGGTTTCATGGAGGCGTGTGGTTTCTTTTTTTGTTACTGGCATAATAATAATAATAAACAGCACGTCAACGCATGTGTTCGAGAATATTCGCAGCAGGTTAAATAACACCATCGATCTGTTAGGAAGAACCGAGAAACAAGCCGATGCCACAAACAAAATCTGGTGACTTTTTTTTTTTGGGTCCAAAGTGTGAATCAAGCTCAGCTGGAAACAAACCGCAATAAATGATTCCGCGGAAATTACCGTGTAATGACTGCAACGCGCAACTAAATACGTGCCAATTGAAAAGTACGAAGGCAGTTTTGTCGCTTGCGATGATTACAAAGACGGTCCCACAAACTGACTTCTTTGCGAGCACAATTTCTTAATTATTTTTTTCATCTGCGAGGCAATAAAAATAAAAATGGTCGCGCGACGACATGTCTCGCGGGAGAGTTTGGGCCGAGCGTCTGCGCGCGTTCAGGTGTCTGACCGTGGGGGTTCGTTCGACGCAGCAACACTTCATTCTGTCGCGCGCTACCCCACGGTGAAATTACCTGCTTTGCATTGCTCACACAAACAAACAAACCACAAAGATCCCCCCCCCCCCGGTGTGGCCTTTGAATAGACTGTTGGGGCAATTGCTGTTCGCGAGCACCTGTGAAGGCTGGCACGTCGCACGAGGGGGTGAGTGGCCAACACCACGCCCGGCCGCCTTTGTCTCCCCAGTGGCGATAATTATACACCACACCAGGTACTCATTTGAGGCTGAGTCAACCTCGGCGAAGCCCAGGACTGTCTCAGATAATCATCACTGGTGTTGGTGGCCGTGAGTGGGAATCGAACTCGGGTCGCCAGGTTCGTTGTGCAGCGCACGATCCTGCTGCACTACCGCTCTCCTTACTCGCACAAACACGCACGCACGCACACACACGTGCACGCTGGATACGTAAAAGGAACTGACGTGCTTGAATGACGGTGGAAACAGGACCGATCACGGTACGTACCAAAGTTATGTTTCTTGGAAGCTCGTTAATTTCTTGGTGCCTTTTCTTGAATTCCTTCCAGATACACTCAAACGATTCATCCTGTTTGGGAAAGGAAATGTTAGAATCGTATGAAAACACGAAGGAAAATCTAATTGGGCTAAACCTAAACCGTCATCGCCATATCCTGTGAAGTAGCTAACGGGTTTGCAGGCGGTGCAACTGCACTGATGGCCCATGGGTCGGAGAGGCCCAGGTGTCAGGGCGACACGACCCATGCCAACCACGCTACGCCGCTGGTTCCGTCACCCGGCAACCCTTGGTCCCAAGCGCAAGTTCAGTTGAGGAGGAAACCTATGGGAATTATTATAATACTCCACAGGACAATACACTGATTTTGTTGCACATTTTTCCATTGCCAGCCGACACACATTTAAGTCTTGCACGCATTCTCAAGTGAGCTGTGCCCAGACTCCAGTTCACCCGATTGCGGTGGAGTTTTAAAAAGATCGAGTAAAAGTCACAGCGGGAGGACACCTTCTGCAGTTCGGTATTGGGGAAGGAGAGTGCCGTGGTAGCAACGCAAAATCTAAACGAGCCTCCTTCCCCTCGTACGTATGGCTGTTCTCCCGGGCACTCACTCCAGTTTCCTCGCAGGAGAAATAAAAAATAAAATCCTCAACAACGGTGCTCAGCTTCTTGGTTCTTTTGGTAAAGTCACGTAAAATGGAAATAATAAAATAATAAAATAATAAAAATAAAACATTATAAAATAATTCTCACGACGTTTCGGCCACAACGCAAGCAGCCGTCCTCAGGTGGAGAACAGGTCTGTCGAGGAGACAGAGTCTGAACAGGTCTGTCTATTATTTCCGTTCTACGTGACTTTACCGAAAGAACCAAGAAGATGAATCCCTGCAGTCACGGAAGCTTTAAATCGAAACGGTGCTCAGCTACCACTGGCCGAGGTTTTTTGTGGTTGTGCTGCTGCTGTTGCTGCTGCTGCTGCATCTCTCCGGTGTGTTTTCGGGTCGTACCGCGTGGTATGCGGCATGGTGTCCGACCTTCCTCTCCGTCGGACATCGTGTCGAACAACACGCGGCGGTACAACCCGAGAAACAAAACGGATTTTAATTATTTATGAACATATATACATGAACATTGAACTTCTTACATGGCCAAACAGCTGATTGGAGGTGCGAAATATATCACGGTTGCTTTAACAGAGACTCAAAGTGCAAAGCTGCCAGCAATATAACATTATGAAAGTTATCATAGACGAGACTTCACACAAATACAGTGCCGCATTGGACAAACATCCCTAGCAAGACCATCCAGAAAGAAACATAAATCCAGCCTTCCCGTATAAATGACGGGATAATGAAAACACCGTTATTACAAGACGCTGGCGCGGGTGAAACGTGCGGATTTGCATTTCCGACGAGCGCAAGACTCTGAGCGCAATCGTGCCCCGTGGCACCGCACGGCCTGGGAACGGGCACCACACGGTCAGAACCAACACAGCCGCTGCGCTTGCGCTCCAGTGGGCATCAGAGAGCAGGGGTTAAGCATACCCTTCCCGGGTGGTTAACTACACAGATTTTGGCACAACGGGGGACATGGGGTGGAGGGGGGGGGGAGTGAGCGGCTGGAGGGGCAGCCGTTGCGACCGTAGGACGCAGGGGAGGAGATGGTAAATGAGAGTGCGTGGAGAGAAGAGCGGGCGGCGGGGGGATAGGCAGAGGTCAAGACTCCGTGGGGGTGCGTTATTCTGGCTCCCAGACGCGCTCTTCCGAACGGATCAAAGTGGCTACAACGGGTGAGTGGCCAGGGACACTGTGTGGAAAAACGATGCCGTCCCCGCGGACAGACCCCTTGCCACGCTGCAGACAATTGTCCCGTTCCGCGACCCACCCCCCTCCACCACGCCGCCCCCCACCCATTCCCCCCCCCCTCCGCTACCAACCCTCCCCCCGCCTCTCCTCTCTCGCCTTCAGCCAACGCTCAAGGGATAATGTATGTCGTAATGAGACGACCAGATTACACTGAAAGTATGCGCGTTTTCGTTGTTGTGAATATATTATTATTAATGAAATCTAATTGCCGCTCTGAACTAATGAAATGTTCACGCGAGCTCACGCGCGCGGAGATAAATACCAAAACCTGAGCGAGCCGTCGCGAGTATATTATTTGTGTGCGCGTGCGTGGGTGTGTGCCGTAGCTGACGGCGTGACGATGGCGAGAATTCAATGAAACATTTGGTCCACGAGAGAAGGAGTGCAGGTTGTGATCGCCGTGCTGTGCGACTAACCCAGACCGCAGCCGGGTGGCATCCGATCTGGTCCCGGGCATCGTTTGCCACCCGCCCGGTTGACCCAGCACGCACTGAGCTCGTGCGGTAAAAGCACGGGAACGAAATGAGCGCGTAATTTCAGTTCAAGCGTCATTTGAACCTTATGACGGAACCCAGGGATCCCAAATAAACGGAAGTCAAAATCGTAATGAATTTATTTATTTTTGGCGACTCCGTCCCACCGCGCACATAAACACTGCGACCCACCTGGCATGGATCATTCTGTTGTCGTGTCGTCCCAGCGCAAATAGGACGATTGCCGTAGTCAAAAACAAAACTTTTAAACTTTCATTAGCGTATCGTGTAGAGCTCATCGAAAGGAAAAGATTGCCATATCGCTCGCCTTCAACAGACATAAAATGACGTCGCAACGCAGTTTATGAAAGAGCCGGGGGCTTATGTGACCCCGGGGTCCCGCCATGAGGGTCATGTCTCACCGACCACGTGTTTGCTACCTGGTGGTCTTCCAAGGGGCGGTGCGTGAGGCCAGGTACCGGCGGTCGATCTTCGGAGGGCGCTGCCACATCAGCGGCGGCAAGGCCTGCGCCTTGCCCTGGCAAAGACCGGCCGGTGGGAGACCCGTCTCTCTTGCCGCCACCGCCACTTTTGTCAGAGGAGGAAAACAAGGAGAACAATATAATAAAAATAAAATCTAATTTTTTTTTGTATATAAAAATAAACACGTTATTTGGCTTGCAAGTTTGCCACAACGTCTTGTCTGCACAACAAGTATTTCTGGTGTTGTTGTTCGCACGCATGTTTTGTACATTCCTCGTCCTATCAGATTAACACAACAAAGAACACGCATGTTAACAGGATCATTGAGTGAATCTTTTTTTTATCCTTTATTAAATCCTTTATATTAAGTTCACTTGCTTGCTTGATTGCGCGCTTACGACCGTGCAAATCTTTCGGTCGTTTTTTAACCCACTTCCCGTGATCCAATCGAGCTGACATTTTGCACACAGACTCGTTGTGCGTGACAATTTATTTTCGTGAATATTTTTTTCCAAAATGTTACACTTTTTAGGAAATTTTTTTTTATATTTAATTACCAATTGCTTAATGGTGGCAGGCAATCATCTGACCCATAGGTGGCAGCCATCTCAAGCCAGAGGACGAGAGGACTCTAGCCGCCACGCATATAAAGGATTTATAGTGAAAAACTTTGTTTTTACGGGTTAATTTTGAATTCCACCAAATGTTCCGCTGCATTATTTTTGTTTAATTGACTTGACTGCCGCCACCGCACATCTGCGGGATGCAACACAGGCGCGCGCTAAAACGTAATAAAATGTTTTTTAAGGATGCGTCAATTCTTGCACAACGCTGGCACGGGAATACTTGTGGTTGCCGTGTGCCTCGACAGATTAATGGTGATGTCGCGTGCAGGTGTCGGGAATGCTTGAGACGCGTTGGGGAGGGGAGAGGGGTTTGCCGAGGAGGAAGAAGGGGGGTGGTGGGGGTGGAGTATTTTACGTCGGCAGGAGGCCAAGCCAGAGAGCCAGAGGGTGGTAACTGTCGAAACACCAGAAGGGAAATAGGTGAGACCCATGCACAGGTGCTAAAAGTGGAAAAATCCAGAGCATGCTGGCGCTCAAATGAGCATTAATACATTGGGACATGTCTACAGCCCTGAGCCATCGGTGAAAATGTCACGTTTCTGGCGAGTCGAGCTGTTGCACAACAAACCGTGTATTATTGTATGTATGTTGAACTTCTTTTGCGCCGTACGTGGCCAAACCGTGCTAACCGGAGGTGAGACGACCGACTTATTGGGAGCATGGGCTCAATCAACGGCCCACGCAACCCCACGACCATGAGTTGATCTCGCAACCTTCCGATTGCGAGCCTCTCGCTCTACAGCCGAGCCACCTGGCCGGATTAAAATAAAATTATATACTTATATTATTTATATATCTCACGGCACCTGAACGTGCCTCGGCGCGCGCGCGCGTGTGTGCGTGTGTGCGTCGCGGTGGAAGAACCGCTGGCGGGGGCCTCGGGGAAATTATCCGCTTAATAAGCGGCGGTTTTTTACTCCCGGCGCAGCGGCCCCTAAGAGCAGCGCATGTCACCTACGGCGGAGTCGTCTGCACAAAGACAAAAATCCCCCCGCCCGTATGTAGCCTCAACAGGCTGATGGGGCAAGTGCTGTGAGTAGCGCCAATGAAAGCCGGCACGGCACAAGAGGGGATTGATATTCTTAGGTTTTTTCGGTAAAGTCACGTAGGTAAAAAATAAAAGTAAAATAAAATAAAAAGTGATTTATATTTTATTAATTAAAATTTATAAAAGTAAAAAAAAATCACTTTTTATTTTATTTTAATTTTACTTTTATTAATTTAAAATTTTTAACCTACGTGACTTTACCGAACAAACCTAAGAATATGAATCCTTGCAGTCACGAAAGCTTCAAATCTAGAAGAGGGGATTGGGTGGCCAGGACTAAGCCCGGCCACCTTTATGACTCGCACATTGTTCACACGTCGCACCAGGTGTACTCATTTGAGGCCGAGTCGACTCAGGGGAGGCACAGGACCGGTTCAGATAATCGTTATTGGTGTTGGCTATGAGCGGGAATCGAACTCGGGTTGCCCGATTCACAGCACAACGTGCAAAACCGCAAAACCACCGCTCCCCACGTCTGCACGCACACTCCCGCACGCACGCACGCACGCGCACTGTATGCAGGAAATTCGCTCTTTAGTGCCGGTCACACGAAAAACAAACGTAGCCCTGATGGGACGCTTCCACGAGGGTGTAAAACTTCTGGCCAAGATTTTGGCGCGACGGTTTGCGTGGACGGGTTTAACGGAATCTTTTATCGTAATATTTCGGGGCAGAATTATCGTAATTAATGTATATGCATATATACGCTTTGATGTGTATCTGTGTGTTTGGTGTTGCGTCAGTTGCGTTTGGGCTACGGGGGCACCTCGCGTTAGCCGTTTTCAGTGCACTGCTAGATGAAAGCCTCTGCAAGCCGATGTCACAGTCTGCTACGCAAAATATTTTGTGATGCTGCATTGGTAGTGGTACACAAGTATTGTAAACAAACAATAATCAACACAATCATCCATACCACTATCTTAAAATAAAAAAAATATATATAAAATAGGTGATGTTGCAGGCAATAGCCCTTCTTCATAGCACATAACTAGCCCAGAGAGAGTGAATTAGGTTTGGTACTACACTTAACAACACCATGAGGGCCTGTTGAGATTTACATTTTAAATAAGCTCTCTGATGACCAGATTTTGAATTCGCATATCAAGAAACCTAATACAGTAGTAGCTACTGAGTACCATAAAAACCCTTCAATAATCAAAAAGTATTCTGGAATAAACTAATTTGTAATCAAAGTAAAATGACAAAATGTTGCTGGCACATTGCATTATCATGAAGAGCCATTTCCCTAAACATTGCCTGTTATACAAACTCAACTATTTTTTATTTTATTTGACCAGGTAAGGCCCACTGAGCTACATAGCTCTTTTTCAGTAGCGACCTGCACACAAATGATAGCTCACAGAAGTGGCTTATCGTGTGGCCATTTATCGCAGCCAAATGCTCGAAATAAATTTCCCTTTCAAGGCCACACACGCGATGTTGTTATTTTCGTGGAACGTGTCGAGTGGCTGTGCCTGTGCACCACTGCCAACGTTGCGTCACCCAATAAAATCTTGCCGATGGATCAGCAAACGATTTGCCACCGCCACCGCCACCACCACTATATTAGTAAAAATATATAGTTTATTTTTTATATTTAAAGAAACACGTTATTTAGTTTGCCACAATGTCTTGTCTAGACAACAAGTATGTCTGGTGTTGTTGTTCGCAATTTTGTAAATTCCTCGTCCTACTTGCCATCAGATTAACACAACAAAGAACACGCGTGTTAACAGGATCATTGCGTGAATCGTTTTATTTATGAACTCCACCAAATGTCCCGCTGCATTATTTGTTTTAATTTATTTGACTGCCACCACCGCACATCTGCGGGACGCAACACAGGCGCGCGCTAAAACGTGGGATACCTTTCAGCCCCGCAGGTGCATATATGTGTGTGTGTGTGGGGAGCGGTAGCGTAATGGTTAGCGCACTGCGCTACAAACCTCAGCGACCCGAGTTCGATTCCCGCTCACGGTCAACACCGGTGACAATTACCTGAACCGGTTCTGGACTTCTCCTAGGTCGACTTAGCTTCAAATGAGTACCTGGTGTGGTTTGTAAAAATCGCCACTACGGAGACAAAGGCGGCCGGGCGTGGTTCTGGCAACCCACTCCCTCGTGTGCCGTGCCGGCCTTCGTAGGTGCTCGCTAACAGCACGTGTCCCAACAGTCTATTACGGCTCTACAAGGGGATATTAATGTGAGTGACACACATACGTCTCAACATCACTCAATTACCGGCGCGTAGCCGCCACGCGTTCCATACGTGCGCGTGTGCATACAAAAAGAAAACACACGGACGAGCGCACGTATGAAAACATAATTACCGTTGATGACTTACGAAACACCGCCACTTAATTTTAATACGAGCGCTAAATACTCAACGCCGAAGGGGCACGAACGGCGCAGGCTGGCCCAAAACTGATTTCGAGCATGGAGCAGAGATGATAACAATAATACAAGCCACAGATGAGCTCTTTATCTGTGCCGACGCCACCCCCTCTGCTGCTTTTCAAAGTGGGATGGGGGCGGGTTTTTAAAGGGTGGGATTAGCGGGGGGCCCGGTGAAAGGGCCTAATTAATCCCCCTTCACGCACGCACAAATCGGCCGGCTAGGGGGACGAAAGCGAGCAGTCAACCGGAAGGGCGGTGGGGCGTGTCGTCTGCTCGAGAACGACTGTTGTGACAACAAAGGATGCAAAGCAGATGTCTGGGGGGCGGGGGGGTGCCCATCGGGGCAATCAATGTGCCCTCCTCCTCCATCCCCACCCACCCACCCCGCCGCCGCGCCCGTTCTCTCAGCCGCTCCTCACTCCGCTGGGGCCTTCTCAGCCGTCGCCGCCGTCGCCGTCATAATCATCTCCGGGGATTTGTAATCAGCGGGGAGAGTGTAGAAACGACTCCCAGGCACCCTCCCCCCCGGCCGCCTGCACCCCCCACACCCCACCCAACGCCCCCGCCCATCATCTCCGCCGTAGGACCCCGTCAACTCACGCGGTCGAGCGGGCCGCAGGGATGAGGGCGGAGGGTCGAGCGATCATGATGCAGCGGCAGTTTTCAGGCAGCTGGATGACGCGGTGGTCGGGCATCAGCTTGTGCGGGCAGAAGAGTGTCTGTGGGTAGAAGAGGCGAGCGTGAGGTCGTCAATTGCTTTGTTTGCTCCGAGGGACAACCTCCATTTGAGCCGCAAGCCTCTTTTATTCGGCACGCAGACAGGCTTCGATGTGGGATGTTCAGACAGTTATATGATTGGGCGTTTAAAAAAGAATCGTACAACTAACCCAACCGATAATAGGTACTGCATATTCTCCGATTATTAATAATAATAGTTCAATTTGTAACGCGCGCAAATTTGCAGACGTAGTGGCCGCAACTCAGAGGCGCGGAGCCAAGCTCAGAGTCGCTCGAAAGCATGATTGTAGAGGTGAGTTTTTAAGTCTCTCTTGAAGGAGGCAAATGAGGTGATGCTGCGAATGTGCAGAGGGATATCGTTCCAGACTGTTGGGGCTGCCACCGAGAAGCGGCGCATAGACATGACGTGTTACAGTACATAATTGGGGCTTACACAGAAGGTTCAGATGATGGTGTATTTAGATGTTTTATGTTCAATTGTATTATGGCAAGATTAACATCATCCATTGTTGTACGATCTAGTCTCCGCACCTCACAGTGATGACATCACCTTTACTCGGTTTCAGACCGAAGCAGGAGGACTTCTTCACACTTCTGGCAAATCGCCTTATGAAGGTGGTTGTAATCACCAGCGAAACGTCGTAATCAAATTGTCAATCTTGTGCGTTTACTATCCAACACAACGGTTGTGTCGACGTGACAAACCTTACTAATTGGCTGCGTCGGGTGGTGATGGATTAACGACACATTTATATTTACGCGATCTAACCCAACAAACCTTTTTTTATGGGGAATCTTACAAATTGGTAGAAATATATATTTATTCACACGAGCGTTATTCAAAAATGACTTTGCCTAAGAGACGTGTTACAGTACATAATTGGGGCTTACACAGAAGGTTGAGATGATGGTGTATTTATATGTTTTATGTTCAATTGTATTGTGGCAAGATGTATTATAATAATATCTACTTAAGAACTGTGAAACTTTGTATGTCAATTAAACAATATACGTGTTTGGAGTGTGTACGACCATGCACTGTTTGGTGTATTTATTAGGCAGCACTTAGCAAAAAATTGCAATTATCAACTACAGCTCTGGGTGAAGCCACCTCACCGTGTCGGTGACGAGTTGCTTCACCATACTTCACCACAATGTCCAGTGTGGCCTGGTGATGCTCATTTTGCAATTCATGTGAAAACGAACAAAGACTCAAATTTAGGTTTAAAGCTTTCGTGACTGCAGGGATTCATATTCTTGGTTCTTTCGGTAAAGTGACGTAGAAGGTAAATAATAAAATAATATAAATATAAAACAAAAATTCTCACGACGTTTCAACTGCAACACAAGCAATCATGTGAAATCTACATCAAGAACATTGTCTCGCTGTGGATTTCACACCTGATGATGATTGCTTGTGTTGCAGTTGAAACGTTGTGAGCATTTTCATTGTTTATATTTATATTAAGTTATTATTTACCTTCGACGTGACTTTACCGAAAGAACCAAAAATATGAAGACTGAAATGTTTCACAATCAACTCCAATGCAAATACAGTGTTGGTACTTGCTCAATACTACATTAGCGTTGGCACGAACAAGCCTGCAGTGAAAATTTCACCTCATCCCTGCATCATCAACCGTACGTTATCCTGCCACTCAAAACACAACCTCACGTACGCCTGTTGAACTTCTTTCACGCCATACGTAGCCAACCGTGCTAATCGGAGGTGTGCAGTGGGAAGGACAACAGACTCAAATTTCGATTTAAAGCTTTCGTGACTGCAGGGATTCATCTTCTTGGTTCTTTCGGTAAAGTCACCTAGAAGGGAAGTAATAAAATAATAAAAAGAAAACATAATAAAATTATTCTCACGACGTTTCGGCCACAACGCAAGCAGCCGTCCTCAGGTGAAAACCAGGTCTGTCGAGGCGACAGCGTCTGTCCTGGTTTTCACCTGAGGACGGCTGCTTGCGTTGTGGCCGAAACGTCGTGAGAATAATTTTATTATGTTTTATTTTTATTATTTCATTACTTCCCTTCTACGTGACTTTACCGAAAGAACCAAGAAGACAACAGACTCAACACAAAAATCAGTTAGAAAAAAAATGCGTTTTCAATCGAGATCCAAAAGACGGCCGCACAGGCGCATCTGAAAGTTCGCGATGCATTGACCATCAATGTTCGAAGAATAGCCAAAAGCCGCCGCCGCTGCTGCTGCTGCTGTGACGATGACCGGAGGTTTGCGTGATGGTTTATGCTCCTTGACGAGATCGGCAAGGTATTGTGGTCCATTTGTGGCGAGCGCTTTGTGTGTAATGAGTGCCACCTCATGCTGGAATCTAAAGAATCCAACAAACTTCGTAAAAACACTCGCACCCAGAAAGCGGCGCTTAATACACCCCAACACCATATTAGCGGCGGAGAATGTTTATGCACACACACGCACACGCACGCGCGCGCATGGGAAAGGAATTAAAACGCCGTAATAAAAAGGGGGGGGGGAGGTAAAACGCGCGGACAAAGGCGCTAATCTGATCAGCAGTGGTGGGGAGCGGCGGGCGGCACACAAAGCGTGTAATGGAGTGAGACCGCACGCGGATCAACGCGAGCGCCGGGGAGACAAAGGCAACGCGAGCGGGACACGAAAGCGCGGACAAAACCGGGAGATCAAAAAGCACTTGGCTGTGGCAGGGGGGCGGGGGGGTGGAGGACTCCACTGGCAGGTTCGGCTCGTTCACGTGCGTGCGTGAGAAGCGCAGACAACTGCTCATCATCGCTCGTGCCAATGAGCCACAATGCAATGGGTGAGCACACGTTGCTTTAGGAGCCATGGGCCCAAAGTCAGTGGTTCTCAAACGTTTTGGTAAGGCCCCACCCCACCACCACCCCACCCCTCTCCCAAGATTAAGACGACTTGTTCTTTGGCCACAACACCACAACTGAGGTCGCCGTCTTCCTTCACATATGGATATCAACCGAGCAGCAAGTAGCGCGGCTGGTTTGCGAGGACAGCGAATGTGGGTCAGAATCATGACCATCATTTACACTGGGAGGAATCCGATGAGCCAAGGAGCTCTTTCTCGCAGACGTCGCCACCCGTGGCAGTGAACACGAGTGCGCGAAGCGTCCCGCCGTGGTTTGTTGCGCGACGCGGTCGCAATCGGGTCGGAGCAGACGTGATTATTATCGGCTTAACGCACGACGGCTGGAGTACAAAGCGGCGCCTATCCATAAGCAAACCGATATTCTTATCGCGATTACTTAATGGGCGCGGGAGCATGTGGACACTGCGGTTACGTTTACGAAGGTCACAGCACAGAGACAGAAACGTGTCGACACCTCGAAGTCAACGCCTCGAAGTCAGCGCCGTGGTGGGAAGGCGTCGCTGGGCTTGTTGTGCGTGCACGGTGTTGTGTCGCCGAAACGTGGTGCCGACGTTTCACACCCACATCCGAAATTGCTCCCTCGCCTAATCCATTCCGCAGCACGAGCCAAACCTCTCGCCACATCCGACAAAGGTGACCCGTGGGTTAGGAACCGCTGGTCTGACTGCCCACTCGCCTGGAAAGGCCGCGCTCTTGCCATGTATTGTGTTTCCCATAGGCAAATGTGCGGTGAGGGCCATAGGCAAATGTGCGATGAGGGCCTCCCCACGCTGGCCAGGTCGCAATATGACCGTATTTCACGACGCTGGTGACGACGCTCGATCATACCGTCATTGAAAGATGCATAACAGTGCGATACAACAACGGAATTGTTTCGTTTTAGATCCTCCCCCCCAGGTTTTGTGTCGATCGTGCTTTTTAACATTGTGCTCTTAATGTTGGTGATGGTTGTGGATTACTGAAATCTCGGTAGCTGCAAAGCGACTGATGTTGTGTGTGCGAGCTCCCTGGATGTGGGTATAACTGGGCCTGTGACACTGTTTCCATGTTGAGAATTGGCCTGTTTTACCCCCCCGCCCCCCCCCCCCCCCCATAATTCATGCTGTAGTTTATTTTGATATTTCACGAAATGTTAATGACATTACTGAAATGTTTATTATTGAAAGTAAAAATAAATATGCATTTTACTTGTTCCATTTAAGCAAACAGGCAAAATCTGTTTTGAAGCCATGTGATAAATGGCGTTTTACAGTGAACATTAATTAAGGGGAATATTAATTGACTATTAGCTGTAATTACTATATTTATATAATTATTTCACAAATTACTGAGGTTTTTGAGTAGCAACGCTTACAGTAAAAGGTAATCAATTCAAGCTGTCAATCACGCAAGGAAATAAATAACAATTTTGTAAACAGGAGAAATTACGAGTGCACTGACAAATACGGCACCGTAATTAGGGGTAAATTTGTCCATTAAAATGTGGCGGATTTACGACAAAATCACATCGATAGAATTCACTACAGATCTCCAAACGGCTCCGATCGAAACACGGAATTACTTTTGCACTTCACCAAGGATTGCAGAAATGACAGTTTTTATAAGCCGTTTCACACAATTATCAAATGGGAATTAAATAAACATTGTCGACGAATGTACAGCGGCTTCATCTGGTTTCACACATTTTGTTTAAATGTGAAACCTTCATTTTCAGTTCAACGTGGCGGTAATAACGCTCGCCCAAGCTCTCCGATTCACTGCTTTCCAAGCTCAGCAGTCGACGATACGACGAGAGAATTAATCCCAACAAACCACTGCCTTTCGTAAGGGAAGAGGAATGTAAACGTGTGGCTTTCTTTGTCATGAAATAACGTCCCAGGTTTAATCCGACCGATTTTGTGGTAATCCGTGAGCGAGGTTGAAAATTATATTGCTCATAGCGATGATAATAATAAACAAAACAGATTTAAAATATTTGCTGGCTTTCAGCGTTCTGCCACTTGACGTGTTCAGTCACTCGATTGCAAGTCGAAGTTGCGTTCGGGATGTCGAGCGTGAGCAAATCAACACCGTGGTTACACGGGAAAATAATAACTAATGGTGCAACACCACATGCATTTTATACCAAAAATGTTTTTCAAAGTCAAATAAAAGTCAAAGTGGTTTCCTGCTTACGCGAGCATCAATGTGGCGCTTGTCTCCTCGTTACAGCCCTGAACCAGTATGGGGAACTCCTCATTCATATGGCGGGGGCAAGTCTATCCGTGGGGCAACCGACTGTTGACCACGCCACAAAGTGGTACTTAATTTATCGACCCCAGAGGGATGATGGGCTGATTCAAACCCAGATCTGGATTTGAACTCGCAACCTTTCCAGTTTGCGAGCCGGCTTGCACTACCCGCTGGGCGAAAGTGCGAAAAGTGTTTTGATATCACTGGTCAACACACTTTTTCTGGCATAAGGTATTCCAACGGTCTTAAGGTAAGTTTGGGGTGCTGATTACAAATCTGGCATCAGTTTTTGTCTATCACATCAGGTTTTTGAGATATCAAATTTTCAATAAAAACTGCAGAAGAAAAATATTAAATAAATGTGGATATCTACATAAAATGATATTATAAACACACTATCCTAAAAATACAGCACCATATTTTAACACTAAATCAGTCACTGACTCGCAACAACTTGCAATCATAAGTAACAGAGTTTATTTCGAGTAAAATCAATGAAAATGGGGTATGCCGATAGCATAAAAATGATGTGATAGAGCAAATCTGAGATCAGATTTGGAATCAGCACCCTGAAATTAGTCTAAAACAGCTGCAAAAGTCCAGGCCAGAAAAAAATGTTTTTTTGTTTGTTGACCAGTGTATTAAATCTGTAGGCGTTACGCTTTCCTGCCGACTCAAGTTAACGTCTACTCCGATATTTGTATGACGTGATAAAAAATACAAACGACGACAACAACAACAACGACAACCGTGCGTTGTTAATGAGCGCTGGTTTGCCGATTTGCACTACAGCCGAAATGCGGGGAATATGCGTGCATACGTGAGTGTATCGTGTGAGTGGAATAAACAGTGGCCATGAGTGGCAGTTCCAATGGACAGCATGCCAGACATGTAATGGGAAATAAAACGATACGAGAAACACATCCAACATATCGTGGTATTACGGTAAAAAAACGTGAATAGACACGGACACTAATTATGGAGATGCGTCAGTGATCCCGTTTTTTGCTGTCAAGCGCTCTCAAGCACTTTCGTTCATAAACCGGTGATCATGCTGTGTGCACAATCATCAGGATCGGCAATTAATGCATTGTCCGTTTCAGAGTAGTCGATACGTTTACAGCACACGCGTTGCAGCTGTGCCACTTCTCACTGCGGCAGCTTAATAGTCACAATTTATCATTCTATTCTGTGCTGATGTATCACTGCAGTCCCCCTCCACCCCATTCCTTGTCAACGATGAAGGTCGTTTGACCATACTTCACCATGCCGGTCAATGTGGGTTGGTGAAAAGTTGTGCCCAAGACTGGTTCACCCATCACTCGTGGCTAACATGTATATGTATATGTCTCATGGCTTCGTATCGAACTCAGCACGCTAACCCCTGTTTCACCGACGACAAAGACTGTAAGCGCCAGCAATTACTTCTTGCTGGGCACCTGAAACAGAGGGTTGGGTGACCATCACTCGATCCAGCTGCAAAGCCCTGGGATTTTGATTCCCCAAGTTCTTCCAGCTCAAGATGCACATTCCATGACACAAATCCCATGATGCGCGCATCACCAATTGACCTGTTGCTGGCATCTCTCCTTCTTTAATCCACCGATGGATGAAGGCCTCTGCACGTCGCGTCGGTCATGGGGGTTGGTTCGCCGTATAGAATCAGAATGAGAATATTTATTTATTCATACTGGAGGCATCCGGTGAGCTATAAAGCTGTTTTTTTTCATAAATGTCTAGTAGGGACAGGTCATACAGTTACAACAACAAACAATACAAAACACGATAGGAGTGCAAAGCATAGAAAAGGTAAGCAAATCACACAATAAATTGAAGTAGATTTGGTAGTAGGTTTTTACCCTTTTAAACTGGTACAAAACTGACACCTTTATTCAAGGCATCATGTTTGCAATAACCACAACACAAGTAGTGAAAAAAGCAAACAAAAAGAAGCAACTCTGATAATGATAATAATATGCACTGTCCTTGAAGTTGATTGGTCCACACCCGAGACGGCTTAAGTAAATTTGTTGAATAAATAGTTTTTATTTTACCAGGTAAAGCTTACTGAGCAATACACTTCTTTCTTCAGAAGCGACCTTGCCACAAATGATAGCTCAACGAAGTGGCTTATCATGTGGGAATTTATGGCAACCAAATAATCTAAATAATCTAAATAATCTAAATAATATAATATAACCTCACTATGCTGACCAGTGCATGTTGGTGCAGAGAGGGCCCGAAGATCAGTTCAGACATCACTCGCCACTGATGTAATCCACAACGGGAAATCAAACTCAGCTCGCACACTTGCAGAATGCAGTGACCTAACTACTGATGCCACTGCTCCCCGGTGGTCATGAACCCACTGGAAATAAGAAGTACCTCCTCACACCCAGTCCCCTCCCTCCACTCACACATCACTATGGGACGGACGGAGATACTGACAAAACGTATACACACAATGGGCTGATGGACGAACAAACGTACAGATGGACAGAGTCCACTGACTGATGGACAGAATCAGGGACAGACACTGATGGACTGATGGATGGAGTGTCAGACTGACGAACTGACAGAGTTCATGGACAGATACACTGATGGACTGACCGATCGACCCACATACTGCACGTACTAAATTTTGATTTAAAGCTTTCGTGACTGCAGGGATTCATATTTTTGGTTCTTTCAATAAAGTCACGTTTTTCAAATTTTCTTTCCGTGGATTTCACACCTAATGACGATTGCTTGTGTTGGAGTCGAAACGTCGTGAGAATTTTTATTGTTTTATATTTACATTCTTTTATTATTTCCCTTCTACGTGACTTTACCGAAAGAACCAAGAATATACTGCACGTACTGATTAACAAACGGACGGATGGACTGAGTGCGGAAGCACATTCATGAACTCGCGACTCTCATAACCCAAGGCGTGATCACGAGCGCGCGCGTACCCGTTGAGCACAGGAGCGGCAGTGCGTCGCCTGGGGCAGCTCGCGGAAGGTGAGCCCTCCATCCGGCGACACGAGCACAGTGCCGGCGTATCGACTCAGCGGCCGCTCCTCGGCGCACAGCGGGTCGGCAAACAGCTCCACGGGACTTCCCGTCTCCGCCACGCCAGCGCCTAAGGTCATCACGAGCACGCCGGGGGCGAGCGAGCACGGCTGACATCGTCGGGCTTGGAGCCGCAGGACGCGACTTGCTGACCCGCCCACACTGGACGTATGTGAAGAAGAGATTTGTAGCTCATCGGATTCCTCCTAGTATAAATAAAGATTCTGATCTTTTTTGTTGTTGTTTTCAGGGCCGTACCGCGGTGTTGGGCACGGTGTCTGAAGTTTCGCTGTGCGTGCTGGGAGCTTCTTCAGGAACCGAACAATACGGTTGAATCATTCAGAACTCAAGAAGCTCCCGGAGCGAAACGTCGCGACATCGTGCCGAACAGCACGCGGCACGAGCCGGGAACGCGTCGGAGAGCTATACGCAGCAGTGCAACCGCGAAAACCTACGTCGTAGCCACTAGATGTCACCAGAGATCTTATCGTGAGCTCCGCTTGATGGGAGCCGTGAGTGGGGGGGGGGGGCATCTAGCCAGTGGCGCTTGCGCTGAGATTTTAAAACATTTATCTAATTTCCACAAGCCGCGCTTCGCTCTGCACACCAATAATCGAGCGCTTCCGAGGCTGGGTTGGTGAATCGAGCAAACATAGCCACGTGCAGGACAGCAAGCCGGCCATCGACCTTTCTGTTCTGATTTTGGAGAGTTATCGCTGATTATTTTGGGCACGACTTGTTTTTTCTTTGCGCGAGCAAAACAGCGCATGTTTGTCTGGAAACACATTTGAAAATGTGTGTTAATTTAATAATTTCACTTGAACTCATCCGAGCGTATCATGTTTGTTTTGTTTTTGTGCATAAAGCCCTGGCAGCGAGGCAACCCTAATGGATGCCACGGCAGCAAGATGTTAACTACCTCGCCTCGTATGCAGGGGGTCGAGGGTTCAATCCCGACCCTGACACCTGTATATTTGGAGTTTGCATGTTCTTCCCCTGGTCGCGTGGATTTTTCTCCGGGTCCTCCGGTTTTTCCCTTCACATTTAGAATCAACATTCATTTGGAGTATATGGATGCTATACATTTCTACGTGACAAGATAATTCATTGAGCTATCATTTGTGACAAGGTCGCTTCTGAAAAAGAGCTATGTAGCCCAGTGGTCCTTACCTGAAAAAATAAAAAGTTCAAGCTTAGTTTTAGTTTAATGTCATTTAGGTTACACGCGTCACCCACTGTGCTTATTATCACACTAAACGTGACATCTGGAAATGATCCTTTGTTGAATAAACACCGTCTCATGTTGCTGGCGTGCGGCAGTGTTGCGCACTTATGTCATCCTAGAAGACTCCGATTCGGGAACTGTGTACGATTAGGGGGTGGAATTCACAGATTACTGGTTTATTTGTCTATACATCAAGTATAGTGACATTTAAATTGAAATAATAACATGTTTTCGAAAGTGTGCTTTAACCACAGCCATTATATATTCTCTCTTATTAATTCGTAACTACACGATGCATTTGGCTTTCGCCTACAAATATAACGACTATGCATGTCCGGTTACACTTGTTAAAAGGATGGGCCATCGACTAAATTCTCAAGAGCGTGGGGACATTTTTAACTTTAATAATCCAAGCGAGCAGTCAGTGGGGAGTTCTGCCCTGGGTTTTGAGATTTTATTCAGTGGGAATTTATCCAGGAGGCAGGGGTCAATGCTCCAGGCCTTTATCAAAGAGCCCTGCAGAATCTCCAAGGTCCATATGGTTGAGAGGGCTTAGATTTAACATATCATCCCATAAAGCAGCTAAAGCACGTTAAGCGAATGTTCTGAGTAGGCATTACGATTTAAGTTGATGTTAAAATTAATTTGCTTAATGCCGTATTTGAGATTTATATTTTCTGTTATGTGGTCTTTTTTTTGTACTACAAAAGATTGCGCTGAGAGAATTGTTCGTCAAATGCTGACAGCTGAATGTCACAAAAACTAGCTCCATCGCACACGCTTGTGACAATAACGCCGGCACCAATCACGGTAATGCATCATGATACAACGCTTTAATTATTCATTTTCTTTTTAATTGTAATTATCCTCATTTTCAAAGACCGACCCCCCCCCCCCCCAATAAATCTTATTAAAAGTAATGAGTAACAATTTAAAAAAAATGAAGCCGTGCAACTTACCTGGGTTTAAATTTCCAGCGCTGTCAGTTGCCCTCAGCTTCATAATGTGTTTCTGTCGTTCCTGAAAAGTTATTTAAAAAGCTGTCAATTCTGCGACACTCGAATTCGGGATGAGGCAGTGATTAATTTGTTGCGGTGAAATTAAAATCCATTGCACATGGAAAGGTTGTTATAGCCGCTAATTCGCGAGGCGTGTTTGCCGAAAATGATTTTAGCGCACGCCAAAAAAGTGACTGAGTATGCCACTTTGGACTTTTGTCACATCTTCAGCGGGCCATTTTAAAATAAACATTTGAAAGTGTGATCCTTTTCATTAAGTGAGAATATTCAAATTACGCAAATGGAACGTGTGATCGAACAAAGAGCAGTAACGGCAGAGAGAAAGAGCTGTCCTTGTGATATTAAAAGATTCTTGAGGGTCCCATTAGAGGCGTAAGGATTCAGTGGAAATCTTTACATCTCTAAGAGAGAAAACGACGTTTAAATAAGATAAATCAACGGCTAGGGGCCACGAAAAGCAGGAAACACATTCCACGGTGAACTCATTTTTCCAAAATCAACCTCTCTTACAATTCACATTAAATATCCTGTAAAAAAGTGATTACTAGAACTATTAACAGTGGTGGCGATATGCGGTTAGTATGTGCAATGTAAATTATATTTTAAAGCTTGAACCTTCATGTTAAAGGTCATGTGTTGTATCGAGATTAAAGGCTACAATCCACTTTAACAGTGGGACTACATCTCAATTACACTTACGATCGCTGATCATGTACTTTGTATTTTTTCATGGCAGTGTTATTGAGATATTCTTAGGTTTTTTCGGTAAAGTCACGTAGGTAAAAAAATTAAAATAAAATTAATAAAAGTAAAATAAAAATAAAATATTTTACTTTTATGAATTTACATTTTTTACCTACGTGACTTTACCGAAAAAACTTAAGAATATGAATCTTTGCAGTCACGAAAGCTTCAAATCTAGAATTATTGAGATATGTGTTGCGTTTGTTCAAATCCCCATCGTAGGGGTGGGGGGGGATGGTCGGTCCATTCAATACCTTCATCGTCACTCCAGGGTCGATAAAACGAGTACCACAATGTGGGAAGTCAGCAAGTGGTTGCCCTAAAGAGTGGATCACCCCTGCCACCGGAATGTGGTGTTTCCACCGCTGGCTCGGGGCTGTAATAGCGGGAGACGGGGACCGCCAACGCCAACCCGAGTAGCAAACCATCTTTGACTTTCACTTGACTTTTCCCGTCGGTAAAAAAATCACCCTGAATGCGCCCGATCGTGTGAGCCAAGCCTGGTTATGAATGTACATGTACAGGAGGATGCCTGGGAATGGCCAGGTGGTGGTCTAAACTTGGACTTGGCAGTACCGCAGTGGATTTTTGAAGCTCTGTACGAGTTTGAGTGTTTTGCCCCCCCCCCACCCCACCCTGATGTGGGATTTCTCCGGTTGATCCAGTTTCTTTGCACAAGCCAAACATTCTCAAGACGGAATTGGCCAAGCATCCTCAGGCAGGACTGTCCTGAAAGAGTTTTACATCCCAGTTCGGCTTTCCCAGGTAAATAAAGGCCATTGTTAAACTGCTACAACCATTCGCGTTCTACCAAAACGAGTCCAGGTGTAGCTTACAAGGCTTTTTTTATCCAATCAAAAGCGCAGCTGAACCAACCTCATCCCAACATCCGGATGGCGGCACGCAGTGGCCTAGCTTTCGAGTGTGCAGGCCGGTACAACTGCACGAGGCCTACGGGCCACAGGGGCCAAGGAAGCAGCTCGGCCACAAATAGACGGGAGGAAAAAAAATAAAAACGAAATTATGTTTAATTTTACAAGGTAAGACCCACTGAGCTGTATAGCTCTTTTTCAGAAGCGGCCTCGCCACAAATGATAGCAGCCAAATACTCTAAACGCACGTTTCTAAATGTGGTGCGAAAAACCGGAGGACTCGGAGAAAAATCCACGCGAGCGCGGGGAGAACGTGCAAACTCCAAATATACAGCAGGCGTCAGGGTTGGGATCGAACCCACGACTCCCTGTATACCAGGCGAGGTAGTTCACATCTCGCCACCGTGGACAGGTGGTGGCCCCACCATTTAATTCCCAGCACCGTGATGCACGCCAGCCCACGGCTAAGCCACTGGCGGCGGTGGTCGTGGTGGAGGGCGCGTGGATCATCACCTGCTCCGCGCAATCCTCCAGGAGGCTCAGCTCGTGCTCCAGGCTCTCGCGGTGCCGTCTCAGGAGGCCGCGCTCCAGGCTCAGTTCCGCCGCCGCGCCGCGGAACGCGCCGCGCTTGCGCACGCCCTGCACGCCGCACGCCGCACGCCACACGCACCATGGTTTCACTCGGGCAGTTTCTCCGGGGTTGGTGACCCAGAAAATACTTCGCGTACCACAACACAACCAACACAACCACCACATCCAGGGCATCATTTCTGATGGAATATTTTTCTAGGACCACGGCAATACCCCCCCCCCCCTACTCCCCCTCCACCTACACTACGACCCGCGGGGACGATGGTGCAGAGAAATATTTTCCTGAGCTTAGCCCCGGGACAGCTCCGGACTGAAATTAAGCCCTGCCTCTAGCATTGACCGTGGCTACTAGACAATGTGCCACTTACTCAAGAATTGTTCTGCATCCCCGCACGCCACATCCAGTACACTTCTCGCTACGGCACGTGGATACTCTTAGCCACGTGCCACCTCGTGAACTCCCCACAGTCTACCAGCGACTGAAAATATTCAATGAGAAATTAAGAGCCCTGGCAAGAACGCACGCACGCACGCACGGGCGCACACGGCAGCACCTGCGATGAGCACGGTTTACTAAGCACGACGCCGGAGAAGTTCGACATCCGCGCATTAGCATGAGCGGTGAGGCTCTGCCTCTCTCTCGCCTGCAGCACCATGTGCGCTGGGTGATGGCAGTGAGTCCGGACTCATGCGCCCGTTGGTTCTGTTATGGAAAATTGTGTGGGGTTTTTTTTGGTGGGTGGGTGGTTGGCATTCAATGCTGACCCACCCATACTGGGTAAATGTGACAAAGCGCTTCACAGCTCATTGGATTCCTCCAGTCTACAATAAAGATTCTGATTACGAATGTACAGGGTACATTCAAGTGTTACTACTGCGTCGGTGTTGACGGTTGTGCCGTGCTGCGCTTTCGGGTTGTTCAGCACGACGATTTCCACGAGCATTCATCTCAGGGCAGCTTCCTCAGGACTAATAACTTCTTGCCGCGCGCTATTTGCTTTGCGAGCGATGTGGAACGCTTGCTCAGATGCTGCGAAGGTTTAAATAGCAATTGCAATTTTTTTTTCTTCCATTTCACCGGAAAAGCATTTGTAAGTAGGGCCGTACGTTGGAGCGTTTGACCAGTTCCTCAAACGAGCGTTTGGCATCCGAGAGAAAACTGAGCTGCTGCCCAGAGAAATCCGAATGCACACGAGGGGGTGATGCTCGGAGCTCCGATTCAATACTCCATTGCTCCACTGCCACTTCCTGTCCAATTCGAATGGAAACCGCAAAAAAAAAACTGCAGTTTAGTTTCATTGTCCTTCCCCCGCACTTCCGATTAGCACGGTTGACTACGTACGGTGCGAAACAAGTGCAACATACATACATACAGCGGTATTTACAAATATAGTCATTTACAACCCGCTTTGTCAACCCGCCGCTGGATGGCATCCCGTGTCAGTCGTCGAGGGTTTTTCTTATTAATATTACATCTATTTTATTACAATGGGTGCAATTGTGAATAATAGCCGTATCAGATATTCGTACATCTAATCGGCGTGACCATTGGTTCACTGCAGCTCAAAGACTTGGTCCTACACGGCGTGCGGTGAAGTCAGGAGATGTCCAGGTGCTCAGCATTTGAAGGCCCGAAGACCAGAATCGGTGATCTCGCCGACAATGTGTCCGAGGAGATAGTAGCAGAGTGAAGGGAGCTTCTGTCCAGGGAGCATTGTTTGACCAAACCTCAGCCACGCCGGTCAGTGTGGGTTGACGAAGGGGCAGACACCCAGAACGGGGTCGGACATCACCCGCCGCTGGTGTTTAGCCGCGGTCGGGAATGGGAGCGTGGCGGTCGGATTTGCAGGCGCGGTGCTCAAACCACCGCACCACCATTCCTCCCAGCGTGAGCAGGTTTAACATTTACAATTACCCTTGTGTACAACAAAAGGCAGAGCCGAGCACCGATCGCTAATTTGACAGTAAACATCGTGAAGCAGATTAAAAATTACGTTAATTGTGTTTCTGACACGCGCAATAAATATCGATTATCGAGAATATCACCGCACCACCAATTAAGCCAAATGCATGAGATTATTTTTTCTCCATATAAATGCTAACGGCACTATTACATGAAATATGTTGCACAGTCAATTTAGATAATACATGATTTCCTCCTTTAAAAGTATATTTAAAAGTCCCATTTATTAAAAATCACACTTTGGCAGCGACATAGGCCCAATAATGAACAAAAACCATCTCATTTATTATAAATGAGGTAATTCAATACAAATGTCGAAACACAGTAACGTGTTTGAATGAAGAAAATGAATAAACCTTCCACCGAACAATAAGAATATTATACAGGGTGCTCATACGAAAATATACGTTGTGCTTATAGCCTGTACTCATAGAGGTGAAATAACAGCGACCACTCGGAGCTCATCTCCTCCCCTCGTGCTTCTCCCCCCACTTTTTTCCTTCACGACCCCCCTTTCTAGAATCTTCCCTCGCTGTTGTTTTTCTTCCCCGCAGCCAATCCCCGTCCCTTCACCGCCAACGGTCCCCAAACGTCGCCTCCTGGTTCCGCTCCGTTTCCCCGCTTTTTCCCCCTTGAATATTTTCCTCCAGTCACTCCGAACCCTGCCAATCATCGTGGAGGCCTCTTTCCGCCAACGGGACGCCTTGGCCTACGTTTTGAATAACAGTTTGGCTGCACATCGGCTTGGGGTGAGTGCCTCTTAATTTCGGTCATTACAAAGGCATTGCTCATCATTAGATAATGAGTTTATCATCGCACAGCAGGGTTGAACCCGATGGTTGAATGTTGGATGCGCGTGCGCGGTAAAGCACGTTGCCAAATAAATTAAAATCTTGAGTGACCTTCAACGGTACAATTGAAATCGGAAGCATTTGAGTGACAATCGCACAGCTGGGATGGTGGCCAACACCTGGGACTCGCTCCCTCTCTCTTCCTCTCTCTCAAAGCAGAACGTGACACGCGTCGCCAACGCCCTGGTCGACACGTGGAGGTTGAGAGAGGAATGAGACTCATACGATGAGATATTTCATCACGACTGCCGGTGTGTGTGGGCATGCATAGCTCTATTGATCGAGCTCAAACTGGTGAGGAGCGGTGGTGTAGCGGTTAGCACGCTGCACTCCGGACAAGGTCACCTGGGTTTGATTCCCACTCACGGCCAACACCGGTGACAATTATCTGAACCGTCCTTAGGCCTCCCCTCGGTAGACTCAGTCTCAAATGAGTACCTGCTTGCAGTGTGCAAACATCGCCACTGGGGAGACAAAGGCGGCCGGGCGTGGTGCTGGCCACCCAACCCCTCGTGTGCTGTTCCGGCTTTCATAGGTGCTCGCAAACAGCACTCGCCCCAACAATCTGTTAAGGCTATACAAAGGATCTTCGCATAGCTCTATCGACCAAGCTCAAACTGTTGTTGAATTAGAATTCTTGAATAAACGATAATAACTTCATGGCAGAGAGGGGGGGGGGGAATCCTATGTGGGTCACATACAGTCACGTTATTTAATTTCTCGAGGCTCTGACACGTTGAGGCCTTCCGTTTCGACCGGCTTCACAAAATTGATATTCATACTCTTAGTTTTTTTCGGAAAAGTCACGTAGGTAAAAAAAATGAAATAAAAATTAATAAAAATAAAATAGTAATAATTATTATTTTATTTTTATTAATTTCATTTTTTTACCTACGTGACTTTATCGAAAAAACTAAGAGTATGAATAACTATTATTATTATTTCATTTTTATTAATTTTTATTTCATTTTTTTACCTACGTGACTTTACCAAAAAAACTAAGAGTATGAATCCTTGCAGTCACGAAAGCTTCAAATCTAGAATTGATATTCATCTTCTGCCGCTGCGAGCATCTTAGCTGCACCAATCATACACTTTGACCCAGCGGGGCAATGCTTCTCATCTTAGCACGCTCATTCACATGTAAAAGAGGACCATCGTTATTTGTTGTGACGTTATTGATAACGCTAAGCCGCGTGTTAAAGTGTGGTGGCCCGCCCCAAAGGTATCCGAAAGTCACCACTCTGCCTTTGGTATGTTAAAGGGTCACTTCGGCCCCGCTTTATGAATGCCCTGTATATGGATCATGAGAAGCGTGTGTGTGTCTTTGCTCTATACCCAACCTCATCATCGTCGGGCAACGGAGGAAAAACTTTGGCCAGATTTTCTGGGAGCGCTTCCACGTCTTGAGCTCCCGGCATCAGCCATTGTCGAAGTCGAATGTCCAGGTATTCTTCGTATTCTAGCAGACACACGTCAAACATTCCGCACGGCCTTAAAAAGAGTTTACACCATTGGAACCTCATTTGCCAGTAAAAAATATGATAATTGTTTTTTTACCCTTCTATCTGGCAACAAAACTGACATATTTTTTTACAAGGAGTCATGTTTGCATAGACCACAATACCTGCAGTCATAATGCAAACAAAAAACATAACTCTGATAATGTATGCACTGTCCTTGAAGTTGATTGGTCTACACCCGAGACAGCTTTCCTTAGAGCCTAGTCTCATCTGGTCCAACCCATGTGAGACTAGTCACTAAGGAAAGCTGTCTCAGGTGTGGACCAATCAACTTCAAGGACAGTGCACACATTATCAGAGTTATGTTTTTTGTTTGCATTATGACTGCAGGTATTGTGATCTATGCAAACATGACTCCTTGTAAAAAAGGTGTCAGTTTTGTTGCCAGATAGAAGGGTAAAAAAACAAATTATCTTAAAAAGAGTTGTTGATGTGCTATGCAAACACAAGCCTTCTGGGGAGACAAAAGCATCCGGGTGGCGTGGAGCTGGCCACGCTACCGCCTCGCACGACGTGCCGGCCTAAATTGAGTGCTCACCAAAAGCCCTTGCACCCCCGCGCGACCAGCCTGTGAAAGGCTACACGGGGGGTCGCTGTCTTTGTGCGTACGACAGCCTAACGGCGTGCTAACAAGGGGGCTCGTATTTGGACCTTTCGAAAAGGCTTTGTCTGTCGCACAAAACGCCTCGCGGTGTGAGAGCGTCGCAAGATGTTTTAGGCGTCCGCGGACCAATTCGCTTACCGCTGTGCACGGGGAGGGGTGGTGGAGGGGGTTGCAGCCTCTCCGTGCAAGTTGGGCTGGTGTCCTGCCAGTGAACGGCTCCCGACTGCTTTTATTATTATTACTCAGGACAGCCTCAGCGAGTCTCATAGCTCTTTTTCAGGAGGGTCCTGCCAAGTTTGTCGCGCGATGCGGGCGACGATTGCTAGTATGACCCCCGAATGAGTCAATATGTACGTATACGTATGTTGAACTTCTTTCGCGCCATACATAGCCAACCGTGCTAAGTGGAGGTGGGTTAGGCGACAGATACGATCCGCAAAGTTCGCCTCGCACTTCGTCGCAGATCGAAGAGGGAGTTCTATTGCACCACGATTATGTTACATCTACGCAACCGCTGGCTAAGCACGCTGTGCCGAACCGGCTGCGTGAGTGCCACTGCGCGCTTAAAGGTTCCGTCGTCAGCACAGTCAGCATTTACGTCGCCTCGACGGATACAGAGAAGAAGAAAAAATACGGCTTTTTTTTTTGGTCAAAAATGCTGTGGGTGACCTTTTGCAAGATCCAAAACAATTTTGGAGGCACCCAAACGCCCCGAGAGACCAAGACCAACAGCGACTGTGCACGCTGCTTTATATATACGACGACGGAGATGGTGGGGGGGGGGGGGGCTCGAGACTAAGGGGGGGGGGGGGGCGTTGGTGGGGGTTAAAACACAGGAACCCCGAACCCGGAGGGACACAACTCACTTGAGAATCGCGCAATCTGACAACCTCATTACATGAGAGACCAACACTCCTTGGGGCAAAAAACCCTTTCGGCAAATACCTGGCCGAGTTACAAGCACCGTCGGGCATTACTTGACGAGAAAGTTGAGGGATGGAGGAGATAGGTTACCTGCGAGGTAGCTCAGCAAAAAATATAGAACAATTGGCCGTCGGCATTCACACGCCCCTTGCAGCAAGGCCTCTGATTTAGTGGCGTCCATTGCTCAACGTTAAGAAATCGTCGGTCTTGCAAGGCCGCACGCTAAAGCCAGCCGTCTCAAATAATAATTATTCACGTGGCACACGCGCCAAAAGGTACCCGTCTCGGACGAATTTTGCCAACCTCATCCGCCACGAGCAAATACGTCTCTGCTAATGACATCTAGGCTCCCTTTGAACCCGGTGGAAGATCTGGGCCAAGCCATGAATAACTCTTCAGCCGCTAATCTAAAGCACTTGCAAAGACCTGAGAAGCACGTGTGAGCGCACATCGACGGTCGCGACGACGATGATGAATCGGGCGGTCGCGACGCAGAGAACTGTTTTCGCTTTCCACGCATTCCCAAAAGTATGCGGCTTTCAAACAAAGTAATTGTTGCGCCATTGATCTCGGAGGCAGACCCCCCTTAAAGTGTAAATGTTTCTCATATTAGTACGGGTGATATTAATGGCCTGCCCAATTGTATTTGAGAATAACAACATATTTTGTGGATGAATAATACATTGAACAATTCGGTTTATTTAATTTTACATTCTTCTAGCCGTCTACGATCGACACGTCCATATATCACGTAATTGATTATTTAACCAATACAGATGTCACGCCTTACTTTAAGACAATGCGGCAATTGTTCACTAAGCGTAATTATTGCTCCTGGCTTCGCGTGCCAAAAAACGTGTACACAATAGCAACAAAACATGATGGGAAAGCTCCACAATTCGTGCATAGCGTATTTCTTGTGTGTGTTTCGTTTGTTGTCCTTAACCCGCACCTCCCATGAGCACGGTTCGCTATGTACGGTGCGAAAGAAGTTCAACAACTGGAAATGTGCACAGCATGTGCGCCATGTCTATTATGTGAACCCCAAGACTAATTCAATTATTCAACACGTGTGGCTTGGCTGCACATCTATAATATAATAATAAAAACTAGATGTCCTCTTACGCAGCGGAATAAAGATTCATGAAATGTACGGATGGTATTTGAAGACGCTAGGGGAAAAGGAAAAAACATTAACTTCAATACGTAATTAAAACAATATGAAAATAAACGCAACAGGACTAAAAGTTAGGGTTGTCCAAGGACACTCTGGGTCATTGGATGAGAGGGTGAGGTTCAGCAATGTGCCAGTGCATATGTGGTACACATGTGGTCATCATTCACAAATGTTACCAAGACGTTGTGTTCATCACATTAGCTATTATCTTAGACGCAGCAGCTAATGGACTGGAGTACGCCTCTTACGGTCACGATGCCTGCACTGCGCTGCATCACGTGCGTGTAAGAATCGATTAAGAATTCACAGTTTAATGCAGATGTTGCGCTGGCGCTACGGCTGAGCAAACGGACCGAACAAACCTGTGCAAACAAGACAGAGAAACAAGAAAAGCGATACAAAACGAGACAGATAAAAACAATGCGACAGCAAATTATTGTTGAATTGAACCGCGAGCCCTGAATCATGATGGTCTATCTAATCACTGGAGGAATGAAGTGTTACATGCCTATTCGTCACAATAATCATCATCATCATCATAGCGACACTCTTGAGAACCAAACATCAATGTCCATCTAGCCATCGACTCATTGATTGATCTAATTTCTGGGAGAAGTGGGAAAGTGACAGCTGGATTATCGCATTCTTACATCGTACACACTTTACCTGCTCTCGGTGAACATTCACCAACTGACGCGACAATTGCATTGAAATTTGGGTTTCCATGAATGCCTAAAACACAGCCGCCTCTGCAGGACCAACACGTTCAGACCCACACACAAACGCACGGCTTACACTCACCGTCCATAAGTTGGTGATGAGTTGATAATATTTGATGTTCCAACTGCCGGCTCATCTCAATATCACTCAGCAGATGGTTCTGACGGTCGGGAAAGAGTAGTGCAAAAAAAACAACACCAAACCTGTGATGTATTACTGCTCCGAGTCTTTTGATTCATTGCCTGTTCCAATGTGCAACGGACATCGTTTTGCGCTTTGCATTCACGTTACTTTTATGTAAACGTTTTGATAAAGCTTGAAAGCATAACTGGACGTCTAAGCCATATGTCATTGTAGTAATCTTCACAGAGCAGCATAACCAGCTGCAGAAGCTTACACAATGTGCATTAGACATTTGAGAAGCACCAACGTATTTTGTATGCAGTAACGTGGCAGATTAAGCGTTGAGAGAAAATATTACATGAAGAGCCAGGCATTGACAGAGGAGTTAGAATAGAATAATCGTGCGTGCGTGCATGCATGCGTGCGCGGGCATGTATGTAAAAATGAGTTTGCAAAGCCCCTCTCGGCACAGTGTATAAATCGCACGACGCACATTAAAAATTATACAACTTCCTTCCCTTGCGCAGAACCGGTGTGGTGTAAGAGGATCAACAGCGATGGCAGTGTTGTTGGCCGGCCCCACAATGGGGACCTGTACACAGTCTGCTAAAGCTGTGTAGTTGGGTGTTAGGGCAGTGGCGGTGGGGTGTGGGAGCTGTACAATTGAACCCAGAAAAATGCCCCCCAACCCTAACGCAACCTGCACCATCCCCCCCCCCCACCCCACACGTAAAAAATCCGCCCACATTCAAGGGGTCCCCAGACGATGCGTCGTGCAGTAATCGACTGGCTAAGGTTATGTTGAACTTCTTTCGCACCATACGTAATTCAACCATTCTAATCAGAGGTGCGGGCGAAGGACAAGCCTAGGACACGCCACGCTCGGCACACCACATCTTTAATAGCTCTCCCAATGGCGAGGATCGATTAAGCTCATTAATCGCCTAAAAATATAAATGGGCCGATTTTTTGTTGTCAGTTACTCGGGCCCATTTAAAAACGGGGTTGGTCACTCCCACAAGGCAGGAAACCCCCGGTAAGCCACGCCCAGCGTGATGCAGGCGATGACATCGCCAGACTCCGCCCATCACCTCCCATCCAGCGGCACACGTGGGATCAGAGGTGAAACCGTATTTCCAGCAATTTTCTTGCTATCCGTTTCGTCAAGTAATTCAACCTGTGGTATAATCGGTAGGGTAATTGGTTACTAATATGAATCGGATAACCCGGCTCTAAAAACACTACTACCGATCCGTGCATAAATTTAGTCGACACAAGCTAAGAGGGCAATAAACGCACGCTCCCCCCAATCCCCCAAACCCCCCGCCCGCCATCTCACAAACAGATTTGCTATAATTGCCCGCACTTATACACGGAGCGAGGGTGCAATTGTCAAGTGTGAAGAATTTATATATGTATATCAAAAAAAAACTCCCGTAGGCAATTCACCAGAGCACGGTTGGCTGTGCACGGTTCGACATACACCCACGTGCACACGACTCGGGAGTGGGAGCACGCTGGATGGTGACGGACGAGCTGACTCTACCTTCTTAGACGCCAGCACAGCTTGTCTGCTGCTGGTGGGCTGCTCGCAGCTTGAGCTCCCATTGTTCTCTTCTGCAGGAAATTGAAATGCTGAAACCGACACGATGATTAAAGTCAATTATCTGAATGCTTGCGAGGGTAAACAACGACACTAATTACATTACTTAATAGGCAAACAGCAACGTGGCCAATTTAGCCTGCGTTTATTATCAGTTAATGCCTATTAATTCCACATTGCGTCTTAGGAGGATGGCTCCATTCCAAAGTCATAAACACGGTAAAGCTGACGCTTTTCGAGTACCTCTTACCAGGTGGAGCAATTAATTGGAACAAAAACGTCTTCGGCGATCAGCCAATGAATTATAACCTTCATTTGGACAAACTTGGCATGAGTAATGCTGCTTTCCCTTTGGGGGAGATTCTTCCATGTACGTATGTCGAACTTCTTTTGCGCCGTACGTAGCCAACTGCGCTAGTCGGAGGTGTGGGGGGGAAGGGCAACAAACGAATTGAGATTTAAAAGTGCAGAGCTACAGTGACTTCTGAATATCGTAAGGAAGAGCGTTCCAGACGGCCGCGGAAGCGCATCTGAACGCGCGCGATGCGGTGACCGCCTTTGCTCGAAGGCTAGCCCAAAAGCTGCTGCGTGCTCGTGCGATGGTTTATTTGTGGCATGGGAATGTGGAACTGCCACCACTGGCTCGGCACCATGAGCGCGGCTCATTTGAGCTGGGGAACGCGTTCGCGTGAACTCGGACAACAATCGTGGGACTGTAAAAGTGCGTCGAGGCTGGAAACAAATAAGGACACAATAATTCGGTACTCACAAAATGTGACTTATAGACAGCAAAAGGCGAACATGTGACCGTAGGATTATTCTTCCCAGCGTGCTCTCCCATTGTTACAGATTCTAGGGACACAGTCGCATTTTTAGCCGTCTAGAAATCACTTTTTACATGCATTGTTATTATTTTTATCCGTGTCGAACCTACAATCTTTTTTTCTGACACGCAACGCATGATGGAAGGGCTGCACCTACGGCAGTGACCAGATTGTACAGGAGCCAACTGGACCCGTGGATTGCAGTTTCTTGCATTTGCGATTTACAAAGTCAAGTAGTACAGAAACAAAGCAATGGCACCTATTGCTGTCGAAAATCGCATTCTCCTCTAAATCATCAGACTATCCAACGAAGGCGGACTGACAGACTGATACAGAGCACAGAAGTGTCAGTGCAAACACACGCAAGTGAATTTAAAAGCAACAAGACGCGACCAGGCTGGCCTAGGAAGGCAAACCACGGAAGGTCCTGGGCCGTGTGTGTGTGTGCAGCGCGTCACCGCGGACAGCCCCTGACCGGCTTCCAGCTTGCTGAAGCCCTCCCGGTACTGCAGAAGCGACCGTCTCTCTCCCAGCAGCCTCTGCATCTGCCCGTTGGCCTCACGCAGGAAATCGCGGCACTGCCCAGTGTCGGCCCTGCTCTCCTCCAGCTCCGACTCGAAGCGCTCACGTGAGCTGTACGACAACAGAGAGAGAGAGAGCGAGAGAGAGGGCAAACAAACGGGGAAATGCAAGGCTTCAATTTTTTTTTTTACACCACCAAGGAAAGGAAGGAAGCTGCCCGGAGTCTCTGGAACAAACGCCAGGGCAGTGCGTTTGCCGCACAAACCTCGCGAGCGCTGGAGACACGGCGCCCGTGCAAACACGCTCGCTCGCAGTCCCGCGCAAGCCCGAGATGAACGCACGCGCGCGCACGCACGCACGCACGCACACACAGCGAGCACAGCTGTACGCGCGTGATAATGGGCGTGCAGGTATAGCTTTATCGCGGATTTGCAAACCCGGTCGGCTGATTGAAGTTGCCGGAGCGGCATCCCCTACGAAGGGTGTTAGCCGGATAAGAACCCGGCCCCTGTTCTCTGGCACCGCGAGCGCTGAGCTGCCCCCAATTCTCTTTACTCTTTATAATGGGGGGGGGGGGGGGGGGGGGGGGGAGTTCTGCCGCTTTTCTCTTTGGCACTTTGGCTCTGCCCCGAGAGTTCAAGCCCACGAGTTTTCCTATTCTGTGCTCTTTAATCAGCTGATTAAGCCATAATTAACGGGAAATCCAAGTCTTTTTGGTGTAATGCAGCCACATTTTTTTTTCTAACAATATCCTTTTAAAGAAAGCCACCAAAGGAATATGCCCTCATTAAAATTACCCTGGGCGCACGTGCTTATGTTTGCATGTGTGCGCGCATGCAGCAATTCGAGATCCATTAGAGCAATCGCAGGCAATAATTTGTAAAGGTCATCGGTAAGATAAGTGAGCACGGATGGTCCGCTTAGTTGTTGGGGACGGTCATGCTGTTGCTCTGTATTGTGGTAATTTCAATCGGCCTTCAACTATGCAGGGACAAATACGTTGTGTAATATCTGGTGTCAACGTGCAGAATACACACGTGCAATAAGACAAAGATTCCCCCGTATAGCCTTAACAGACTGTTGGGGCAAATGCTGTTAGCGAGCACCTATGCACATGTTACTGCACTTGTACACACATACACACCCCTCGTCCAGAAGTGCAAATGTCAAAAGGGCTCCACATGTGCACATACACGTGTAGTGTAATAGCCAAGGCTGGTGGCCAGCAACGGCAGCTGTGGTGGATAGACAGGACACACGCTGGTGAGCGCGTGCACGGTGTGTTGGCAGGGCAGAGGAACTGAGGCAAGGGTCATTGAGGACCTCATCTGGAAGCCCCTGGAACCTGCTAGCGGGTTCGAGAAGGGAGGCGCGGCCAGGGCAGAGCCAGGCCGCGCTGGGAGCATAAAAGGAGCCGAGAGCGGGGGCTCAGGGCTGCCGGTTCTGGGATTGGATTCGTCTCGTCGTCGCTGTCGTCTCGTCGCCGTCGTGACTGCCGTCTTCGCTGGATATTGCGCTGCTAGACAGTTGTTGGCCGTCTCCGTCAGCGCCGTCGGCGTTAGACGGCTCAGGTTGTGTACAGGCTAAGCGACTGTAGAGAGTGTGCAGACGAGACCGTGAATGTTCAAATAAAAGAAGGTGTCTCCTACAAACCTCGTCTCCAAAACACTGACAACTACATATGTGCCGTAAACGCACGTGCTCGTGTATGAAGAGTAAACAATCGCAAACGTGATGGGGAGTGATAGGGTAGTGGTTTCCGAACCGCGTTACAAACACAGCGATCCGCTGTCAGAATAATGGTGACAGGGGATATTTGAACCGGTCCTCAGCCTCCCCTAGGTCAACTCAGACTTAAATGAGTATCTCACACAGTGTGTTAACATCAGCACTGGGAAGGCAAAGGCAGCTAGGCGTGGTGTTGGTCACCCACCCGCTCGTGCTCTGTGCCGTCCTTCATAAGTTCTCGCTAAAAACACTTTCCCCAAAAGGCTGTGCAAGGCCATACGGGGAATATTTGTATTTTGCGGTAAACATAATGACCCATTTGTTAATTAGCATGCCTGCACATAGAGTTATCGTCAGATAATAAAGCACCAATCAGTCCCAATGAAGCCCTATTTTGCTCTCGTGTGAGTAATTCTTGGGTTGTTACCAAGTCGACGCGAGCACCTGGTTCGAGAGTAAAAGGTCCAGGTAATTTCTGTCTGGGAATTATTTGTTTTCCATGCACCCAGGATGAACGATAACTTTTCAAAATTTTTGTTTGCTCACTGGGTTTTTAGATATATATCTCAGTAGATGTATGTGTACTGGGGTCCGTGACTCTGCAGACATATACTCATCACAGACTTGGGTTTCGATAACCGTGTCATCCGTCGACCCCGAAACAAACGTTTTTTTTTTAAACAATCAACAAAGGGGAGCGCCTCCCCGTGTGTGCCAGAGCCTTCGTCTAACGGCAGACAATTAACGCAAATTACCACTGGGTAAAAAATCCCGTTAATTTCATCTCTTTGGCGTAATTAACAAAAACAGCCACTGTGCGAAGCAATTATCATAAATAAACAAAAGCTTGGAGCGGTTAGCAAATACAGCGCCCGGCTTGGATGTAATTATCACATTAATGCACTGGGGATTGTTTACATCTTTACTCATCTCCCCCCACCCCCAACACCCAGCCTTAACAACAGCACAACTTCAAAATTGCACACTCCATATCTTTAGCGCGCACAGCGCTTACGGAAAAGCAAATAATACTCTTCACAAACAGATGGGCGCTTTATGATGTTATACATATAATTTTTATATGTTCTTGTTTTTCAGAGACCCGATTCTCACATCATAATTCAATAATTTTGAAAGAGAAAGGCGGGAAGTGGGGGGCAAATCGAGGCGGGCATTGCTTTTACAACAGGGGCCCCAATGAGAGTTTGCTTAATCCATCCGTGCAGAAGGCTCTGAGCACGTGGTCTACACATTACTTTGTCATCTTCGGAACAAAACCTTCAAGTGGCTTCACTTCTGGTCAAGGTTGTAGGGGACATAGTGGGGGCCCTCCCTGGTGACACGCGGAGCACTGAAGAAGCTGTTGCTGTTTTGAACTCGTTGCCAAAACACATTTTTCGTCTCGCACAAACGGGGCACTATGTTCCTCGTGACTCTGAGATAAGCATTTTAAATATATATATAAATATACGCCTATTACAGCAACTAACCGTACCAATGTACCAAAAACACATACAATTGATTTATACAGCATCTAGATGCAGTGGCGTCGCAAGATGCTGTACAGAAACAGTGGGCATGTGTGTCGTATAGAGAGTGACTCTCAAAATGCTTTGACACGTGTCGTGACGGGTACTGCAAGATCTGACTATGTCTGTCCATTGGCTTCCAGTTTCGCATCCATTACACACTGCAAAGTGCTTGCCACAAATGAACCACAATACCTTGTGGATCTCATCAAGGAGCATAAACCATCACGCGAACTCCGGTCATCCTCGCAGTGGCTTGTGGCTGGCCATCGAACAAAGACGGTCACTGCATCGCGCTCTTTCAGATGTGCTTCTGTTTCCGTCTGGAACGCTCTTCCTTCCGATATTAGGAAGCCACTGGACCTATACACATTCAAATCTAGATTGAAAACCCATTTCTTTAGAACTTATTTTTGTGTTTAGTTTGTTATCCTTCGCCCGCACTTCGGATTAGCAAGGTTAGCTCTGTATGGTGCGAAAGTTCAACATACATACATACGTGAGGTTGTCTTTTGAGTGGCAAGATAATGTATAGTTGAAGATACGGCATTAAGGTGAAATATTCACTGCAGGCTCTTCGTGCCAGCGGTAATTGTAATATTGACGAAGTACCTTTATTTGAGTTGATTATGAAACATTCGAGTCTATGTTCGTTTTCACATAAATTGCAAAATACAATCGTCACCAGACCACACTGACCATCGTGGTGAAGTATGGTGAAGCAACCCCCATGACCGACACGGTGTGGTAGGTCTTCCCGTTTCGCACGGTTGGCTACGTACGGTGCGAAAGAGTTCAACGCACGTACACACACGTGCGTGCGTACAGAGGGGGAGAGAAAGATGTGGAGCCTGGGCCTGAACAGGGGCGAGGAATCGAAGCGTGGACTGGTGGTGGGAGGGAGTTCTAGAACGCACGGATAGCAGAGGAGAGTGGAGGATGATTCGGGCTTCGACGCAAGGCCTAGGATTCCCGAGTGGTGATCCATGTCAAGTGAGTTCTAGGCCAAGAATGGTTGAGAGTGAATGAACAAAGCAACTCTTTTCGTGGCGTACGGAAAGTGCCCAGCCATTGAGCGGAGATGTCTGACGGTGTTATTACGCTGCCAAATGATCAAGTGTTCAAGTTAATTTTTTTGAACCAAACTGATAACTCAAGAGGTCGAGGACAGTCTAAATTGTTGTCCAAAGTGAGTGTTAACCGGGGTCCTGAACACAACAAGAGTTCAACTTTTCTCCACACTCAAAAGACGCGGGGCCTAAACATCGTGGCTCACCTCCAAAATAAATCACACATCACCATATCAGATCATTTTTCACAACAAGAACCATGACCAAAGAGGGTGATCCATTTGAATTTAATGCCTCCTTTGTGTTCTCTTAATTACATTTTCATTGAACTGACACGCATCTTTAAATGTTAATTGATGGGAATCGTCAGGAGCGCTATAATCATAATCGCAGCAGATTTGCTGTCGTGTCTGAGACGCCTGCAGTTTCTAAGACAATCAACGGTGATTAGCCACCAAACATCCAGGGGGCCTAAATTATTTACGTCCATTTGTCAGATGGCAGGGGCTCCCTCCTCTGATACGACATCGCCAGACCACGCACAAGCCGAAGGACATCAGATGTCATTGTCGAGTTCAGGTGAACTGTGCTGCCCCGATCCACCGCGCCTGTATATTTTGAGTTTGCATGTCTCTCTCCCCGTGGTCGCGTGGATTTTTCTCCAGATCTTCCGGTTTTTCCCTCCACATTTAGAATCAACGTACGTTTAGAGTATTTGCCTGCAATAGTTTACATTTTGAGTTTGCATGTCTTTCTCCCCTTGGTCGCGTGGATTTTTCTCCAGATCTTCCGGTTTTTCGCTCCACATTTAGAATCAACATGCGTTTAGAGTATTTGCCTGCAATAGTTTCCACGTGATAAGCCACTTTGTTGAACTACCATTTGTAGCCAGGTCGCTTCTGATAAAGAGCTGTAAAATAAAATTGCTCAGTGGGCCTTACCTGGTAAAATAAAAATAGCTTTTAGTATTTATAGCCCAGATCTGGCACGTCTCATGTCTCATCGTACCCTATTTTAATTTATATCGCACCTTCACCAAGGTGCTGAACAAAGAATTAAGCTATTTGTACAGCGGAATAGTGTGATGAGATGAGATGAGTTGATAAGGATGGTTGGACATGGATATGACGATGCGTGAAATAAACGGTGATGAAAGTGGCAATGAGTGGTCAATGATGAGAGAGTGTGATGAATGGGAAGGGAAATTGGGAAGACGGATGGTGTTCGTGATGGGGAAGGGAGGGGGACGAGGAGTTTGGGTAAGCGTGGGAAAATAAGTGAGTTTTAAGGGAAGAATGAAAAATAAAGAGTGAGCTGATTGTTTGACGTGTAGGGGCAGCTTGTTCCAGTGTAAGGGGGCCAGAGGTGAGATAGAGTGGAGCAGTGATGAGGCACAGACAGAGAGACAAGCTGGGATTGCGAACAGAGAGCACGAGCAAGTGGATAGAACGAAACGCGGGAGGTCAGACACTTTGGGGTAAGACCATGGACAGACTTTGAAACTAGGGTTCACCTGATTTAAAGCTTTAGTGACTGCGGGGATTCATATTCATTGGTTCGTTCGGTAAAGTCACGTAGAAGGGAAACAATAAAATAATACAAATATAAATCAATACAATTCTCACGACGTTTCGACTGCAACACAAGCAATCATCATCAGGTGTGAAATCCACAGCAAGAAAATTTGAAAAAAGTGACGGTTTTTTCTTAACGTCAGTACCACGTGACTTTACCGAAAGAACCAAGAATATAGGGTTCACCTGGTCGCCCTATTGAAAAATGGCCTCCGCGGGGCGGAAGTTTAAAAAATTAACCCGTAAAAACTAAGTTTTTCACTATAAATCCTTTATATGCGTGGCATCGGTTTTATTTTTTTATTCATTTCTGTTTTTCTTGAGTAAGAGTTTCATTTTTATAGTGTGTTGACACACATCCAGAATAATTTTCTGTGTTTAGGAAAAAGATATGATTGTGTTAGTGAAAATTTTTTTTTCCTAAAAAGTGGAAAATTTTGAAAAAAAATTTCACGAAAATAAATTGTCACGCACAACGAGTCTGTGTGCAAAATGTCAGCTCGATTGGATCACGGGAAGTGGGTTAAAAAACGACAGAAAGATTTGCACGGTCGTAAGCGCGCAAGCAAGCAAGCAAGTGAACTTAATATAAAGGATTTAAAAATCACACTGCTGTGTACAACAACAGGACGCTGTTCACTCGTGGTCACGTGACGCTGATAGAATGGCAGCTGTGGCTGCACGTTGACGCGAGTGCACAAAAAAGTAAGTAAATTTCACCTTCACGGAATTCCTATGAATGAGTATGTAACATTCTGTATCAGCTAAACATAGAGTTATCGAGAGCAGACAAACGGGAGGAAATACTTTAGTGGTGTCCCTCGTAGTAAATGCCCCTGCTGCACTTGCCTTCGCTGTGTCGCCGTGTGGCGCAAGGCACCAGGTACCACTCACCTCCGCAGGCACTTCTCTCTTTCCGCCAGCTCGCCCTCCAGTTGCGTAATCCTTGCTGTCAAACACTCCTCCTTCTTTGCGAAATCCCCAACCACAAGCTGCAGATTTCTGATTTCATTGCATTTCTCTCCAAGCCTGCAAGAGAGAGATATTAAAGATGTTAACTCCCTCGCCTGGTATGCAGGAGGTTGCGGGTTCGATCCTGACCCTGACGCCTGTATATATGGAGCTTGCATGTCTTTCTCCCCCTGGTTCACGTGTATTTTTCTCCGGGTCCCTCCGGTTTTTTCCTCCACATTTAGAAACATGCGTTTCGAGTATTTTGCTGCGATAAATATGCACACGATGATAAGCCACTTCGTTGAGCTATCATTTGTGGCCAGGTCGCTTCTAAAAAAGAGCTGTAAAATAAAAGTTTAGTTTTAGTAGAAAGAAATCAATAGGTCGCCAGTTCCACCTCCTGTCTTTTCAGTTGCGACAATGGTGCACGTTTCTTAAATCCTGCCTACCACTAGGCTTGCCAAGCCTGACTAAAGCTATTCTGGGAGATAGAACGTATCTTCTTATTCTCTTAAAATATCCTCTTCTTAAAACTCCCGGATTGCTTTCAATAATCAACAGGAGATCGATACTAATTCCGGGAGGGTTGGCAACCCTACCCACCTCCTCTGGCCACCGAGCAGCGTCAATGGGTAACACCCGCGGGCAAGTCACGTGCGGTGCAGCAAAGTGTTGTCTGGCCAGTGTGGTAGTAGGCCAAACTGTCCCCCACTAGCAGAGGTCGCAACTGGGTACCCGATACCCGTACCCTACCCGATACCCGGCTACCCGTACCGTTTGCGACCCTGGTGCGGCCGGGTACGGGTAGGCCGTGAGTCACTGGTGAGTAGCCGTTTGTCACTCATTTCGGGTAGGGTACGGGTAGGGAACGGCTACCCGTACCCGACCGGGTACGGGTACCCATTTGCGACCCTGGTGCGGCCGGGTACGGGTAAGGAATCAAACCCCGTTTGCGACCTCTGCCCACTAGAGAGGGCCTCTACTCGAGATCTCCCTCGAGTGCAAGCACTTGCACCAGCAGGCCTGCGCATTTCCCATGTTTGTTATCACAGCGGCAGATGTTTACGTGATTTCGGAAACTCCTGCGGCTTGAAAATAGTGAAAAGTGAGAGACCACCAAACATCCAGAGACCTAAACTATTGTAATAAAAACAAAAGTCAAACAAGCATTAGGCAGTGCTTATCTCTGTGCAAACAGTCATCACAACAATCACGTGAACATCTTATATTCTGCACGGGTCAGCTCGTCTCTAAGTTAAAGTACTGCAGGCATATGACGTTACCCACGGCAGATTAAACTGTGGGCAGCCTCAGTCACAATTGCTAAAATCATCCTAATAATGCGTATGGAGTGTAATTTCGAAGGTAATTATGTACAGTTTTAGAAACTGGCTTATTTTTGGAAAAAGTGAGGGGTGACCACAGTCGCACACGGGAGAGTTTTTTTTTTAATGGAAAATTAGAAGATTAACAGACCACGTGACGTATAACAGACTCAATGGCCGATTCACAAATACGAACGAGGCTTCGCCACAGCGATACGCTCCGCTACTCTTGATGCAACCATCTGGGTCAACCACCTCAAAGTACAATTATGATTGTTGATCTGTATGTATGTTGAACTTCTTTCGCACCGTACATAGCCAACCGTGTTAATCGGAGGCGCGGTGAAAGGACAACAAATCAAGCACAAAAAGCAGTTCTAAAGAAATTAGTTTTCAATCTAGAAACATCCGTACGAAGAAGAAGACAAAGGCTTGACATATTCTTAGTGTTTTCGGTAAAGTCACGTAGGTAAAAAAAATTAAAATTAATAAAAATAAAATAATAAAAATCACGACGTTTCGGAGGCAACACAAGTCTCCGTCATCAGGTGGGACCGTCACAGCCAGATCAGCTGTATCACTTGATATCACTTGATACAGCAAATCTGGCTGTGACGGTCCCACCTGATGACGGAGACTTGTGTTGCCTCCGAAACGTCATGATTTTTATTCTTTTATTTTTATTAATTTCGTTTTTTTACCTACGTGACTTTACCGAAAAAACTAAGAGTATGAATCCTTGCAGTCATGAAAGCTTCAAATCTAGAAAGGCTTGACAAATGGAACTTAGTGCACCACCAACTGCCGATCCCAGCGTGGATAAAAAAAAAAGTTTATCTGAGTACATCGGACACCGTGGAATTTTACGAGCAAGATCGGCGGACAAATTATTTCCATCCGAATGGTTGGCGCACTGTTGCCAAAGTGAAAATCCACCTCACGATTGCATCAATTGTTTACCCAACATCTTTGAAGTGTCTGAAGTGCAAGTCCCAAAACTTCGGAACTACCCATGCCATTCTATTTGCGCTGTGTTGGACTAGTTTATAAGACCTACACGTTATTGGCTGCGTGACAAGCATACGTTCATCAGGCACACACTGACCGACTGATGCTGCTAATGCATTGTAGGGAATACATTCCTACCATCTACAGTTAAAAGTTCAAATGCAGAAGATACGTTCATTTTATCATCAACATCAGCAGCAGTAGCCATGCTCAATCCATTGCTGGATAGAGGTCTTCCCCAACCATCGGCCATCTCTCACGACCATGTGACATAACAATCCAGAGGACGCATGCATGTGCTCAATGCACCTATACGTTTGAACGCACATTTTTTTTCAACCTAAGCCACGGAAGTTGAGTCGAAAGAACTTGTCCAAAAATCCACCTCGCCCCAGGGAAACGCATCTCTTGACGAACGAAACTTTTCACAAAGGGCCCATTGTGCATCCTATCACGATCGGCCAAACGGACATTCTCCGCCCGTCGTTGACAAAGCCTCGTGCCCGTCTGATACATTGCTCGCACAAGTTTAATTTGCAGGTGTTGTGATCCGAGAAAAGTGGAGATGAGAGCATCGTTGCAATACACTGATGAGCTATATTTATTTATCTTCCATAAGGCCTCAAAACCCCTGGTGTGATTATGACAAAAATTCCCACCCAATAGAGCCCATTATTTCCTCCATCCAATTAAAGCAGCTTAATAGAAGCTCTCTTTCCCATGCCTTCCCAATATTAATTCTTCATTAACATGCATCTATCCCAACAGGGACCTCAATCTATCTGATCTGCACCATTTCCTGGCATCATGGCCGGCCCTGAATAATTTAAACCTGTTTAGAATTTAATAATTGGAGAGAAATCCCGCTGGAGCAAGAGACAAACAGAGGTGTAATGGAGTGTCGAGTCACGGTAATGCTGCAGTAATTGGAACAAGCTGGCTCCTCCTTTAGCCTTCTCCTGGCAGCAGAAGTTCAGGAGAGAATACGTACAAATACAAAGAGGCCCCTTATAGCCTGCGCAAGCCGCTGGGGGCAAGTGCTGTTGGCGAAAACCTACGAAGGCCGGTGCAGGGCACAAGGAGTTGGTGAGGCCAATTCCACGACCCGGCTGACTTCATCTCCCCCTGTGCTGATACGCACACACCGTCACCAGGTACTCATTTAAGACTGAGTCGAGAATATAAACACACACACACACGGGATGCTCTGCTGTAACGGCTAGCAGCACATTGGACATTGCAATGCAGAGGTTTCCGGTTCAATTCCATCTGCCGATGCGGTAGTTCAAACAAAGGTGCAAGTTTCTTAAATCCCCTCTGTCCACCCAGCAGTATAAATGGGTACAGGACATGTGGTGGAAACAAGTGTCGGTATATTTCCACTTCTTCCAACACATCTGGCCGGCGTGGAAGAGTCGGGCAAAATACTGTCCCGTGGAAGCCCTTTCTGCCTGCAATGGCATGAGCGAGGAATTGCAGGGCTGCGCTTTTACCATTCACCTTCACACACACACACACGCTCGCGTCCACAGACGCGCGCGCGCGCGTGTCACTGTTTGGAGGGAAGCGGCTTTGCCACCAGCTGCCGCACCTGCTGAGTTGCAAGCGCTGCCACTCCGCTTGAAGACACGATGTGCGATCGTGGAGGTGCTAAGCAAAGCAAAAAAAATCCGGCACCCCCCCCCCCCACCCCCCCCGTTCACCCACCGACTCCCCGCTTCCACACGCCCCGCTCTCGACGGAAGTGAGTTTCCGCGAGCGTTATCGGAATGCTGACTGCGTGCCCCCCCCATCCCCCCTACCCCTGCCCCCCCCACCACCACCACAGACGGATCTTACGCCACCGGAGTTATTCTTTCTGCAAGATGCCAACGCTCATTAAGAATGTGCGCACGTAGAGCACATGGCAAGAACAACAAAACAAACAAAAAAGCCGTCACCCAAGCACACACCGACGAGTGATGCGTTGAAAAGAGACCGCGAAAAGCAGGAACGGATCTCTTGTCGCTCGCTGCAACGTCCGTCCGGCAGTGTCGCCCCTTCAAGTGGAGCTGCGTCGACCAATTAAAAAAATATGAGGATCTCTCGAAAAACATCTCCCATCTCCCCTAGCCGGAAAGATTTTCATCGTCACGATCATCATGATCAGCCATGGTCAACCCACTGCCAGATGAATGCTCCCCCAAGCTGCCGCTGCCTCTCACCATCCCGCGCTGTAATATTCCACCCAGAACCTGCACATTCACCGATTTCATCGCTCCATCACCCTCGGTCAACGTCCTCTTGGATGCATCCCAGCCCTTGGTCGCCACTCCGTCGTTATTCCTGAGCATTGCCAATTGTCCCTTCTAGCGATGGCAAGCCCACTTATTTTTTCTCCATAGCTTGAATGATGTCATGACCTTTATATGGTCTCCAAACGATTCGTTCCTCTTCCCCTCTCTGTAATTCCAAGCGTGCACCAATCCACGCTTCTGTGAGCAAACATGTCAACGTGCTCACGCTGAGCCAGCTGGCGTGACCGACTGCGTTCAAATTCAACAACCGACAGACTTTCTGTTCCTTCACGGTCCTGAAATGAAGTGTTGTTTAAACCGAATGGCTAAATGCAGTCGACTCTAGATTAATCCGTGAGCAGCTATTAATCGCTGCTCCTCACTCGTTGAGGTCAGAGACTCAGTGCCACGTGAGTGCAATAAGGAAATAAAAAAACGACATTTGTGACAGCCCCTGCATGATAGAGTTATTACCCCGAAATAGTAAGAAAAATATGTAATTTGATGCATAATAGGCCCTCATCCAGCAGTGGATATGGCGGTGCTCAGCTGAGGTGGGGTAAGCGGGAGAGCATGCGATGCGGTGGCAGAACTCACTCGCCCGTGACTCGATCCAGTTGTCCTTGAATCTCTTCTGCCTCGATGTTTCTGGTGAAAAGAATCGGACATCAGCACAGCGCGTTAGCGGCCGCACCGCTGCCGCGCTGCGTTGCGGACGCGCGGCTTCAACTGCGACGTAGCGAACGACTCCATCGCACCATTGGAAACCTCATTTGCCAGTAAAAAAATATGATAATTGGTTTTTTTACCCTTTTATCTGGCAACAAATCTGCGCCTTTTGGCGTCATCTGGTCCAACACCATGTGAGACTAGGCTCTAAGGAAAGCTGTCTCGGGTGTGGACCAATCAACTTCAAGGACAGTGCATACATTATCAGAGTTATGTTTTTTTTTTATCAGAGTTATGTTATGTTTTTTGTTTGCATTATGACTGCAGGTATTGTGGTCTATGCAAACATGACTCCTTGTAAAAAAAAATAAAGTGTCAGTTTTGTTGCCAGATAAAAGGGTAAAGAAACAATTACTGACTCCATCGCAGCTGAACGGAATGGGACGGTCAGGTATCACACTCAACCATCGTCACCGTCGCTACTGCTGAGTTCACCTTGCTTGAAGCACAAGATTAGTGGCGGATACAGCAGTCACATTTGCAAATGTGGTTTGTAACTTTCATCATTACCTGTAGTATCGATTGTTCAATGTTAACGTGTCAATCTTGATTTGCTGTTCCATTGCTGGATTATTTTTTTCCGTCTGAGGACGACCGCTTGTGTTGCGATCAAAACGTCGTGATTTATTATTTTGTAAAAATTTTCTATCTACGTGACTTTACCGAAATACCCAAAGAGTATGTTAATGTGTCATTTTGTTGAGGGACGACTGCTGTCTGGTGTTATCTTGGTGTGGTCTGGGACTGTTGTTGTTGTTTGCTGACTTGCCCAATCTTGCTGAATCTGACTTATTTCTATTTAGTGACCTGCTTACGATTTTCTCTATTTTGCACTCCTATCGTTTTTTGTATCGTTTGTTGTTGTAATTTGCTGACCACGTGCCCGCACCGGACAGCTTTGTTAAAGAGCTTCATAGCTCATCGTATTTCTCCTGCAGTCGAAATAAAGACTCTGATTCTTGCTTTGCACAAGAGCGACTGTGCAAGACATAAGCTTAGGATGAGGCAAACAAGAATGCATCTGTTCATTGATCGAAATCGAGTCCACACTCGCGATTGCACGCATTCAGTCTGAGTGTTGGTGGATAATTTTTTTATTTGCCTACGTTATTCATGACAATAATTGTACATTTGATGAGTCCACGAGAACTTTGCAGATGCATGAACCTACATCGCCACAATGTAATATATGTATAAATATTATACTCAACAGGTGTTCCAATTGTCACGTTCCTACTTATCGTAAAGTAATAGAAATATGTTTTACCCAATTAACCCTCACCGAGTCGAAACACTTTTTAAGGTGGGTCCTGCAATGGCATTTTTGGTAACTTCTACTTGACAGTAATAAGTATTTGGCATGTGGGCAGGAAAAGGGGAATACCCTGAGAAATGTACCACACTCTAAGCCCCACAGACATACTCATAAATAGTTGTGTTGTTGTTGTAACTTTCTGACCCACCCCTACTGCACTTCTGTGATAAAGAGCTTCATGGATCATTGGATTTATCCAGAATAAAGATTCTGATTCTGATTAATCGATTGCTGTCCTGCCATCACCTGGCCACGTCGCAGCTCAAGCCTAAAAACATCTTTTGTATTCCTGGGCAAACCTCACTTCCAAGTAATAACCAAGCTCAGCATTTGCTTAGCTTCTGAGATCCGACAATTTCCACGGTAATTTGATCATAGTTACTGTGTTAATGACGACGGAGTCAACATACTTCTCAAACGTATATTTTTGCTCATGTGCAGATGCTGTCAAGAAAGAAAAGCCGACCGTTATCCGTTTGCGCACGCGGCCACAAGGCAAGCTCACCTGTTAGCGAGCAGTCTGCTGTACAGGATGAAGTAAGGGATCCTTGAGTACGCGCTGCCACTGTCGGAATCATCGCACGTGAACTGTGGGCTGTAGACGTCATCTGCATGGCAACCGGAGACATCGCCACCAATGAGCTGTGTTTGCCGCATGAAACATGATTCCAAAATAGCCTGGAGGACGCTATTGCTGTCAGTGATGCCGAGTGTCCTGGTAGGTTTACAAAGTCATTTTCAATGACCCCAATGTCCTCAATTTTCTCAACATCATCTTGTAGCCTTACTTTTTATTTAGTTATTACCACAGTCACCGAGCACAGGCCCAAAGGCCCAAAACAGCAAGCGAACAGAAATAAACTACACCGTTAAAGTCATCACAGCTAAGTGTTTTCTTGAATTTCGCAAGGTCACAAGGGCTTGAGGTGAGAGACGATGGGAAGGGATGCCTAGGTCAAGCCGTGCGAGGACGGAAGCAAAGAGATAAGCGTGTTGACTTGCAGTGTGGCGAGTGAGTAGGTGGGTGAGTGAGTGAATGTGTGAGTGGGTGGTTGAGTGTGTTGTTGTAAACCTGCTGTGTGGTGGATGAACACAGCATGGATGGGACAAAACGGTCAGCCGAGTCGAGCGAGTCCACGGCATTGCCGGAGAAATCAATGAGTGAAGTTCACAGGAAGAGTAACAAAGGTAACAGCGATAGAAGATTAACAAGGAAGCAAGTGACCGCCACCGATGAGTGAGCGACCGAGTGAATCGACGAGTTCTGGATGATCAATCAACCTTGACTGCTTTAAGTGTACGAAGGAGAAGTGTACGAAGTGTAGCCAAGAAGAAGGGAAATAATAAAATAATAAAAATATAACATAATAAAATACAATTATCACGATGTTTCGGCCACAACGCAAGCAGCCGTCCTCAGGTGAAGAACAGGTTTTTTTGGAAGGAATTCAGACGCTGTCTTTCCGAAAGCCCTGTTCTTCACCTGAGGACGGCTGCTTGCGTTGTGGCCGAAACGTCGTGAGAATTGTATTTTTATTATGTTTGATTTTTATTATTTTATTATTTCCCTTCTACGTGACTTTACCGAAAGAACCAAGAAGATGAATCGCTGCAGTCACGAAAGCTTTAAATCGAAATGTAGCCAAGAAATTTGGAAGAGCACATGGGAAAGTCACTGAAGAAGCATTGCAAAAAATTGGGTGAAACTTTCAAGACAGACGATGAAACTGTGATAGGATTAATACACTGCATCCGAACAACCCTCGCTGCGTTCCAAACGTCTCACACGTGAAACCAATGTGCTCGTGCGACCCAATTGGGTGTGATGGGTACACGCGCAGAATCAAAAAGAAGGGTGGTCAAGTTGAAGTGTCAAGGGCGAAGAACACAAGTGGATTCACTTGCTGCGTTACCCTACATTTAAGGCGTATTTCAAATTAAGAAACAGTTGTGAAGATACGCTCCGTATGTATGTATGTTGAACTTCTCTCGCACCGCAAGTAGCCAACCGTGCTAATCAGAAGTGCGGGGGAAGGACAACAAACTAAAAACCAGGATTGGACTTTACTAAAAGGCCGTAAAATATAAAGCTTGTTATAATTTCGATACCATTTTATTTTATTTAGCTCACGTGGGAGAAGGCAGCGACTTGGCTAAGTAGGCCTTGCTCATTTGTGATGATGATTAAGACTTTTAAAACACGTGAAGTAGCTAATTCTAGATTTGAAGCTCTCGTGACTGCAAGGATTCATACCCTTAGGTTTTTTCGGTAAAGTCACGTAGGTAAAAAATGAAATTAAAATTTATAAAAGTAATAATAGAAATAAAATAATAAATCACGACGTTTCGGAGGCAACACAAGTCTCCGTCATCAGGTGGGACCGTCACAGCTAGATTTACTATTATAACTTTTATGAATTTTATTTTTTTTATTTTTTACCTACGTGACTTTACCGAAAAAACCTAAGAGTACGTGGAATAGCGGCACAGTGGTTTGCACACACTTTGCTCTGAACCTGATGGCCTGCGAACCACAGGCCACAGCTACCTTCAGTGGGGAGCAGTCGCATTACTGGTGTGATGGCAGTTGGTGCCTTGCCCCCCTCCCCCCAAGCTACGAGTTAGGGCCCCCTTGACAACAACCACGAGATATGTTTTGAACAACAGTGTTAAAGAACAACAATGTACCTAAATTTCGATTTAAAGCTTTCGTGACTGCAGGAATTCATCTTCTTGGTTCTTTCGGTAAAGTCACGTAGACTTTACCGAAAGAATATATAATAAAAATAAAACATAATAAAATAATTTAATTGTTTTATTTTTATTATTTTATTATTTCCATTCTACGTGACTTTACCGAAAGAACCAAGAAGAATAATGTACCTAACGATGTGATTAGGCAAGAAGAGCCGTGATATACAGCGAGACAAATCAAATATTGGGTCCCCCCACGTGACCAACTGCCGCACCCCCTGAGCTGATTGTGTCGTTACGACGCCACTGGTGGGGAGTGAGATCTGAATTTCTTCAAGGCCCCCCACCTTCACCAAACCTGCCCTGGTCTGCGCGGTCGAAGATTCCCATGGCTAACAATATGGCATGGGGAGGTGGCCTGTATCCAGCAGTGGAATGGCAAAGGGTCCCAACATTATTGTTTACTTCGTATTTAATATTGTGAAACAACAAATGGTATTCAGTTTAACACGTAGAGTTTTGCGACGAACTATCATCCATAATACAGGTTTTTTGTTTGTGGGGTAGATCGCGTAAATATGAAGCTAGTTGTAATTACTGACGAAACGTCGTACTCAATTCGTTACTAGTGTGCTGCACTATTAACGAATTGGCATGTTCTGTTTACGTGACAAACCTTAATAATTGGCTGTGTCGGGTGGTGGTGAGTTTAACGGCACATTTATATATTTACGCGATATAACCCACAAAAACTGCATTATGGACAATCATATTAGTTTATTCATCACGTCCCACCCACGACGTCACGCACGACTCAACAACACAAACCTTATAGTGATAGGTTTTTAACCTTTAAACTGGTAAAAAAAAACTGACACCTTTATACAAGGCATCATGTTTGCAATGACCACAACACAAGCAGTCAAATTGCAAACAAAAATTGCAATTTGACTGCTTGTGTCGTGGCTATTGCAAACATGATGCCTTATATAAAGGTGTCAGTTTTTCGTACCAGTTTAAAGGGTAAAAACCTATCACTATATTTTGCCACTGGTAAAGGAGGTCTCATAGTGTAAATGCTTACCCCGAGCTCTCAATACTCTGATAGTGCGCTGTTTTTGAGTTGTACGCCTTTTGGCGTCATCTGGTCCAACACCAATGGAGACTAGGCTCTAAGGAAAGCTGTTTCGGGTGTGGACCAATCAACTTCAAGGACAGTGCATATCATTATCATTATCAGAGTTGTTTATTTTTGTTTGCAATTTGACTGCTTGTGTTGTGGTTATTGCAAACATGATGTCTTGTATAAAGGTGTCAGTTTTTTGTACCAGTTTAAAGGGTAAAAACCTATCACTATATTTTGCCACTGGTAAAGGAGGTCTCATAGTGTAAACACAAACCTTACTTGCACATAGAAAAAACCCTTATGAGCATCTCATTTGAGAGAGGATAAAAAAACCCACAATAATTATAAGCACGTGTGGTCGCGCATAATTACCCATAATTAGAACACATAACAGATCGGGCGATGTGTTTATTGCCCAGCTGCTGCCGTTTGCGTGTTTTCTTGTTTTGATGTTTGGTAACACCCATGATGGTGATGTGCCAGGGACCACGAATGTGTGTGAGTGTACCTCATGCTGATTGTTTTAACAAGCACACAGAATCAGGGAGAGAGATGAGAATAGCTTGGCATCTTACGAGATATAATTTATGGATCTTCATATCAAATATACTCCTGGGAGGAGGAGCAGTGGCCCAGTGGTTAGCGCACTGTGCTACAAACCTGATCAACCGAGTTCAATTCCTGCACCCACTGCCTCCCCCACTCCGCCCCACCCCTCCCTCTATCAATTGGCACTAACCAGCATGGTCATATAGTATCAACCTACACGACTGCTACATGCAGAAGTGGATTGATTATTGCTGCTGGTGCTGATGATGACTACTATCTGAATTATAAAAAAAAAAATATTGTTCTGGTCATTGTTATTCTTAGGTTTTTTCGGTAAAGTCACGTAGGTAAAACATCAAAATGAATGAAAATAAAATAAAATAAAACAACTGGTCATTGTTTTTCATACGTAGACAGGAAACAACAGTGGGTTACATGGTTTCTTACAGCAGGCATGTAACCACGCAGCGACTTGTCAATTCAAAAAGATTCTTACACTCACAACACATACCATCAAATCACGCGTTCAAGAATCGAGTATTCGCTATTCATGAACATGAGATGATCGTGTCGCATTCAGGGCATCAAATTAAGCAAATGGAACAGAAATAAAACACGAGAAAATATAAAAACACAAAAGTATTTGGTTCTCGAATCTAACTCCAACCCAGGATTGTCACAGTTATTGATTTGCAAGGAAGCTGAATCGTTACGCATCACAACGGCTCTCTCACCCTCTCTCTGTATTGGGGGTCTCTCTCGATCTCTGCCAGAAAATGTAGCTGCTTAAATCGCCTATTTGTTTCGTCACTTAAATGACTTGTAAAATGTTTTCTTGGTTCTTTATGTAAAGTCACGTAGAATGGAAATAATAAAATAATAAAAATAAAACATAATAAAATAATTCTCACGATGTTTCGGCCACAACGCAAGCAGCCGTCCTCACCTGAGGACGGCTGCTTGCGTTGTTGTTAATTATTTTATTATGCTTTATTTTTATTATTTTATTATTTCCATTCTACGTGACTTTACTGAAAGAACCAAGAAGATGAATCCCTGCAGTCACGAAAGCTTTAAATCGAAATTTGTAAAATGTTTTTATTTTGCAAAGCACGCCCTAGCCATGAACTAAGGTATGAAGAAAGATCGTAAAATACTCTCATGCGAATACAAAATACATGACTGCTCTTTGAATTGAAACAAAAATGTATTGCATTGCTAATTTCATCGTTGCAAGTCTATGGGCATCATAATTATATTTCTGCTTTCGTTCGCGAATGACATGACGAGGACTTTGAGTGGAATGTGGCACGTGTTTGGGGTGCGACGATGCATCAATTAGTATCAATTATATCAATTAGTATTGATTCTTAAATTCACGATGCATGATCATCAACGTCATCACATCCAACCGTGAGTTCATTTGGTATTCGTGCAATTCTTTTTCGTGCAAGTCTACCACAGAGTTGCTGCGTTTCACAGACGTAATCTGCGAAAGTTTCACGGAAGGGAGTAACGCTGCATGTGATGTGCCTCCCCCCCACCCCCACCCCCCTAATTGTGTAATTTGGCAGTATTGCATTTTTTTATTCAGCAAATTTGGACCAACAATACCAGCAAATATTGTCTCCTACTCCCTTTCGAATAACACTGCATATTCAATGTCCACTGTGAAGTAGACGACGCGTATTGTTAGTCGATACCGTACACAGACCCGCAGTAGATACACAACATCTATATTTTACCAGGTAAGGCCCACTGAGCTATACAGCTCTTTTTCAGAAGCAACCGAACCACAAATGACAGCCCAACGAAGTGGCTTATCACGCGGAAATATACAGCAGCCAGATAGCATGCTGCACTACGATCCCGGCCACCCGAGTTCGATTCCCGCTCATGGCCAACACAAGTGACGAACATCAGAGCTGCTCCTGGGACTCCCCTAGGTCGACTCGGGCTTAATTTCGCACCTGGTGCAGCGTGTAAACCATCAGCACTGGGGAGACAGCACACTAATGCCGACCGCACCAGCATTATCGTATGCAGTGGCGGCCTGAAATGGGTGCTCGCTAACAGCCCCCAACAGTCCGTTAAAGGCCACGCAAGGCGAATGGAGAGCAACATTGGGTCGTGCGACTCATGACGTTGCTTTTAATAGGGATTATACTGATGTGCGCCACTGCTAAGGCTGTTAAATGACAACATTGGGAATGAAATGCTTTCACATTTCAAAGATTAGTATGGGAGCTGCAGACAAGAGGTGACAGAGCAGCCATAGGGCAAGCTTACCGCTGCACAAAAGCGGCAGCTTCTCCTGACATTCCATAACGACCACCGCCAATATTTGCTCCATGTCTTTAAGGTGAGGTTCTTGAATTAACCTATATTTTTAAGGTCTGCTGCGGCGACACGTCAAGGAACTTTGTACGGCGGCGAAGAAATAAAAAAACCGCCGCGCCGTTTGCCACCTTCAAAAAAAAGAATGTGCTCTCAATTTTGTCGCCTTGACAGTACAACTTTAAACATCTTAGCGCCTACAATGCAGCACTAATCTGCTTTATATTTTCTACGAGCGGCCTAACGCTAAGTCTATTTTATTTTATATCCAGATTATTCGCGTTTTATTATTAGCGCCGTATGTGCAAGGGGAATATTGGGGGGGGGGGGGGGGGGGGGGAGAGAAATGTGATATCGAAAAGCAAACGGACGAAATTAAAAATCGAGGCCCTCCTTCTCACTTTCAAATGAACCTGACGTGATTATACCCATCGCCTACGGCGTGACCCGAGCGCTTACCGCAGGGTTAAGCTGGGCAAGCAGGTATGACAGGGAGTCGGTCTAATTCCTTATTTATTAACCTTGTACAGAGGGAGCCAACGGGCGGATGGGCAACCGCCGGTTCGGAACGCGCAGCGAGCGCAGGGGGAGATGTGTGAGTGAGGTGACGTGGGGGGGGGGGGGGGGGGGTCCCAGCGTCGGCACGTGCGGAATGACGGACGGACGGGGAGCCGAGGCCAGATCAGGGCGTCCCCCCTTGCCCCTGTCCAACAAATGAGAAGGCGACCCCTATTCCTCGACAGTGTTTGCTCAGTTCCCGGGGCCGCTCCAATCAACTGTGAAAACAGTGCCCCCCCCCGCCCCCCCCCCGAGCTGAGAGATCACTCTGCTTCGTCCGTGCGTGCGGACGCGTGCCCAGCCCGGCTGCCCCCCCCCCCCCCCCCCCGCAGAAAAGTGAGAGGTCTGTGCCGGGATTTGAGAAGCGCTTCTGCGTATTTGCACAATTTTATTACCTCCGGGGAATTGGGAGGGTGGGGGGGGGGTGTCTTCAACTGGGAGCTAAAAAAAAACTTGTCGCCGGTGTGGGACAACTTGTTCTGTGCAATGACAAAAAAAAACTAAATTTTGCGCGGCCCGTTTTTTAGTCGATCCACTGTTCCATTTGGGGCTCCCCACGCCGTCTCTGGGGTCGTAGGGAGTAATTTGACCTCACTTCACCACCTTGGTGAGTGCGGGCTGGTCAAGGCAGGGAGTGTACGCCTGGGGGGAATAGAAGTGCAGCACAACAATTGATTATTATTTGAGTCTTTTGGTAAAGTCACCTAGAAAGGTTCAAATTTATTTTTAAAAAAATACACAAAAAACGACTTTACCGAAAGACCCAAAGAATATGAATTCCTGCAGTCACGAAAGCTTTAAGTGAAGATACAACCATGGATTGTTGCTGGCGCCACGCTCTGCTGCCCACCTCCCTTTGCCTCGCAGCCCCATGGCAACCTATTTGGGCACGGTGATGTCAGCCATTCGCTTTGACCAATTTGGCCAATTTTCTTCTGATATTAGTCCCCTAATAGCAACACGTTTGTTCTGTAAATTTTGTTTATATTGGGTCGAGCTCTATCGAGGGTTATTTAACGAGATGGGTGCATATTCCGGGTGATTTGACCACACACATGACGTGTCACTTAATGCGCATTGTCTCGCTAATTTAGTGAAATAAGCAGCTCCTTCAATACATTATATATTATAAACAGCAAAGTGTATCAGCATGCATGTAATTCAACCCTCCAAAAGAAATGTGCCGGTGTTAGCAGCAGCAACATCGTCAGCAGCAGCTTTCGACTAAGATGTTTAAGGAATCCAGCATTTGGCATGTGCAGCTGTGAACGTGAATGTGGAGAGTTGTTCACTTAGGGCCGCCTAATTCAGTCATTAAAGCCAATTATCCGCACCTGGCGAATTCGCCCCGAAAAATCCCGCGCTCCCCTTTGGCACCGTCTCTTGACTGGCTCTTTCATCCTTTGCCAAGAATGCCGTGAACACTTTGGTGCTCTTTGCTGCCATTTAAAAACAGCAAAAACAACAGTCGTAATGAGTTAGTGCCTTCTTCGATCCACTTCTGCGTTTAGGCCACCGCACGCCGTGTCGATCGATAGGCGCTGTTTGACCATACTTCACCAATCTGGTCAGTGCGGGATCGTGAAGGGACGGGCCACTTAATCGGACGATAATTTGTTATCGCCAGGTCGTTTCTGAAAAAGAGCTACATAGCTCAGTGGGCCTTACCTTGTAAAATAAAATAAAGTGTATTTACAAAATTTCGATTTAAAGATTTCGTAACTGCAGGGATTCATCTTCTTGGTTCTTTCGGTAAAGTCATGTAGAAGGGAAGTAATAAAATAATAAAAATAAAACATAATAAAATAATTCTCACGACGTTTCGGCCACAATGCAAGCAGCCGTCCTCAGGTGAAGACCAGGTCTGTCGGGGAGACAGCGTCTGAATGAAACACCACCAAGCTTGGCAGCGTATATTTAAGCTGGGTTGGAAGGGGGGGAAAGGGCGCCTTGACAAAATAATTTGCATATCAAGAGGAATTTAGCATATTTATGGGAAATGCAGGTATGTGATTAGTACTACTTGTGAAATGCGTAGGAGGTATTTTAGCTTACCGTGCAGCTTGTCTCGTACGAGGCGCAGCACGGGGCCGTAGACTCCTAGCCGGGGCAGCAGCTCCTCCAAGATCTGGAAGGACAGCGCCGTGCGACCCTCGCTCGGCTCCTGCGGCAAGCCGGCCTGCTTCACCAACAGCTGCGTGGCTGAGCGACACAGCCACGGGTGGAGTCACAGTTCACCGTCATTATCATCATTGTCACCATCGTCATCAATATCCTCATCGCTATCATCACGGTCATAATCGTCGTTATTGTAATTGGAATTGTCATTGTCATCATCGTCACCTTTGCAATCATCGTCACCATCAGCACCATCTTTGTCATCACCATCCTCATGGTCATCATCACCATGATTATTATTTTCATATCATCAGCCATCATCAACGCCATTGCCTTCATCATCATCTTCATCCCCATCATTATAACCATCGTGAGTCTCGACAATCGGCCATCATCTATTCCCAGTGACGTGTCCTGCTCAAGGCGACTCACACTTCTGAGCAGTCAATGTCTCTAAACTTGCATACGTTCTCTTATCCACGTGTTCCTCTTCCTGTCTGACAACGTAATTCCAAACATGTTCCGCATGCTAACCTCTAACGATATGCACATTTTCTCCACGTACTCCAACTTACTCTCACGCTCAAAAATAATTGTCAACAAAGAAATTGGCCAAATTGGCCAAATACTTCACTGATTAAAAGAGACTGCTACGCACAAACATTTAATCCCACGGGATGTGAATCCATGCCAATTGGGTATCTTTGGGAAAACAGAAACTAAACGGGACAGATCGGACGAGACGATACAAACGAGACGGTATAAATTTCGACCAAAGCGATTTAATTTCTTGCGTCGAATCATGGAAATTCATTATGTGCTCCACAAAGATGCAGTTGGAAGCATTGCTTCCACAGCCCAATGTGACGTAAAAGCAACGCGTGTCATTGGCAGGCTGGATCGATGTTAAGCCACACCGCAAGTGACAAATCCTCTGTGTTTCCGAGGAGCAGAGCAGGCAGGGCTTGTCAACACTTTTAAAAATAGGCTGATACCTCATTTATCCTGCAGTTTCACAGGCAACTCACATTTTTGTCAAGGAGGATATTTACCAAACCTGTGGTGTGTTTTTTCCTCCAACGAGACGGCGTATACACTTTAAGAACTGTGGAAACAGGATAAGCCTCACCACTTCATTCTAAACTGTATCAAAGGATATGACAGCATCTAATGACTTGCATCTGGATGAAAAATTGTCAATTACAGACCGCACGTAAATATTTCTCCAAGCATAGCCAAGTGGAAACGTTTGCTGAATTATGCTTTGCAGTGCATAATACGGCCTTGAGTTTTTCAACGTGGCTTCATTTCAAAGGAGTCTCCCTTCTGCACCGGTACATCAAGTTCAAGTGTATTTGCTTTAAAAAATAGGCGTGGACATCAAGAGACCAGCATCGTCTCATTTGCAATAGTGACATGGAAAAGGGTACAGGCCACCGTGAGGATTGAACTCGCGAGGCCCCCTGGCTTCACGATGCCGGTGCTCTCTAATCGCTGAGCGACACAGCCAGTGATTTCGTGGCTCCTGGAAGCCATCCGTGGAATTTCCTCCGCTGAGAAGAAATCTCACAGTTGACCCCCATTGCATTTGGTGTAACGCCTTCAGGTGACTTCCTCTTTAAAGCAAAATTTGAACGTCATGTTTTTATGCGGGATGTTACAACACCGCAAGAGTTTCACGAGGAAGACAACTTCCCTTCTACGTGACTTTACCGAAAGAACCAAGAATATAAAAATTTAAAACGACACTTGATGCATTTTATTTCCCTTTTTTCCCCACGACAATTCACGAAATCCCAGACTCATTTTGACGGGGGCCTGCTTGCGCAGTCGTCGTTGCGGAACTACGCGACTAGGTATACGGGAGGGGGACAAGGACGAGAGAAAAGTCGGTTTCACACAAAGCTCATGCCATTTACAACACCCCCCTCAACTGTAAACTAAAAATATAATGACGCAAACCTCTTGACTGGACTTCACACGTGACAGGAAAATTACCAAACGTGAATCCAAGTTAAGAACATGTCACGGGAAGTGGCACGCTCCACTCTAGGTGCTATGAAACTGAAAAACATCAATGGTATTAGAGCAGTGTTTCTTGGCTCCGGTCCTTGCAATGCCCCACCGAGGACCACGTCTTTGTGATTACCGATCTTGACTATTCGGATACAAATTAAGCCGCACTGCATGCACCGGGTGGTGAGCAATCACGGAAAGCTGTACCGTGGGAGGGTGCGAGGACTGGAGACGATCACCACTGTGTTAGAGGGTGCGTTGCTGTATAAAACGTCCAAAACCCTTGGAAAATTGTCACGATTCTGGGTCACGATCCAATTCATTAACAGATGATTTTGTCTGGTTGGTATTATCTCGTTTGTATTCTGTCTTGTACCTTTTCTTTTGCGTGTTCTCTTTCGCTCGTTCTATTGGCCTAAAGGTATGTTGGAGTTTTTATTTGCATAAATGTAAAATCATAATTTCTTAAACATATGATCTTATGCATGTATTATGAGCAAAATAATACATCCATTGAAAAATGGATGCATCATTACACTTCTAGTTGAAGGCACAAGCGGTGTCCTACTGTGCACAGCTTAATTTTCTGCTGTAGTTTTGAGGTTCATTTGTTTTCATGTATTCATTAATTTTGCGTAGCCCTTCCGGCTGACTTCAAATTCTGGCGAATCCAGCTTCGAGAGGTGTTGCTGTACTCTGTCACGCTGGTTAGCGCAGATTCGTGATGGTGGGGGAGCAGAGCAGTGGGAGCACAGATGTACAAAAAACATTGTATGGCTCTCATTAAAATGATGGGTTGTATCGTCGATTATGCATGGAAGCACCTGGTGATCTGGAGTCCAGGATAGACAGGACACTCTGAATATCAGAGCTTGAGCACTCCTCATTCTCCATGGCTCAAGATTCTCACTCGCACCTTCCAAGTGTGCGTTGTTTGTAACCTGCCAGCAACACAGAACAGAAAAAAAATCAGTCGCGATACCTCTAGTAACGTGAACTCGGCACATCAGCTTTCGTAGCTACTCGTAATGAAGATGCTCGTAGTAGTGCATGGCAAAATCTCGAGAGATAGAAATGTTCAACACGTGTCCTAACCGAGAAGACAAACCTGGATTCGTTTTTGTGAAGGCCATTTCTGTACATGTTTGAGTGGATATAAGGCCCTCTTTGTCAATCCACTGCTGGATGAGGACATCGCCACAATGTGCATGTCATTTGGGGTTATTTGACCACACTTCACAAGCCGGAAAGCCTAAATATTATGGCATATACAGTAGAACAATGGATTTTACTGCACTCAGCCTTGCTCTTATCCACACAGACCCCGCAGTCTATAACCCCTAACACACCCACCGTGCATGGTGGTCAAACATCCACGCACTATCCTGCCTCAAACCTGATTGGCTCCCCAAGATTTCATGAGATGTTTGTCATCAGGCATCCTCACGGTTGTATCACTTAGGTAAGGAATCAAACATCGGTTTGAAAAATGGAAATGTATTGTTTAAGGGTTTCCCCCCCCCCCCCTCTCAAAATTCACAAGCTGATTACAAGACAAAGTATCCTTAAATCGAGACATTATTGGAAAATTGTATCTGTTCATGGTGGGCAGAGTGAAACAAACAATGGACAATAATATTTGCGTCCAAATCACAACTCTCCTTTCTAAAACACGCAAATGCACAAACTCCGTTCTGTGTTTCCACATATAAAATAAGTGTACAGTATATATATATTTTTTGTCAGCCTATTGACTCTCCAAATCAATATTATCCAGCACAACTCCGGGCTGGTATAACCTCCTCAGTCTCAAAATCAGGGACATGCTTCTTGAGATAAATGCTACTGACTAATAAATGTTGTTGGCAAAAGACCTCCCTCTAAAAGACGGGGCCCTGTTCAAACCCAATTTTGTGTACGGGCATTTTCTCAAGCATGCGCGCCGTCGCTGCTCGCTAACGCACTGATCGAATGTGCCAAACCCACCCCCACGCCTTTAATTTCGCCCGTCGGGTTAAAGCAACGTCATGCACGAGGAAACCGGGGGGAATGTTTTGAATTACGATAATCATTCGAGTATGCCCGAAGCCCATATCCACTCGGCGTGACATGGAATTTTGTGTATTATTATTTTTTTACTGGTTGGAGAAATGCTCAGATTTTCCGTACGGTAGTAATATTTTCAGAAACCCACGTGGCGTTTACCAGGAAGTCCCCTTCGAAGGAACGCTTGTGTTGTTTTCCACCGCGGTGGGGAGACGGAAGGCGTTTATAACACGCGCATTGGTCTGCATTTGCATCAGAGCCAGAGTTTCTCAGCCAAAACGACGAAAAAAACGGCCAAGTGCGACATGTTTCTACTGCGAAACCCATTAGCATTTGTGCTGTAAAACTCATGAACGTGTACTGCACTATCGCCACGCTCGTGCGCTGGTCCAAATTGGGCTTATTACAATCCATCGTGCGAGGAGGTGATGGAATAGGCATTCATCCAGCGGTGGATTGATCATGGCTGATTGATGATGATGATGACGACAATTGTCACTGCAGTCTAATAAATGCAAAGCACTCAACAAGTTAATACGAAGAGGAATTCAGTGAGATACTCGGAACTTTTATGTAAATTTCAAAAAAAGATGTCATTAATGACACAATTATGTACAAATATTTTAATAACTCACAATAAACAGTTTACAGCCCTCTCTTTCAGTGTACTGCTGGATGAGGGTCTGCCCATGCCAAGTCGACTATAGAGGTTGATTGACAACGCTTCAACACCCCGATCAGTGCGGGCTGGTGAAAGGAAGTTGGGAGGTCAACGACTCGCTTGTCACTGAAGTTAGCTATGGCTGGGTTTTGACCTCTGGTTTCTGGCTTAAGGTGTTGTGTGATTACACTGGTCAACACACTTTTTCTGGCATAAGGTATTCCAACGGGTTTAAGGTAATTTTGGGGTGCTGATTTTAAATCTCGCATTAGTTTTTGTATATCACATCAGGTTTTTGAGATATCAAATTTTGCATTTTCAATAAAAACTGCATAAGAAAAATATTAAATAAATGTGGATATCTACATAAAATGATATTATAAACACACTATCCTAAAAATACAGCACCATATTTTAACACTAAAGCAGTCACTGACTCGCAACAACTTGCAATCATAAGAGACAGAGTTAATTTCGGGTAAAATCAATGAAAACGGGTTATGCCGATAGCATAAAAATGAGGTGTGATAGAGCAAATCTGAGATCAGATTTGGAATCAGCACCCTGAAATTAGTCTAAAACAGCTGCAAAAGTCCAGGCCAGAATTTTTGTTGTTGTTGACCAGTGTTATCAAATGAACGTTTGTATAATGCATTTTTTCCATCAGTGGATATTTATAGAAAACTCCCCGATGAGTTAACACAATAACTGCAGTGAATATTAAATGAATGTTGTTGCTTCAACACACCGGTGGGCTAAAGCAGTGAAATATTTGTCTTTGTCAACGTGACACATTTTTACTGATTGGCCGTGTCGGGTGGTGGAGGGTTACGACACATTTATAAATAAACGCGATCTAAACCCAAAAATCGTTGATTATGAATATTAAATGAGTTGTTATTTTTAAGGATAATACAGAAACACTTAACTGCACCAACACAAACACATATTAACTCGCGTAGCATTTTGACTTTGCCATAAACAAATTTCAGAGAAATCATACAATTAAAATGTAAACGCACCGTGTTGTGGATTCTGAATTTTTTTTTAAGAATCCTGATTTTGTTTATTCACTGCCACGTAATTTTCCGGCTCACAGATTCGTAAGTGGCAATGTGTGTGATGGTAAGTCGGCAGATTACAGGACCCTGCATCGTACGCCACGTTTCCACCACTGAATCCAACAACATAGAGGCACGTAAACTAACGATGATAAAAAAGCGAGATGCAATGAAGAGGAATTGGGCGCAAACGGAAATGTAAAAATAAAAATACGTCATCGTTGTGTTAGCTTTTAAGTAGAAATTTAACTACAGTGCTGGATCGAGATTAGGATGTGCTGTAGGACCAGGGCTTAATTTTTCACTCAATATTTTCCTGGTTGTTGGTAGCATGTGACAAGTAAACACAGCCGCAGCACTATATATACTGGACGTGGTGTGCTGGTTGCGTGAATATCTTCAGGATTTGAGACCTGGACAGACTCAGCTGGAATTAAGCCCTGTATAGAAGACCATTCCATACCCAAGACAGGGGGTAAGATGGATTTATTTTATAGGCGAAACCAGGATTCTCTATAAAAGAACACTGTGACCAGAGTTGACAGGCATTTGATGGTCCCTTAAATATATTGCAGACGAGTTCCTTATGACATTTTTGATTCGAAATATTTAACTCTGCCGATTGTGCTGCTTGTTGCTTTGCATGAGCGTGGGAGGAAATCGCGACGTCTTTGGAAGGCTTTCATCCAGCAGTGGGTCAATCGACGGCTGCAACGTTTCACTCGGTAAATTGTCACAAGTTGATTCGATTTGATTACGGATATCTTTTTTGTTTAAACATTTATTTTGCCCTGTTGTTTGCATCGCTTCTCAATTTTTTATGCCCATTTCTACAATCTCGTTTGCTCTTTGAGCTTAAATTTAACATCAGTGTAACATTCTCACGTGATCTGCACACGCGGTAAATGATCAAGTGTTACACGCACCGTTTATCTTGAGCGTGAGACTCGATTTCAATTGATGAATCGACGCATCATCGCATGCCTATGAACAGCAGTCACAGCCTTAAGGCATGGCAATCGTGCCGTGTATTTAAAACTGACAAAAAAAATGGGAAACCAATCTGATTATGAACACTGGTGTTCTGTGCTCAGTATTTATACGCCCTAAATATGCTTAGGATTCAACACGGTTTTTTTTCCCCTTCCCCTGGCTCTTTGAAGCTTTTCAGCACTGTATTTATCCAGGATTTTGAGAATCCCTGTACCGTAATGTCAGCGGCACTGCGAAGCCAATTGTGAATCCTCCAGCAGCTGCTGAGCTCGTACGTGTGCGTCCACAGCTGGACAGGGCTAGATATGGTGGAGAATAGGAAAACCCCAACCGCATTTGTCAATAACGCTGCCCCTAAAAGGGAAAATATATATATGAGACGGCGACGTTTCGGGCAGTGGGCCTTCTGCATAGCAGTTGATCTCTCTGCTGTGGCCAAAATATCATCCGTTAAATATATATTCCTCGTTTGAGGCATTATTGACGAATGTGTGGAGATCCGTTATACGTGCACTTGTTCACCAATGCAAATTCAGTATAACATGTTTTTTTGTTAGATACGACAAAAAGGTTATCATTGTGGGTGACTGCGTAAAACAAAAACAACCAATAGACGTTAACATCAATTAACTCACTTACAAGGTCCCAAATACAACGGTGCTCTTAAAGTCGGACATCACACATCCCAAGCATCCAGAATGGGCCCAATCTCGTCAGATCTCTGTAAGCTAAGCAGGTTTGAGGCTGGACAATTCTTGCGGATGTGCAACCGCCATGCGTGTGTAGCAGGTGGTATAAGTAACAGTCTTCAGGGCCAAAGTGGGCAGTAGATGGTAGGGCAACAAAACCCACTATTGTACTGCACTTATATGCGCCCATGTCTAGGGTTCCCTGCCCTTCACAAATCTGCGCTGACAAGCATGGTAAAGTACGGTCATAAAACCCCCAAGACTTGCACGGCGTGGGGAGGCCCTCATCCAGCAGTGGATGCACGAAGGGCTGCACACGTACGCATTCACACTAGTCAGACAGCGTGCGCCATCGAATTATGTTTTCTGGCCAAACCTGCCTTGGGAAATTAAAAAAAATCTGAAACGTTTGTACAGCGTGGCTCCATTGCCTGGAGGAAAACCTTCAGCCTTCCTGCTCTTGCGCAAACCGTAACGTATAAGTAACTTTCGCAATACAATGCTACTTGGATTTGTGTGACAGCTTCTATGCGTCACCACATCTCAACACGCCTGACACAAAACAGTGGGCTTGTCTCTTTCATCGCGAGAGAAAATCATTGGTGCCTATGCCAGTCTATAGGTCTCTATGTTTCACCATTATTACGCTTGGTTTTACCCACGACGCCTCGCTGAGTCTCATGACTCTCTTTCTGAGTCTATGGGTCTCTATCCGAGTCTATAAACTGCGATCTCAAAGGAGTCCTTAAGAGACACGTCAAGACAGTCAATATCAATGTGAAAACATGGGAGGAAATGGCAGGCAACTGTAAGCAGTGGCACAACTTCAATCCCATCCAGCAGATTAACAAGTTTTTTCCACGGTGCGGCCGATGCTTCCACTCAAGGGCTGGCCTCTCATCCCACCAGTGGGCAGGCAAATGCTGCTTGCTGTTCTCCGCAGTCAACTATCATTCGCCATGGACAGCCGCAGTTAGCACGGTTGGCTACGTACGGTGCGAAAGAAGTTCAACATACATAAGTGCAATACAATCTGGATTTATGTAGCACCAAAATACAAGCGCATCTCAACAAGCTGCACAGAAGCAGTGGGAATATTCATTTTCTCGAGGCAGCAGATAAAAGGAAAGGTATTGAGCGGGGACTTGAAGAGGGACAGGAAGCCGACAGCATAGATAGCTATGGGATGGAAGTTCTGTACTATGCAGGGAGCAGAGGAGAATGAGCTGTGATAAAAGGGCCCAAGTGACAGTCAGTTTATTTCAACCTTCGAAGCTTTTATTCAATGGCGAACCAGCGAAAACGGCAAGCATGTTACATGTGAAGGGAGAGACACATCCCATAAGGCGACAAATAAGAGGAGTTCCACTATGCAATCACTGCTGGTGGTGTCACAGGCTGAACCAAACCATATCCCATTTCATGAGCATGCATCACGGCTCACTTTACGCAGCCAACAAGGAATGTGCAGCATCAGCAGGTGCAACACACGAAACCAGGGGCATTACTAATTTGGTCACACTGGGTTGCTGCCGTGACTAAAAGCCAGCTATAATTATCTGGGTAAGGGGCAATGCAGAATCTGTTTTAATGTAACTATGTTTGGTATAGAAGAATCATTTGCAGTCCAGACACGATATGGGGTTTCCAGATAAATACTATCCAGTAGCGGGCTGAGCAGTGGTGCAGTGGTTGGCACACTGCACTGTGAACCCAACAACCTGAGTTTGATTCCAAGCCATGGCTAACGTCAGGGGATGAGCGATGTCCGAATCGATCTTGGGTGTCTCTCAACGCTTCAGCAATCTGCACCGACCAGCATGGTACTGTACGTCAATGTCCCCTCTCCCCCCCCCCCCCCCCCCATTATTATGAACACATTTGGGGGCCTTTATCCAGCAGTTGAGTGAAAAAGGATGGTACATATATGGACACACGATCCAGTGGAATTTGTTTAGTACAAGCGAATCTTGAACTGGATTCCACCTCTAAGGTATTATCAGCACAGTCAGGCTTGGTTTACACATACAAATAACCAATCGTTAATCATGAGCCCGGCTTTGCTGACGAGACCAAGAAAGTTGAAACCAGCCCAGAGTTTGGCTTGTTTAAACAAATGTTACTGGATAATAAATATTGCCCTGGAAAGAGATTGACAGAGTTGAATTGATTCCATTACCCATGATCCTCCACTATAGCACAGAATCAATTCTTAAAATACATTTGGTAAAAATACAGCGTAATGTTTTCAAACGCGTGGGTATTTAGCGTGACTAGCACATGCATGCCATATAACTGGTTTACACTCCACTGAGTGCGACACAGTGCTACTCTTCTGTTTACATCCCTGAGCGTAGTGGAAATTCCACATTCCTATGGAGGGGGTGAGGGGTTCTTAGCAGTTAGCGCGCTGCGCTGTGAACCCGGTTACCCAAATTAGATTGCCGCTCACGGCCAACACCAGTGATGATTATTTGAATCGGTCCTGGGCCTCCCCTAAGTCGACTAAGTCTCAAATGAGTACCTGGTGCGGTGTGTAAACATTGTCACTGGGGAGACAAATGCAGCCAGGTGTGGTGTTGGCCACCCACTCCCTCGTGTGAATCACCGGCCTTTATAGGTGCTCGCTAACAGCACTTGCCCCCACAGTCTACGTAGAACAACCAATTATTAACTTCCCCAAAAAATCAGTACTTATTTTATTGTCCCAGTAAGGGCTGATTCGACCTCTCAACCTTCGCATTGCGAGCCACGCACTCTACCAGCAAGTCACTTAGTAGAGATATAACTCCGGTTATCCGTGAACAAAATGACCTGCAACTCCTATTATCTGTGGTGCCTGTAAGGTATATGCACACTCCCTTTGTAAATACCCCAATGCTTCTATTATCCTTCTTTTTTTCCCCCGGATAAATATGAAGTCACATTCGCGCAAATCCTATCGATAATAGGTTCCGCTATATTCATCCCCCACATCACTGCAGACAAGAGAAGTTGTCTTATTATAAATTATATTCATGCGACGATGTACGACTTTGTCTCGTGTGTGTTATATCTTTCTGGATGAGGTAAAACTTGTCCCAAAATAAGTTTTCAATACTTCATCCGTAACAAAGTAATGGTGCTTATTCATGTTTAACACAAAGGAAAGCTGCTTAATTATCACGTCAATAATGCCGTGCCAGTTTGTGACCTCTCCCGCTTCCTGTAATGGAAGTCTTCAAAACCATCCCCATTAATTGTACAAAACTAGTATCAAATTTGTATATTCCCCCCCCAATCTCATATTATGAAGACAGTAAAACATTCTTACTTATTTACCATGAGCCATAATCTATCCACCACTGGATGAAGGCCTCCCAAAGTCATCTCACAAGGCTGTGCGTAATAGATCATTTAAGTTCTATTCCATGTAGCCGATTTCATTGCTCCAATATTATCTTGGGTTTTTTCCGATGGCTGCCACTTCTACGTTGCGTCTCAACTAATGCACCCTGCCAAAGTCAACTTATCTGACATACAAGTTATTTAAAAAATTAAATATCATGTGAGATAACCTAAAAATGTGAAAACACAGTGGTGACTCATGCTATGATATGCAGTCATGGTTGTGATGCCTTCATCCAACAGTGGATTGATCATAGCTGATGATGATGATGAATGGCTAAAGTGTGTGCCATTAAAATAATTTAATAATATTTCATACAATATTATATTTAAAAAATTACGTATTCTAAAAGTCTTTACACTTGAAGATTAATCTAATTCATTCGTATTGTTGGAATGCTAACTGGAATGAATGGACATGTAAACCCTTGTGAAGTCTACTTTCACAAGGGTAGAACAATCTTGTGCCACTGGTATCAATATCCTAAATTCCACAAATCAATCACTTAACTACAATTATACGAATTGTTTACGACACTTTGTCAAGCCACTGCTGGATGAAAGCCTCCCAATGCAATGTTAGTCACGGGTTTTGTTTGAGCATACTGCACCATCCTGGGTAGTTGGTGAAGAAGCAGGGTGCCCAAGACTGGTTACGATATCACTTGCCACTCATGCCATGACTGGTAATTATAAACATGTGTTTAGAATTTAGATGATTTAGCTGTTATACATTTACACGTGATAAGCCGCTTCGTTGAGGAATCGTTTGTGGCCAGGTCGCTTCTGAAAAATAAGCTAATAGCTCAGTGGCCTTTACCTGGTAAAATAAAATAAAATAGCTTTATTCGGATATATTTTGTAGTGATTTTATAACCTTTCCTATACTTTGCACTCCTATCGCGTTTTTTTTTGTATTATTTGATGTTGCAACGTTCTGACCCACCACGATTGGATATCTGTGAAAAAGTTTTCTAGCTCAACGGATTCCTCCAGTATAAATACACATTTCTGCGGAGGGAGCTGGTAGGAACGTTGGGTTGCTCGGTCAATGGCCAGGGTCAACGGCGGCGTGGTGTATTCCGCAAATATGCCCGACTGTGAGGGCGGGCACAAGCCGGCGTGAGTAGGTTAAACGTTGAGTTTTATAAGGGCACCACGGGGTGACCAGCCCCTCCCCACCCAGCTCCGCCCCACCCCTCCCACCCCCCACCCAGCCCCACCCTCCACACCCTCCTCACCCAGCCCCTCCCCACCCTCCCCTCCCCACCCAGTCCCACCCTCCCCACCCAGTCCCTCCCCACCCAGCCCCTCCCCACCCTCCCCTCCCCACCCAGACCCTCCCCACCCAGCCCCTCCCCACCCTCCCCTCCCCACCCAGCCCCACCCTCCCCACCCAGTCCCTCCCCACTCAGCCCCTCACTCCCCACCCAGCCCCTCCCTCCCTCCCCACCCAGCCCCTCCATGCACGACGGATGGACGGACACAATAATCCCCTGTGGGCTGGTGTAACCAGAGGTTCCTACCAGTATAAATATTCTGATTCTGAAACTCAGTGTGCTAATCCGCTGCACCACCACTTCGCGTCCACCACCACCCCCACCCCACCCTCAATCAATTAACCACGAGGGGAATTACAATCATTTAACAGTTTTAAAACAGTTTTCCCTCAAAAATGCAACCAAGGTAACCACAGTACTGCTAGCAGCGTGAACATTTACAAACGAGGTAATGATTCTCTATAGACTCTCACCTGGTTCAATAAAGGACATCAGTCAAGCAACTAATTTCCCACCAACCTGAAAAACAGCAAATTGTGGCTTAGTCAGACATCGCCTTACAAATGAGTTGAACTCCAACGGGGTTCACGCTCACATTTCTAAATAGAAGACGTGCAATCAATCGAGAAATGGACTTCCAGCCCAGCAAAGTGAAAAATGTGATTTGGCCAGAAAACCCCCATTACTCAGCAGTGACTGAATTATGATTATGGACCTATATATATACCACAGCTAAAAATAACGCATTACATCTCCACCTGTAGCGTACAGAGGACTGCAGTCCAAATGTGAACGTCACCAGGTTATTCAAGAAATCATTTAAGTAGGCCACAAAGTTGGGCTCAAGATGAATGACACAAAACAACTAAAAGTCACGCACGATGGTGAAACACATCGGAACACGTCATATATCGAGAGAGGTTCTGTAACTCAATGTGGGTGGATGTCAAACTCATCAAATAAGTGGACAAGAGCAGGTTTAAGATCTTCTGCAAAACACAACTTAATAATAAAAAGGCAACAAACTGTACCAATTAATGTATTGTACCTAATGAATACAGTTTAACTCAGTATACTTTCTGCTACAACGGTACACAATATACCAGCACCATACATAGTACTGTACATACATGACACTTTGTACGATACATACGATGTACAGGAAACACATTATACATATTAGTCTCGGGACATTGACTTATATACCAGACATAGAATATATATACACATCACACCGACTTTAAGTTTACTATCCTGGTTTGTAGCATAGTCTACCTGGACTATATATGACTGTATAAAACACAAACTTACAGCACATAACCTGCACAAAGTGTACTCAGCTTTAAGATACTACACTGACTCTTATCACCTGCACTACACAGTATGCAGCACAATACAATTGTACAGGACTTAAACAATGGCACAACGCGAATTAATTACAATCGACGTATTGCCACGACCGTAATCATTACCACCGCTACAACAACGAAGACAATATAACATTAACAAATACCAAACAAAAAATCAAAACTCGTGTGTAAAGTCAACCTCGGGGTGATGTTGCAATGCATCAACACAAACTGAAGGTCTCCCTGGAGACCCACGTGGTGAGTGGGTGGGTGGGTAGGGGGGAAGGGCTTTAGGGCTCGGGTATTTAAAAGGAGTGGTTGTGGAAAGCGGATGGAGTGGGTTTAGAAGTATGGGGCACGTGAAGCGATGGATGGGAGGAGATCGATTAATTTTGGCAACGGAGATGAGTCGGTGGAATTCTGTCAACCCACGCCACAGCTGGGTTAACCCAGTGCCAGGCTAGGTGCGCTTTGAGGCCACGTGAAATGTGTCGAAAGGCTCGCTGCTAGACGGGAGGTCTCGGGACAGACTCAGCAGGTGCCATGGGGTGGCTGAGATGACTGGTAAGATGCACCAGCTGTACCACCACCAATAACCCCGTCATTCGCCACGAAGTGACGGTCACGTCACCACGGCGCCCGTGCCAGGCTAGGTGCACTTTTAGGCCACCTGAAGTGTCGACGGCTCGTGGACAAGGAGGTCACGGGGCAGACCCAAGGTGCCCATGGGTTGACTGACTGGGATGCCTTGACAGGACTGTACATAATGCAACGTGGCAGCATTTGCTAACTTTAATCGTCATAGGAAAATATGTTTGTGTAGTCGTGTAATACCATTTCAATGAACTATATGACAATTGAAAAAAAACTGTTAATCAGGAAAGATATTTCGTAAGTAGGGGGAGTCCCTGTCTTGCAGTACTTGCAAATCAGTTTGGCAACGGATGGAACCGGGAGTCCGCTCAAGGTCCCTAAGATCTGGGGATGAAGATCTTCTCTGTATCCCCAGGTCGAGGTTTCAGTCTATGGGTGACCGAGATGGCAGAGGGACCTCTAAGTCTGTGGACATTTTTTTTAAATGCCTCTTAAAACCGAATTATACGCTTCGGCTCATTCAACCTTTAGTTAATCTAGAAATGTATTCTTAAAATGTATTTATACTATTATTTTTACGCTGAGTGTGTGCTGCTGCTGTGTCCTGCACATCACTTTGAGATCCTTGATGAAAGCGCTATATAAATGTAATTCTTCTTGGTTCTTTCGGTAAAGTCACGTAGAATGGAAATAATAAAATAATAAAAATAAAACATAATAAAATAATTATCTACGTGACTTTACCGAAAAAACCAAGAAGATGAATCCCTGCAGTCACGAAAGCTTTAAATCGAAATTTAAATGTATATTCTTATAAATAGCAAAGACGTCACCCCATAGCATGAGGGTGTTGAGAGGGGTGGGGTGAGAGCGAGGAGGGCGGGGCTAGAGGTTAGTGGGCGGGGCTAGATGTTAGTGGGCGGGGCTAGAGGTTGGAGGGGGCGTGGCTATATACGCGTCGGTTTGGAAATCGTAAAGCGGATACGTGCCGCCTGCGGGAGTGAAGTCGCCACGCGATTGGCCCAGGCGCGTTTCGCGTCATCGTCGACGGTCGCGTGCGCGCCGCTAGCCAATGGGCGACGCGGCGAGCCCACCCCAAGCGCGCTATGGAATTAAACGTGGGCGCTCTTATGGCAACAAGGAAGCGTAAAGGGAGGCAAGAGAGAGAGAGGACGGAACGCGAACGCCTTTAACAACAAATTGTAGTTGTCTAATTGTACATACTTTAGTGATTCAAGTCGGGTCTTTTCTTTACAAGATTGTTCTCGAAATTATCGACTCTTTTCCCGAAGTGTGTTGGGGTTTTATTTTATTTTATTTTGGCGGCGGGTTCTCGTGTTGAGTGACGGATTAAGTGGCTATTTGGTCACGATTTTTTTTATTTGTGTTTCTTTTTTGTTACGTGGTCTGGTTTATTTTACGTGTTGTGATTAAGAGTTTTGGTTTATTTGTAGGGTTCGGTTAGAGATGTAGAGGGCTTTTCGTTCACACAGTACAGTACAAACATACAACGCACATACGTGACATACAGTACATTTACACGTACAGTGGAAGTGGATATTTGAATAACTGAGCTCACGCTTGTATCCAACACATTAATATACAACTCATTAAGTTGTATACCACACACTTGGCGTGACATACACACAATACATAGCACACGCATACTGTACAGCACACAAGCGTAACACAACACACTTAACACGTAATTATCTACCATTACACGTAGACCAGTTAAAACTCCAGTGCTGTTTGATCAAGTGATTGCTTACCGAGAGAACATTTATCCTTCGTATCTAGTGCTGCAGTATTTAAGTGTAGAACTGTAGTGTAAATTAAAATTCGTATTGTAAACATCGCGAATTGGACCATTACCCAGTATAAGCTGTACGTGTAACTTTAATATACTTGTGAAATATAGTGTACATCAAATACAATAATACAAGTTATACAAAACGTACATTCTTCCCAAAAAATACAACTATACACGTAAATCCTTACTTTAAACTAGACAGGCTATTTTACAAACATTGTTCATAATACATAGTGGCACAAATAGACACCAAACACATTACACGTCTTCAGCCCATAAACTTACCACATCCACACACAAACAACACGCCACGCACGGGCAAGACAACTCATATAGTTTAGCCCCAGGGTGAGACGATCATCCAGCATGGCCCTGTCAGATCAGTCTCAGGTGTGGTTCCCCACACACGTGCAGGTCACCGTGATCCAGTCTCGAGGTCTTAGAATCAAGGGCAAGCAGGGCCTCAATGACGCCTACACCCTCATCCAGCTGGGCAAGGAGAAATACTCCACCTCGGTGGCCGAGAAGACTCTGTGTCCACGCTGGCAGGAAGACTGCACATTCGAGGTGCCTGCGGACGCCTCTTCGGCCAAGAAGAGCACCCTGGTGCTCACGGTGATGCACCGAGCCCTGGTGGGTGGTGACAAGTTCTTGGGCCAAGTCACCCTGCCGCTGCGTGACATCTACCAGGACAGCACACGCAAGAAGACCCAGTGAGTGACTTCGTGTGTAAGGGGTTTTGCACTCTTGCGCCGTTGTTTGCGAACGTGGTGGGTGTGTTGTTGATTGTGTTGCCCTTTCGATGGGCTCACGTGGAGGTGCAGTTCCAACCGCACGCTCCTCTGTCGTGTGAAACTATGTTCTCGTTTTACATTACGCAACGGCTGGGCGTCATTGTGTTCTTGCCATCCAGAAGGATGCCCACGGGGGTAACCCACTACTGTTTAAGTTGTGTTGGTATTTGTTGAACATTGTGTAAGGCTGAGTTGCCCCACTAGGTTAGTTCTCTTGCTGCTGTGAGCATGGATTCAAACGGATTCTGTAGTCTTAACAGCACATCACCCGTAATAAGACTTCACTGGGTGCTTTCCCATGGGGTCATTGTTATCTTTGTATTTGAGTGGGTCATTGTTCAGAGGTCAGGATGTTGCTGCTCTATGGTGTGTCATAATGGATGGCAAAATGTGTTTTTTTACCAGGACAGTGTCCACAAGAAAACCTATTGGGTGTCCTCTCGAAGGGTCAACTATTGTTGGTGGTGTTGCCAGTATATGTGGTGGTGTTTGGGGAGATCTGAGGACAAAATAGCTCAAGGGGGCATCTTGCTTTGCCACTAGGACACATGAGTTTTCACTCTGCTTTTGTTGAACTTTGTCAATCTTACCAGCACAGTGTCTCTAAGAAGACACACTCCAGAGTGTGTTCCCAAAAGGGGCCACTGTTGTAATCGTTGGTGTTTGGTGGATAATATTCCAGAGCTCATCATGCCAGACTGCCACTTGACTGGAAGTCAAACTGGGAGTCAAAATGTATTTTTGATGGGACATTGTCCACATTAATACCACATGAATTCCCTCTCAAAGAGTCGACTAGGCCCTTGTTCTTGTTCATATTGCAATGTTTAGTTTGACGACCTCGGTAGGGGCCAGTGCACACACGGGCAGTGGCATAACTAAGAAAAAAAATGAAATTGGCCATACAAATTTTAACGTAAGAATTATTAACTGCCACGATACAAGCACAATTGTGAAAGATGTCCTTGCAAAAGATGGGTGATGATTCTCATTGGCGTGATTAAACAAGGGCATATTCATTATTTTTTTGGCAGAAGCACATCCCAGTAGGATTTGTCACTGGCTGGCACGAAGGCATCTTGTGCAGCTGCTGTCCCGTTGGCAAATCATACCCACACACAAATCCCCCCCCCCCCCCCTATCGTGCGTGTTAACTATTATAAGAATGTTGGCACAAAGTAAATCATGGTAACTGCTGCCTGTAGACAAATCAGCCTTGACACTCGTCTAATCCCAGATTGTTGCCACTAAGGCAGTCAAATGTAGCTTTTGTCAGCAAAAAATCTTCACGGTCTGAACCCTAACATAACAAGCTAATCTATTAATATTTGTGACAAGTTCTGGAGTACATTTGCACATTATATGATTGAGTCTATAGCTAAATGATGCTCTTGAAATGACTAACTTTAACTCTGTTCCTTAAAGAATTTGTTCGTCACTTTTGAATATCATGACGTGGGGCAAAATTATAAATAAATGTTACAATTAAAACTAGGGTAACAGGTGTAATCTATAAAGTGAAAACAATTTAAATGTAGTTGGTGTGGACATCGAGTATGTATTTTGAACCTCTTTCGCACTGTACGTAGCCAACCGTGGTCATCGGAGGTGCAAATGGTTTGAACTTCAGATGACAAATCGGCAAAATGAACAATGGAAAAGCAGGCAGTGGAGGGAGGAAGAAGAAACGCGCTCGATGGAGGTGGCGAGTGAACGTGAAGAGTGGAATGCAGGGGAATGGAGGAGTCCTTTGACCAAACGTTGGATGTTAATGGCTGAGAAATATTGACACTGATGACATCGGGCATGTACATTGATGTGAGTTATTAATATTTGTGACATGATCTAATGGGAAGGTGGCAGGTGTCAGGACAGTTTTTGTCAGGAGTTTGTAATATTTTCTTTAACGATTGCTATTTGTAAATTTACAGTTGCGGAATGTATGCTTTCATTCGAGAAGAAACATGTTGAAATAAGAGGCAGAAAGGACAGCTGTTAGTGTCTGAATGCGTGAATGTATCCATATTTACACGAGTTGTATTAAAGCAAAGAAATTCCATCCTTTGCCTAATTTCCCTTTCCGTGGATACAACATTAGCAGTGGCATTGGCAGTGGCATTGGGCACGTGTTTAAATTGCATGTGTAATTAGGTAGTGTTTTAAACACACATCGAAGGCGAAAGCTTTAGCCTGCATATCTGATGTATTTTAAATGTTAGGAGTTTCTTTGTAAAGCCCAGGTCTAATTAATGTAAACATCTGCTAACTCTTTCCGTAAAAATTCAAAGCTAATGCTGACGTAAGGCACTATCGTAATACCAAGGGCTAACTGTAATTATAAGGATAATTGCCTTATTTTAGAAGCTATTTTATTGAAAATTCGGCTATTGAAATTGCTAATATTTCATCAAACGACTGCCAGTTCTCTAATGGTCAGAAGACCAACACATCTGCTTTCTTGTCTGTAGGTTACATATTTTGATAAAATCTCAGGCAATGTAGAGTGTAGATCATTGAAAGCAATGTCCAGCGTAAAAAAACTAAACCTGCACTGTGCCGGTTTTAGTTCTGTGCATGTTTGTGTATAGTGTTGCCGGCAATTCATTGCCTTTGCCTTATGACTTGGCAACGTTAACCGATGAGGCATTTTAACTTTGTAATTCATACACCAAGGCATTCGAACGATTGTGCTTTCATAAGAGGCAATGTACACTTATATGGCAGTTACAGCATGTGCTAAAGCACTTCAAAGTGACATATTTTAGATGACTTACACTATGTAATGGATGAGTCTTTTTCTAGTTCAAGTTGTAAGATATTAAACTGGAAAGCATTAAACACTTGTTGTAAATACCTTACTTTAAAGTTGTACTTATTCCTTTCAATTACAGCATCATGTATTATCTGCTTGGGTGCAATTCTAAATTGTAAACATATAATATCTGTCCTTAACAGTGGTCCTTACATGTTGGTTTTTTAACTCAATGTATTTTCAGGATTCTTTCAATGCAGCTAATACGTGAAATATCTTATATATCCACCACAGCTCACAGTGATGACATCACATGCCTTTGTTATTTCTTTTGTAGATTTCAATGTTCAATTGTATTGTGAGAATTCAAAAAAAATTCTCATTCCCACATTTTTTGTATGCCAATGGAGACTATTATCACAAATTAATTAACACATTTATGGGAATAGATTCCAATTATAATTGAATGTCAGGTCGCTCATGCAGAAAATTAATTCTTAAGTTAACATCTCATTTCAAATGATGAACGGGGTGAAATAGGTTAGTCTAAATGTCATCGAGAAATGTTATTTAGGCTGCAAACAATTTACCAAACCAGTCTTTCAAGTTATTCGTCTATAGTGTTGTCGTCATATCACGTCATGGCCTGTTCAAAACACTGCAATCAATGTGGTGCAAATCATTCCCTTCAACAGATGTAATCCTCCCATCTCCTTTCTGCCACCATGACCTGTTAATGACATCCCACATATTTATTTGGCATCTACTTGTCGCTTGAACATCAGTTGATGCCACCATGCCAAGTTATGATCTTTTGTTAGCATTGTAATTAATTGCCTTGTGTGATTAAACCTTTTTTTTATTAATAATGTGAAATAGTAGGAGAGAAAAAAAGTAAGCCAGCCAATTTAATAACCTTCACTAAAAATATAATGAAATCTGAAAAGTTGTTGGTTTACACATGATAGATTACTTTTTTCTTCTATATTCTGGTGGCTTATGAATGCAAAAATGGACTTCTCGGCAATTGGGCACCTGCGGATTTTATTAAAAAATCAAACGTATAGCCATAGAATTATGTGAAAATTACCGTTGGTAATGAGGCATAAAATTGGTGTAAAAGAAGCTGAGGGCCGGATCATGGGAAAATTTGACAGGGGTCACCTAACCCATGAAAACTGTTCTCAAACAAAGAACTTCATTAAGGTCACTTGCTGAGCACACACATCGACCTTCCAATAAGTCCACCCCTGGCATTTGTGGAATGCGGAGGAGGCTCTGCTCGCTTGCCTGAGCTTTAGACCGCATGGAACGCCGTGATAGGGCTATGTCTTGCCTCGTTCGAAAAATGGTCTTTGCGAGGCACTTGCACAGACACTGACCAGTATGCTGTGTTCTTGCTTAAGCACTCACTCCCACCAGCCTACTTAGTAAGGTTTTTTTTTTGCAACTGGCTGCCAGCCTGCTTAATGTGTTTACCAAAAAATCCACTCACACATGCGGTAAAACCTGCTTAACATCGTTCTCATTCATGGAAGCCTATGATTAGTCACATTCTGCACATGACAGGCATTTACAACTGCTCCAATGGCATGTTTTCATGTTAAACATATCTGTGTAAAGATTAGTGATAACCAGCATGCAGTGTTCACTCTTTTTTGACATGTGTAATTTTAGGGTTTGCATAAGGTTAGCCAAACCTATGCAAACACAATAGTGTTGTGTTCTATAATTGTTTTAAATAAACGAAGGATACTGGCACACATGCGTAAATCATCTTCCCATGGCTAACACTGGAGTGAACGGTTCTTGTCTGGCATCCCCTGGCCCCTTCGCCAATCCGTACTGTCTAGCGCGGTAAAGTATGGTCACACAAACCCCTGAGTTGATATAGCATGGGGAGGCCTTCATCCAGCAGTGGACTGCAAAAGGGCTCTACATTATTATTAGCAATTGATTGATATTTGGAATTTGGGCAGTGTCAATAAGAATTGAACCATTGATTATATGAGTGATGTGTGTAAAACTAAACGTCACAAGTCAAACATTGTGACCGAAGTAGCATGGGGAACCCTTCATCCAGCAGTGGATTTGCAAAGGGCCCCTAAACAGTTGTTATAATTAATACTGGAATACGCATAATGACCGCACAACCTTTCAGCTGTTT